ATCGTGCGAGAAGAAACTAACATCGCAAACTGAATGCTCGTCGTCCAGTCGTCGCTCGTCAGTGCAGGTTCAAGTCCTCCAACACCTTGTTCTGTTCTTCCCACGTCGCGCCGTCGCCATCGCACTCGAGCGCGTCGTCGTCCACCGCGTTCGCCGCGGATCCGAAGAACGACGGCAGCCCCGCGTTCGCGTTCGCCGTCGGCGACGCGAACCCGCTCCCCGCGTTTCCACCGGCGCCCGCCGCGCCGACGGGACTCGCCGCGCGCATCCTCGAGAAGTGGTCGCCGCCCCAGATGTCGTACCCGCGAGCTCCGCCGCCGCCGCCGCCGCCCGCGGCTCCCGCGGTGGGCCCGAACATGTCGTCCACGTTCGGCGGACGTCCGCCGCCGTACCCCGGCGGCGCTCTCCCGCCGCCGCCGCCGCCGCCCTGGCCGATCATCGCGGCGAGGTCCGACGGCGTGAGCAACGAGTGCCCGTTCCACGACGCGCTCGTCGTCGTCGTCGTCGTCGTCGTCGTCTGCGCGGGCGGCGGCGCGGTCGCGTAGATCCCGGCGAGGCGCGACGCCGCGGGCGGCGCGACAAGCGGCGGCGGCGCCACCGGCGGCGGCGCCTCCGCGTTCGGCGGCGTGATCCAGTCTGGCCGTCGCGGCGGGAGGAACGACGCCGGCGGGCGCGGCGGCGCCGGCGGCGGGTGCGTCGCCGCGATCGTCGCCAGCGCCGGGGTGGACGACGGCGGCGGAGCCGGCCTAGCGACCGCGGGAGCGACGACATCGCGCGGCGGCGGCATCCACTTCGGCTTGGGGAACTTCGTCTCCGCGGATTTCGGCGCCGGCGGCTGCTTCGTTCCCGCCGCGAACCCGATGCCCGCGCCGGCGGCTGCCGTCGCCGTCCTCGGCGTCGGCACCGGCGACTTCTTCGCCTGCTGGGCGGGGACGACCGGCCTGTGCTCCGCGACCGCGACCGGCGGCGCGGGTTTCGTCGTTTCCTTCGGGATCTCGCGCGTCTCCTCGCGCCTCGTCTCGTCCGCCGGCGGCGGCGCCGGCGCGACCTCCGCGGCGGCGGCGGCGGCCTCCTCCTCCTCCTCCTCCTCCTCCTTCTTCTTCCTCCGCTTCTCCTCCTCCTTCTTCCTCCGCTTTTCCTCCTCCTCCGCGACGAGTTCGTCCATCAGCTTCTTCGCCGCCGCCTCCGCGACGAGTTCGTCCATCAGCTTCTTCGCCGCCGCCTTCTCCTTCTTCAAGTCCTCCTCCTCTTTCGCCGCCGCCGCCGCCGCCTCCTCCTCCTTCGCCTCCTTCCCTTTCTTCGTCTCCATCGCGCCGTCGCCCTTCTTCGCGGCGCCCGCCGACGTCTCCTTCGCGCCCGTCGGCTCCTCCGCGTGGACACCGTGCTGCACGAACAAAACCAGATACGCGACGACCACCGCGAGCACGGCGACGACAAACTCCGAAGTCGTCACCTGAAACGTGCACATCAACCCCTCGCACGCGCGCGCGGCGACATACTCGCCCTCCTCGTACGCCCCAGTGCTCGCGGTCGCGGTCGTCACGATCCGCGTCCACAGCGTCTCCGCGTCGCCGTCGACGACGTCATCTCTGTCCTCGCCGCGCGCGGCGACGTCGAACATCAGCATCATCGCCGCCGGGGGCTTCCTCGAATCGTCCGACGACGGCGTGTACGTCACCGTGATCGGGCTCGCTTGCCCCGCGCGCAGGTACGTCTCCTCGCACGGGTCCACGGAGATCCCGCCCCACGCGCACTTCCCCGTCGTGCCGATCTTCGGCGGCGACACCGACACCGGTCGGTTCCCGGCGTTGAACACCGCGACGGTCACCGCCTGCGTCCCCTCCGCCGCCTCGGTGTTGAACGCGACGTCCGTCACCGCGCCGTGCGCGGATCCGAACGTGTGCGTCTTATACGTCACCATCCTCGTCTTCAGCTTCGGCGGCTCCGCGCCCTCGCCTCTGAGGACGACGCAGGACAGGACGCTGAGGTCGTTCCGCGCGCACATGTGCGCGGCGTGCGCGCCCGCGCGCGTCGGCTGAAACGCGACCACGCCGAGCAACGCCCGCTCGGTCGGGCCCAAGCAGACGCGATCCGGCGCGTCGCCGTCCGACGCCGCCGCGGTTCCAGACTTGAACGTCCACCTCCGCCTCTTGCCGAGCATGGACGCGACGTCGCCGTCGCGCACGGTGAAGCCGACGACGGACGCGCCGGGGAAATCGCCGGCGAGGTGCGCCTTCGCCGCCGCGAGCGCGCCGCCGTGATCGTGCCCGGCGCCGACGCCGGGCTTGGCGGACGCGTCGCCGCCGCCGCTCGAGGACCGCGTCGCGCGCGTCGAGACGCGCGTTAAAGGCGGCGACGACGCGCACATCGTGCCCGTCGTGGACGGGTTCACGACGTACACGCGCGCTTGCCTGCGTCCCGTCGCGCCGACGACGGCGGAGCCGAACGAAATCTCGTCCCCGACCGTCTCCGTCGCCCCGCCGTCCTCGCCGCGATCCACGTCGACGAACTCCCATTTAATGATCGCGGGCCGCACCAGCGTGGTTGTCACCGGCACCGGCGTGACGTCCACTGCGTCGGCGCGCAGTCGCAGCGTCGTCGTCGCCGCGCCGTCGTCGTCCCTCCCGGCCGCCGCGGCGAGCCACGCGACGTTCGCCCTGCGGAGCTCCTCCGCGTGAGACTTGGTGAGCTCGCCGAGGCTTCGCTCCGCGGCGGTCTCGCCCGCGGCGCCGACGAGACCGCCGAGGTACGCGGCGTCCTCGGGGAGCGTCGACGGGTCGAAGTGCACCTCGCCGACGACGGTCTCGACGTTCGGCGCCAGCTTCGGTCGGGCGCCGCCGGTGGCGAACGCCTTGGCGGGGACGAATCGAATCGCGGGGTCGTCGGACTCGACGTCCGCGAGGGTGACCGTCTCCGCGAACGTGTTCGTGACGATCAACGGCGAGGACGCAGGCCGTCCCGGGTGCGACGGCGGCAGCGGCGCCACCTTGACGACGATCTCGCCCGTGACCGCGCGCAAGGACACGCGCGTCCGCAACTCGCGGCCGTTGTCGAACGCGAAGACGACGGCGCCGTCCGGGGCGATCTCGTCCTCGGTGACGTCCGCGACGACGTCGACGACGGCGACGCCGCCGGGGGGAATCACCGCGTCCGTCGCTTGCTCGCACGTCGAGCTCGAGCCGTCGCCGTCGCACGTCCGCCGCCGCGCGTCGAGGATCCACTCGCGCGCGCCGGATTCCTCTCCGTCGGGCGCGAGGACGACGACGCGCGACGCGCGCACGGCGCGCACCGTGGAGACGGCGCGCGTCATCGCGATCGCGAACTGGTTCGGGTTCCCGACCGCGAAGCGCTTCGTTCTCGTCGCGGGCGCGCCGACGACGCCAAAGTCGATGCTCGACACCGTGCGGTCGTCCGCGCACCCGACGACGTCCGCGGCCGCGCCCGCGGCAGCGGACTCGGATTCGGACTCGATCGACGCCGCGATCGCGATCGCGGCGTCGTCCTCGACGCACGTCAGCTTCCCGTCGTACACCCTCACGGGAACCTCCAGCGTCGTGACGTCCGTCTCGAACGCGAGAATCGCCGTGAACGACGCGCCCGCGCGCGTCGGCGTCCACTCGAGCGTGAACGGGGACAGCGTACCCTCGGAAAGGACGATCTCGCCCAAGTCCACGTCGGAGACGTCGAACGACGCGATCTTATCGTCCGCGATCTTATCGTCGTCCACGCCTTCGATCCGCGTCACTTTCGCGGAGAGAAACTTGATCGGCGTGGGGAACTTGTTCTTCACCGTCACCACGTTCGAGATCGCGTCGAACGGCCCGTCGCCGCCCTCATCCTCATCGGGGGAGATGAAGCTCACCTCCGCGTCGTCGATCTGCAGCTTCCCGTGAAACACCCTCGCGCGATACGGAACGACGATCGGCCTCCGCTGCCCTTCCATCTTCACGAACACGTTTCCGGTCCTCTCCCCCGCGAGCTTGCCGCTGTACGTAAACTCGATCGCGTTCAGCGCGCTCGCGTCCGGGGCGATGAGCGCGTCCTTGTCGTAGCGCCATCGGAACGACGGGTCCGCCGGGCGCGTGTGCACGTCCAAGATTCGCGTCGGCCGGTCCGCGCCGTTGAACAGCGACAAAGACGTCCTCAGGCGGTCCACGCGCCGCGTCGCGACGCCGAAATCGATCCGATCCGGGGACGCGAACACCCCGGTCGGGCTCGCGTGCGCGTGCACCGGGATGTGCAGCTCCGCGCGCGCGACCCTCCTCGCGTCGATCGAACCCGAACCCGAACCCGCGCGCGTCCGCCGCGTCGCCGTCGCGTTTTCGTCTTCGAATCCTTCGAATCCCCCCACTCCTCCTCCGTCGTCGCCGCCGCCGCCGCCGCCGCCGCCGTCGTCTCGCATCGACCCGTCCGCCGCCTCTCCGTGCTCCATGCTCACCCTCACGTGCCCCTCGTGCGCGCCGTCGTGCATCGCGTCGACGCGCACCAAGACGATCGCGCGCGTCTCCCCCGGCTCGATCTCCCAGATCGACCGGTCATACGTCCGCTCCTTCTTCAAATACGTCGCGCCGTCCGGCTGTAACTCGTACTCCGTCTCCGCGTCAAACGCGCTCGAGTGGTCGCGCTCGTCCCTGCCCGCGGGCGCGAGCGACATGAAGTCGTCCGGGGTGTCCACCGACGTGACCGTCAGCGGCGTCGCGTGCGGGTTGTGCACGTGGAGCCTGTAGACGTGCGGGACGCCGGTTTGGATCTGCGCGCCGACGAGCGGGTGCACCTTGTACGGGGACTCGACCGCGTTCGCCTTGGCGCGGACGATGAACGCGCCCACGGACGTGTGCACCATGAAGGACGCGTGCGACGCGCCCAACGCGCGAGGGATGAAGGCGATCTTCACGCGCGCGCGGCCCATCGGCGGCAGCTCCACGGGCGTGAAGTTCGCGGGCTGGAACGCGAGGTGATCGGTCGTCACGGACGTGACCTTGAGCGCCTTCGTCGGATCTTTGTTCATCACCGTGACGTGCGAGGACGCGACGGAGCACAGCGTCGGGCCGCCGAAGTCGAGATCCATCGGGGAGATGGACACGAGCGGCTCGGGGACGCGCTCGTCCGGGCGGACGTGCTCGAGTCGCGCGTTCGCGTACTTCGGACCCGAGGGGGACTCCGCGGTCGTCGTGTACGCGAAATCGTTCGCGGGCTCGACCGCGAGATTCGCCACCGCGCCTCGATCGCGGCCGACGCCGTCCGCGAGGACGAACGTTGGACGCGCCAAGACGCAGATCGCGGCCGCGGCGAGGACGACGAGCGTGCGCGCCGTCGTCATGGAGACGCGCGGGAACGCCGCCCGCGCGCGCGCGCGCGAGAACGTCGCCGCCATGCGCCCGCCGGCGTCGCCGCAAGTGTGTGTGTGTTACACGTGATGAAGCGATGTCTGCGTCTGTACTGTAGTTGTAGACCGCGCGCGTAGATTTCGACCGACCGCATCCGCATCACGACAGATGGAGGATCCGCCGCTTGTGGTTCTCCTCCCTACAACTCGCGCGAACCTCGGCCCGACGGCTCGAGGCGCGCGCGCGCGTCGCACGCACGCAGGATGCGTCCGCTCCCCGTCGCGTCCGCGCGCGCGACCATCTCCGGGAGGTCCGTCCGCGCGCTGGACGCGCCGCGACGGAGGGCCCTCCGGCGCGTCGTCGCCGCGTCCGCGGCCGCCGCGGCGAAGCGCGCGAGGAGATCTCAACCGTCGGTCGATCCGCCGCCCGCGCGCGCGGGCGCGGCCGCGCCGTCGCCGTCGTCGCCCTCCGCGGACCACCTCTCGAAGACCGCGCTCGGGTCGTGCGCGCTGCTCGCGATGTGCGCGGTCGTCGAGCCCGCGTCCGCGAGGGACGTCACGGTCTCCCTCCCCGACCTCCCGGACTTTGGCGAGGTCTCCACCTCGCTGCGCGTCGCGCTCGACGGCCTCTCCAACCTGGAGGTGCCGTCCACGCGGATGGAGTTCCTGCGGCTCGTCCTGAGCAACCCGATCGCCGCGGTCGCGGTGAGCGTCAGCGCGTACCTCGTCATCCCGAAAGCCTCCGAGCTGCTCGTCAAGTTCGTGCTCGCGCCGGCGATCGTGCTCGTCGTCGCCGCCGCGGCGGCGCAGCACCCCGCGGAGACCTCCGCCGTCGCCGCCGCCGCGATTCGAGAAGTTCGCGACAACCCGACCGTCACGAGCGGCGTCATCCTCGCGCTGTGCGTGGTGTTCCTGTCCCCGTACTTCCTCGTCGCCGGGTTCGCGGCGATCATCGTGTCCGGGGTGAACGTCCTCCCGGACGCGCTCAAGCCCGCGCTCCCGCGGCCGCTTCGAGACGCGACGAATCAGATCGCCGCGTTGCAACGCGCCGCCGACCCGAGCGTGAAGCGCGTTCAAGGGTTCTCCGACGAGGCGTACAGACGGTCGATGGAGGTGAAGAGCGAGATGGAGAGACTGGCCGCGGAGGAGGCGGAGCGCGACCGCGCGGAGGCGATCAGGAGACGCGCGGAGACGGTCGCGAGCGGGGTGACGAGCGCGATAACCGCGCCCGCGAGGGAGGCGGAAAGGCGCGTCCGCGACGCCGCCGAAATCGCAGCCGACGCCGCGTCCGACGCCGCGGACGTCGTCCGAGACGTGAACGCGGAGGCGACGTCCGTGACGCGGTGCGTGGATAAGCCCACGGCGGCATCGAGGGCGGCGTGCGTTGACGAGAACCGCGCGGAGCGGACCGCGAGGGAGGCGAAGCGGACGGAGGCGCTGCGAGCCAAGGCGCGGCGTCTTCGAGCGAACAGCGCCAAGGCGACGCCGCCTATTCCGCCGCCGCCGGACGTTCTCGGCGCGCTGACGCGAACGACGGAGAAGTGAGCGACCGGACGTCGCGTCACTCACGCGTAGGCTACTAGAGTAAGTTTATATGTTGTTACAGACAGCGTTGTCGTCACGGCGTCGATCGATGCGCGAGTCGAGTCGAGTCGATCACGTCGGGCTCGTCCCCGGTCGTCTACCACGCGGAGGCGGCGAGCGCGGACGTTTTCCCTCGGCACGATGAGATCCCGAGATCGCCTCAGGCTCCGCGCGTCCGTTCGCGTCCGCGCGGTCGCGCCTCCCGCGCTCCCCCGCCGCGGTCAGCCTCGCGAGGCGGTCCAACGCCGCGTCTCGCTCGCGCACGATCTCCACCCTCTTCGCCGCGAGCGCGAGCGACTTCGACCTCAGCTGCGCGTGCATGTCGAGCAGCCCTCGCAGCGCCTCGACGGTGTCCGCGAGCGCGTCGTGCTCCTCGCCGCCGCTCCCCGGCCCCCGCGCGTCCATGTCCGCGAAGATGCCGTCCAGGGCTTTCCACACGTCCCCGCCCTCCTCCGCGTCCGCGAGGGGGTCGCCGCGAGAGGCGTCGCCGCGCGCCTCCATCCGCCGCGCGTCGCTTCGCCGCGAGGCGTCGCGTCGCGACGAAGAGTGCGCGCGCGCGCTTTTTCTGTTCAAACCCGCGCTTCTTTACACGGCGCATCAAGCGGGCTGGGGACGATCGATCACTGCCGCGGGCGCTCTCGAGTTGATGAGCAGCTCGGGCCTGCGCTTCTACCGCGAAGTCCGTCGCGCGCTCCGGAAACTCCCGCCGAACGCGCAAGACTACTACGCCGTCGTCGCGCGGGAGAAGTTCGTCGCGCACAGGGACGAGGACGACGCCGCGCGCGTGGAGCTGATCGTGAGGAAATCTCGCGAGGATCTGCGCTGGGTGCTGCGCAAGTACTCCTCCTCCTCCGACGGCGGCGACGGCGACGGCGCGGCCGGGAAGCCAGACCGCCCGAAGCTCGCGTAAATAAGCGCGAGAGCGAGACGCGCTCGCCCTAGTCATCAGACCAGAACCAGACGCCGCCATGGACGCGCTCCTGTCGCGATGCGCGCGCGCGGACGGCGAGAGGATCGACCCGTCGCTGTCGCCCGCGCCGAGCACGCTCGCGGAGGACGGCCGAGGCGTGCTGTACGCCCTCGGCGCGGACGGCGTCACGCGCGCGGCGGCGGCGCGGCACGTCAACGCCGCGTTCCGCGCGCGCGATGGCGACGGCGCTCACGACGACGACGACGAAGACGACGACGACGCGAGCGCGTTCTTGAGGGAGTCCGTCCGCGAGTACGCTCCAGACCCTCCGCTGGATTTCGAACCGCGCACGATCGCCGTCTCCCCGTCCGGGCACTTCGCCGCGATCGGCGGCCTGAGACACGCGCTGCGCGCCGCCGGCGACGCCCAAACCGACCCCATCCCCCCGTCCTCCGCGCTGTCCGTCGTCACCCTGCGCGCGGCGACGACGCTCGAGCGCCGCGACGCCGGAGACCCGGGCTGCCGCGTCGTCTCGCTGCTCGTCGACCGGTTCGCGTCGCACGCGAGCGTTCGCGTGTTGAGAGCGAGTTGGCACCCGAGAAGCGATTCGCATCTCGTCGTCCTCCTCAGCGACGGCACGCTGCACGTGTTCGACGCCGCGGCCGGGTGCGAGATCGAGCAGGCGTTCCGTTTAGACCCGTGGGGACGCGGGCCGGCGCCGGGGCCGTTCCCGCTCCGCCCGGAGATTGTCGACTTTGACTTCGCGCCGCCGCACGGATGGGGCGCGCTGTCGCTGATTCTCCTCGGACGCGAGGGCGACGTCTACACGCTGTGCCCGTTCGCGCCGTACGGGGCGAGGTACCCGCGCGTGACGCTCGAGAGCTTGCAGTGCGACGACGCGAACTCCGAGGCGTGGTTGGAGGGGATGTTCCCGACGCTTCGAAGGACGCGGCGAAGAAGGCGGCGCGGCGGGCCGCCATTTCCGCCGCCGCGCGGGTCCGGGTCCGTGTCCGGGTCCGGCGGCGAGTCCGGCGGCGCGTCGGCGTCGGACGACGGCGACGGCGACGACGGCGACGACGCGTCGGACCCGGACGTCGACGACGACGCCGCGGACTCGGACGACGACGGCCGAGGCGGCGAGGAGACGTACGGCGACGCCGCCGGGGACGGGTGGACGGGGAGGACCGTCTCCGCGAAGAGGGCGACGCTCCAGGGCGTCGCCGCGGCGCTTCGCGGTCCACTGCCGCTGGGCACCGGACCGTGCGAAGGCGACGACGACGACGGCGGCGGCGGCGGCGGCGGCGGGATGCTCGGACGCGGCGTCGTCGCGCGGTCGCTCGCGGCGGCGCCGTTCGCCGCGGGCGAAGGCGGCGGCGCGCTGCTCGCGGTGGCGCACCAACGCGCGGCTTCGGCGTCGACGTCGACGTCCGCGGCCGGACGCGTCTCCGCGACGCTCGACATCCTCATCCTGCCCTCGGAGCCCGCGCCCGGGTGGGCGGCGACGAACCCCGACGACGACGCCGCCGCGATCGAAGAGGCGACGCTCTCGGGCGGGCCGCCGACGGCGCTGACGCCCGTGGTGACGGATTACGACGAGTCGTCGCTCCCGCCGCTCCTCGCGATCGACCGCGTGCAGCTCGTTTCCGGCGAGTCCACGATGCGTTCGCACGCGTCGCGAATTGCGGCGGCGGCGAACGAGCTCGCGCCGTTCGTGCGCGCGTCCTGGGACCCGGCGTGCCGCGAACGCGTGTACTGCGCCGCGGGCGGCGCGGTGCACTCGGTCACGCTGACGTGGTTACACGCGGTCGAGGGCGCCGTGGACGACGAGTCCGCGGGCGGCGACGGCGGCGGTAATGGCGGCGGGGAGCTCTCGCTGCCGATCGTGTCGACGCTCGTGGACGGCGAGGACGCGCTGCTCGGCGTCGCCGCCGTCGGCGACCCGCTCGCGGAGGGCTTGCTCGTCGCCGTCGACGCGCGCGGCGCGAGTAAAGGGCTGCACCCGCCGCCGCCGCTCCCCGTCGGCGTGGACGACGCGGATGGTGCGACGAAGAGAGAGGACGCGAATGCGGCCGCGAGGGCGAGGGCGACGAGGGCGGCCGCGGAGGCGAGCGCGGAGCTGAGGGCGCTCGCGGCGGGACCGGGGGGAGGGCCGTTCGCGCCGCCCGCGGACGCCGCGGGTCTCAAGCCGGGGACGGTGGAGGGCAACGCCGCGCTCGCGACCGCGGCCGCGGGGCTGAAGGAGCGGCATCTGCGATACGCGCACAGAGTGCACGCGGCGACGCGGCGGCATACTGTTCGTCTCGCCGCGGAGATCAAGCGGCAGCGCGCGGAGGCGGCAGCGGTGCGAGAGGGACTCGAGGCGATCGCGGCGCGCAGGGAAAACTTGGCGGAGCAGCTGGAGCAGGCCCGGGAGAAGCACGAGGAGATCCGCGCGAGGCTGCGCGCGCTGACGAAAGCGGAGCGGAACCTCCCGCACCCGCTGACGCGCGCGGAGAAGGCGTTCGCGACGACGCTCAACGCGGCCGGGGAGGACCTGCCGCTGCTCCAGGCGAAGCTCGAGGAGCTCAGACGACGCGCGGACGCGGTGGGGGATTTGTTCCCGCCGAGGCGCCCGCCGCTCGACGCGGGAGCGGCGGACGTCCGCGCGAGGCCGATCACCGACCCGAGAGTCGCTGAGGAGATCGCGAGGCAAGACGCGGACATCAAGAAGAACTTGGACATGATCGCCGCGATCGAACGAATGGTCGGGACGATCTAGCTACTACTCGGCTCGCTTAAAAATAAACCAAAAACTAACTCAGTTCCACCGTCGACTTCTTCTTCCGGCCCTCCTTCTTCTTCTCCTTCGCGTTCCCCGCGTCCGTCTTCCGGTTCGGGTTATAGAAGAAGATCCCCGCGGACGTCTGCGCGCTCGGGTACTCCTCGTCCAAGGACCCGCCAGAGGACGACCGGCTCACGGTGCTGAAACTCTTGACGCTTCCGCCCCTCGACGTCGCGGCCGCCGCCGCGATCGGCGACACCGGCGGCACCACCGGGAGCGACGGATGCCGCGGCGGCAGCGCCGCGGCGTCCGCGTGGACGACGGGCGCGGTCTTCGCGAGCGTCCTTACCGCCTCCTCGAGCGCGGCGAGTTTCATCTCCGCCTCCAGCGTCGTCGTCGGCGTCTTCGCGCACCACACGCCGCCGTCTCTGAGAAAAAAACCTCTCCCTCTCCCGTCCCTCGCGAAACCGGCGGACCCCCCCAACGCGTCGTAGCACGCCGCTAACCTCCTCCTGACGTCGCGACCGGCGTGCGAACGAACGAGATCCACGCCGCGAAACCCCTGGCGCGATGTCGCGGCGTCGTCCACGCGAAGATCGAAGGCGGTGCCTTCATTCCCAAGCACCCAACGCAAGCCGTGCGCGGACCCATCCGCCGTCGTCGCCGTCATCCGACGTTCCCCGTCGGCGCCGCGCTCGACGCCTTCGAGCGACGCGACCGCGCCGCCTTTTAGTCTGAGGCCCAACGTGCGTCTCGTTCCTCCGCGCGACTGAAGTCGCCATTCGTGTTCGTCCAAGCTCTGGGAGTCGAACCCACCGGTGCATCGCACCCTCCCGCTCCTGTCCCCGACGACGAGCGTGGACCCGTCCGGGGACCACGCCAGCGTCGTGACTTCGTCGTCTTCGGAGGTTTCCATCCCCGGGGTCCCGGGTTCGACGCTCGCGACGACCCCGCCGCGTTCGCTTCTCCTGGGCGTCGACGCCGCGTTCACGTCCGGGATCGCCCACACGCGCGTCATGCCGTCCTCGTACGCGCACGCGCACATCCACCCGTTCGGATGCAGCGCGACGCGTCGCACCGCGTTCGTTCGAAGCGACGGGATGTCCGGATCCGGCGCGACCGCGGTGACGAAGCGCAGCTTGCCGTCGACGTCGTCCGCGTGTCTCGCGAAGACGTACACGGTGCCGGTGTTCGCGCCGAGGAGGACGTGGCGCGGCGTCGCGTCGACGCACAGGAAGCGAACCCGCGGGCTCACGATCTGGGACAGCGCTCGCGCCTCGGCGACGGGGCGCCACGGCGGTGACATCTCGCCTTCTTCGTCCTCTCTCGTCGTCCGACGCCGAGTGCTGAGCTACCGAGCAGCAGCGCTCGCGTCGCGAGAGCGCATCTACGACGTGCGATATCGGGAGTCGCTCGCGCGCTGGGCGAAGTAGCGTCGCGCCGCGAGGAGTGTCGCGGAAGTAACACCACGATCGTTATTCTCTTCGTCTAGAATTAGCGCGGGAACTTCGACGTTTCGAGCGTTCAGCGCGGGGTCGCGGAGGAGAGATCGCGACGAGGACGCGCGTCGTTTAGTTTGATTTATCGTAAGATAACACCCTCCAATTCGTCAGCTAAGCCAACCCCCCGCTCCAGACCAAGTATCCACACCGCGTGGACACCGCACCTAACGGTAAGACTTCTGGAAGCGGGCGCGCGCACCGCGACCGCCAAACTTTTTCGGCTCCATGCGCCTGGGATCCGCCACGAGAAGCGTGCGGTCGTACGTCAGGAGCGCGTCCTTGAGCTCCTTCTTGCTCTGCTCGTCGACGTACTTCTGGTAGTACGCCACGATAGCCTTGGCGATCGCCTGCCTCACGGCGTACATCTGAGACACGTGCCCGCCGCCCTTCACGCGGATGCGAAGGTCCAGGTTCGCGAAGCGCTGCTTGCCGAGGAGAAGCACCGGCTCCATCGCCTTGATGCGAAGCGTCTCGGGCTGGATGAGCTCGATGGGGGCGCCTGTTTTATGATCGCGGGGTGTGTGTGTGTGGGGGGTGGAACCGTCAGACGATGTTCGGGGTCGAGAGCCCGACGGACGGGCCTTCGCGGCGACGGTGGATGGTTGGAGGAAAAAACCCCGCGGCCGCGACGACGCGCGCTCCGCGGGATGGCGCGCGCACGCGCGCTTCCGCGGGACGGATCGCCCCGCGTCGGCGCCGTGCGACACCCCATGCGTCCGCTAGAGACGCGCGCGGACTACGCGAGGCGGAGGAGCGCGCGAGCGGCGCGCGAGCGGCGCCACACGCGCGTCTCCATCCGTCCGCCTTGAACCCTAAGCTACTACTGGCGATGTTTTTCGCGCCCGTCGCGCGCGCCGGATCCGCCGTGGTACGCACCGTTGAACTTGATGATGCCCTTGCCAGCCTTGCAGTGGACCACCGCGACGGCGGTCTTCTTGCGACCGAAAGTTTGGACCTGGGGATGGAGGATCGACGGAGGGGAGCGGAGGCGTCAGCGGGATGGACGGGGACGGCAGCGGCATCGCGCGAGAAGAAGATTTAGGGTTTTCTCCGCGGAGCGCGCGGAAACGACGCGCGGTGGCACGCGCGGCGTTCTCCAACGCGCGCGAGGGACGCGCGAGAGGTGCACACGCACCGACTGAGTCGCCATGATTCCCGGTTCGACGTGTGGACGTGCGAACGCGTGCAGAAAAGAGGGAGATGCACGCGGCGGGCGACGCCTCAAGAAGCGCGAGAGCTTTCACACTGAAGTTTAGTCGCGACGGAACCTCAGGTTCAAATCTGACACGGTTCACCCATCTCTCGGTTTCAACATTTCACAGTTCATCGCGATATTCCTTTCAAATGACCGATGAAAATGATGATGGCAGAAGAGCGTGTCCGGCCGGTGCTCGCGTAACGCTTCGCCTCCCGTCCGTCATCTCACACTCCGACGCCGCGCGAGACATGACGTTCACGCCCGCGCCGACGCAAGCGAAGCGCCCCTCGTGGGCGAGCGCTCGCGATGACCCTCCCGCGGACGCGAATACCGCGGACGCGAAGCCGCCGCCGCCCCCCCCGCGCGCGCGTCGGCTCGAGGCGCCGCTGCTGAACGCGCTCGGCCTCGGCGCGATCTTCCGTGACCCCGACGGTCGCGACGACGACGCCGACGCCGCCGCCGCGCGCGCGGACGAGACGTTCACGCACAAGATGTGCAAGATGTGCGGGAACGTGTGCAACGCGAAGATGACGTCGTGCACGTCGTGCTGCCTCCCGCTGACGGAGCCGGGGTCGTACGCGCCCGCGACGATGCCGAAGCCCGGCGCGGTCGCGTCCGACGACGACGCGACGTCCGAGGACGACGCGTCGTCGAACGAAGGCGACGGCGACGGCGACGGAGCCGAACCGTCGTCGTCGTCGTCGCCGCCGCCGCCGTCCGCGATGCCGTCGAACGCCGCGCGCGCGGCGATGGAACGCCGCAAGCTCGAACGCCGCCGCGCCGCGACCGAAGCCGCGACCGCCGAAGACGAAGACGACGAGTCAGCGTGGTGGGCGCGCGGCTGGCGCGACCTCTCCCCGCCGACGCGCGCGCGAGGCCACGACCCGGCGCTGCGATCCGCGTACGACGTCCTCGGCCTCCCTCTCGGCGCGGGAGAGGACGACGTCCGCGCGGCGTATCGAAGAGAAGCGCGGATCAACCACCCGGACAAGGGCGGCGAGCCGGAGGAGCTCGAACGCGTGCACGACGCGTTCGACGCCATCGCGCTCGACGCGTGGCGGCACGACGACGGCGCGCGGGCGCTGCGCGACGCGCTCGCGGCGAAGAAGGAGGGGAAACGAACCGACGCCGACGCGACGAACGGGGAAGACGAACCGACGCGCGACGACGACTCCCCCCCGCCCCCGAAGATCTTCGTCTCCGTGTGCGTGTATCGCGACCCGGAGGCGCAGTTCACGCTGCGCGACGTCTTCGCCAAGGCGACGCGACCGGAGCGCGTCTTCGTCGGCGTCTCGTGGCGGTATAAGCTCCCGAGACCGCCCTCCTCCTCGTCCGCGCCGGTCGTGATCGATCGCATGCATCGCGACATGGCGCCCCTCGCGTACGCGATCGAGCGAGAGGCGGCGAAGATAAAGGACGAGGAGGGCCAGCGGAAGTACCTGACCGAGTGCATGGACGTCCAGAGGGAGGCGCAGGCGGCGTGCGACGACGTGGAGGCGAAGGTGCGTTCTATACACTGGTCCCCATACGACCGCGTTGGCGTGGTGAACGCCGATTCTTAAGGACTTTGCCCGGCGTCTCTCTCCGCCCACCCCTCGCTTTCAATCCCCGCCCTCGACGCCTTTCAACTCCATCTGACGCCTTTCAACTCCACCCCGACATCGCTTTGTATGGAACGACCCTAAGCGGCACGGGAAAGCCGGCGTCGCGGCGCTCGCGTCCCTCCACGACGCGAAGAAGCTCGCCGAGATGGCCGAGAAGCAGAAGCGCCAATCGCCGCCCTCGTCCTCGTCCTCGCCCGCGCTCGCGCCCACTTCGGACGCGGCGAACGAGTGGGCGTGGGCGAGCCACGTCAGAGAGACGCACAAGCGGTGGGACGGCGACGACGGCCCGTGTTACGCGCGGCACCTCGCCGACCGCCTGTGGGGCGGCGAGGAGTACGTCTTGCGCGTCGACGCGCGGACGCGGTTCGACCGCGGGTGGGACGAGACGCTTTTAAGCGATATTCGCGGGGAGCGTCGATCGAGGACGACGGTGTTGACCGGGTACCCGCTCGGGTACAGGATGCGACAGGCGGCGGTGTACGACGGCGACGACCCGGTCACCGCGAAGGTGGCGGGGTACCTCCCTCTGTACGGCCGCGGGGACGACGACGACGACGACGGGAACGACGACGACGGGAACGACGTCGACGCGGACGCGCCCACGATCGCGGCGGTCGGGATGCAGAGCTTCGGCGAGCGCCTCCCCAAGCCCGCGGCGGTTCGAATCGCGCGAGGGGCGACGATTCATATCCCCGACGCGGGCGTCATCCCGGTGCCCAACCCGAACTTCGTCTTCGCGCCCGCCGAGGCGCTGATCCGCGACGCGCCGTCGGATCCGCACGCGCCGTTCCTGTACCTCGGCGAGGAGCTCTCGCTCGGGGCGCGACTCTTCACGCGCGGCTGGGACCTCGAGCTCCCGCGCCGCTGCCCGCTGAGGCAGTGCTACGACCCGACGTTTCGATCGAGCGCGGTGACGCAAGACCGCCGCGCCGGCCGGATGATGTACGGCGATCCGTTCGAAGCCGGTCGCGGCGACCCCGCGATGCTCGTCGAGCGCGAGGAGCTCAACCTTCAGTCGCAGCGCAGGGTGCTTCAGCTGATCGGCGAGCCTGACCTGGACAGCGCGACGTCCGACCCCGAAGACGCGGTCGCGATGAAGGGCGCGTGGGGCGTCGGCTCACGTCGGTCGACGCGCGCGTTCGTCGACCGCGTCGGCGTGGATTTCGCGGAGAGAACCGTCTCCTCCGCGGCGAGACGCGGCGGGGTGCCCCCGGCCGCGGTCGCCGTGGAGTGCAACGTCGACTCCGCGCGGCACGACCGCACGATCGCGGCGAAGCGAGAGGATAGACTCGCGTTCAGCGGCGACGGGATCGTGTCCCCGGTGGACGGGCTCCCGCTCCGGTGGCGCGGCGTCGCGGCGTACGACGACGTGCAAGGCGCGCGCTCGTGCGGTCCCGAGGAAAACGTGTGACGAGCGACGCGCGAACGAAGAAAAGAAAGAAAAAGAATCGTTTCGTTAGGTACAGTGCGCGTCTTACGTTACGTCACTCCTGCTTCGGGCTGCCCATCGGCGCCGCGGTCCCGCGCGCTCGCGTCTCGGGCCCCGCGCCCGTCGTCTTCTTCTTCTTCCCTCCTCCTCCGAGCGCCACCTTCGCGAGCGACTTCACGATGAGAAACCCCCAGTACGCGTTCAGCATCGACGGGATCGGCACCGTCCACGCCGCGATGGTGGCCTGCCATCCCGGCACCGCGGCCCAGTCCGCGTTCACGTACGACCGGTACAGGTCCGGCATGACGGCGACGCGAGCTCCGAAAAACGAAACCACGAACGCCAGCTGGACGAACAGCCCGGCCGGGGTGTTTATCGTCCCCAGCGTCAGCATCGACCCTCGCAGGGACAGCCAGAAGCTGCTGTGCTCGGAGAGTATGAACCAGTTCACGAAGTACACGAACGCGCGATTTAAGATGGCGACGGGCCAGAACAAGATGGATAAGACGTGATGCCACACGTAGAGGTGGAACAGCCCTTTCCCGTTCGATCGCACGGACGCTTCGTAGTTCCACAGCATGGAGACGAGATCGTACGCCATGAAGCCTATCGCGACCGCGCACGCGTTCGAGGAGTCTCCGTCCACCGAGGGCGTGATCACCGCGAACTTCCCTCGCTTGGTCAGCGGCGGCGTCCGCGTCAGCGCCGGGAACACGAGAGCGGGCGCGAGGAGGGAGTTGAACATCGAGTTCGGCGTCAGCGCGAGCGCGTACTTTTGCGACGGCGTCAGCGCGTTCCATCGCGCGCGGCCGACGAGCGAGGGGAGGCACGCGTCGCCGACGAGGCGGATCGCCGCGTTCGCGAGGAAGCTCGCGGTGAAGACGAGCAGGTAGCTCGTCGCCGCGTCGTCCATCGTCCCGGCTCCCGCGCGGCGTGCGCTCGCGCCGGTCAAACTGATCGGCGGCAGCGGGTGGCGGTACTCGTCTTAGTGGGCGGCCGGGGCAAACAAAACGTCGGTCATCGTCCACCGCACTCCCTCCAGCGCGCGCGATGCGCGCCGCGCGCGTCGCGCTCGTCGCGCTCGTCCTCCTCGCGGCGCGCGCGCTCGTCGTCGTCGCCGCCGCGGAGGAGACGAGGGCGTGCGCCGCGACCGCGGACGACGACGCCGCCGCCGACGGACGCGCGTCGTGCTCGCCGACGGACTCGCACGGGTGGAAGCGATACGACAGCCCGATGGACGGGCCGTGCACGATCGACCGCGTGGACGCGGCCGAGATGTCGTTCGCGACGTTCACGTCCACGTACAAGGATCGCAAACCCGTCGTGCTCACGGGCATGCGCGCGAGGAACGCCGCCTTCCGCGAGCTCTGCGCGAAGGACGCGCTCCTCTCCAGGTGGGGCGACGCGAACATCACGCTCTCCACCGCGAACACGCACAGCTACGAGAAGACCGCGGAGCCGCTGCGAACGTACGTGCGCACGCGCCTCGCGCCGCAGCGCCCGAATTCGCGCGGAGACGCGACGCTGTACTGGTTCGGCGATCACGACCACGAGACGTGGGCGCCGCACTTCGACGCGTACGTCCGACCGCCGTTCGTTCCAAACGCCGCGGATGTCGCGCGCTCGTTCGGCGTCGGCGGGCCCCACAGCGGCGTGCCGCTACACGTCCACGGGCCGGGGTTCTCGGAGAGCGTCGTGGGGAGGAAGCGGTGGTGGCTCTCGCCGCCCAAGCCGAAGCCGAGGTTCGATCCGAACGCGACGGCGCTGGAGTGGGCGCTCGGGCTCGGCGAGGACAGACGCGTCCCCGCCGCGGACGACGACGGCGCGTGGGTCAACGTGCCGGAGCGGTACGCGACGAAAGAGACGGCGGCGGCGACGCACGCGACGATGCTCGAGTGCACGGTGCGCGAGGGCGAGGCGGTGTACTTCCCGGATCAGTGGTGGCACGCGACGTTGAACCTGGACGAGACCGTGTTCATGAGCAGTTTCGTCAACTACGCTCTCGACGGAAGCGTCGGCGCGGACGAGCTGGACGACACCCCGCTCGGGGCGACGGGCGCGGGAGGTGCGAGGTAACTTATGTATGTGGTGATACTGTACACACGATAGCGCAGACGATAGAATGAATATCTTATACGTAGAATAAATCACTTCTCCGTGAGCTCGCGGTACCCTTTCCAATCCCGCGGCGCCTCGCACCCGTGCGCTTCCATGACTCTCAACAAACTCAACGACGGGCCGTCTTCTCTGTCGTCCCCGCGCTCGCCGCCGCCGAACCCGCGCGCGGTCTCTCGCAGCACCGCCGCGGCGTCTCCCCACTCCCCGGCGCGATACAGATCGAACCCGCGTTTAAACTCGGATAAGAACGTCTCGGTCACGCCGCGTCGAAGCGCGACGATGTCCGGGTGTTCCTCGAACTCGTCCTCGTAGCTCTGGAACGAGTTCGACTCGAGCTCCACGGACGCCGCGGTCGGGTCGCGGGTCGAGTCGTCCCCAGGCTGCGGGACTTCGTCCAAGTTCACGTCGTACGTGTATATGCCCATCGGAAACGCGCTGCCTTTCACGGTCACGACGTCGAGCTGCCGGCACTGCGCGCGCACGCGTTCGCCGCAGATGTGCACGAAGTCTTCGGACAACAGCAGCGGCACGCCGAACTGCTTCGTCGCCGCTTCCAGACGCGCGGACATGTTCACGTTCGGGGAGAGATAGGACGCGTCCACCTTGTACTCCGACCCGATCGCGCCCTCGATCGCCCACCCGACGTGTAGACCGAACCCCATCTTGACCTCGAAGTTCGGCAGCCGCGCGTTCAGACGCGTGTCGTTTCGGTACGTGTTCAACTTGGCGCTTCTTCGCAGCCCGGCCATGATGACGACGAACGACGCGAGCGCGTTGTTCGCCACGACCGCGATCTGCTCGCGCTTCTCTTTCGTCGTGAGGTGCGGCGCCTCGACGTCGTGAAGGGTGATGTCTTTCGGGAACTTCCACACGAGAAGGAACGCGTCGCCGATGTTCTTGTTCGCGCTGCCGCCGTGCAGATGCACCTCCATGTGCACGATCTTCCCGATCGTGTTCACGAACTCCATGATGCCCTCTTGCAGAACCTCGGTCGTGTCCGTGAACTGCCTGATGTCGCAGAAGCCGAAGATGGCGCAGACTTTCTTCCCGGGGATCATCGGGTCGATCTCGCCGCCGCGCTTCATGTTCTCCGCGATGACCGCGGACCCGGCTTCGCCGAACCCGACCGCGAGAAGGCCGCAAATTTTCGCGATGGAATTTTCGAGCAGCCGCGTCTCCATCTGCGTCGCGCCGGCGGCGTCGCCGCCGTCGTTCACCTCGAACCTCCGCAGCGGATTCTCGCTCACCTCGCGGACTTTCTTCACCATCCGCTCGATCGGCTTCAGCACCAGCGTGTTCGCGTCCTTGCTGAACAGCAGAGCCCCGAGCGCGAGGACGACGCACACGAACGTCGTCCGACATAAGTTGAGCGCCGCGGTCAGGACGCTGTAATAGCGCACGTCGAAAAACGCAAACGACATCGCGTCGCCGACGTCGTCCTCGCGCTCGTACGTCGTGTAAATGAACTCCTCGCATCGAAGCGCGCGGTGCGACAGACCGCTCAGCGTGAAAGAGACGTTCGCGTGGTCGGCGTACGACGTCCCGTTGAGCACGAGCGCGTACAGACCGTCCGTGCCGTCCTCGTAATCGTTCACTGCGTCGTAGAACCCCGCGCTCGACGCGCCGTTCACGACGAGGAGGTTGTGGATCATCTTCAGACCGCCCTCGGACAACGACGCGGCGGCGCCGATCCACTCCGGGTACGTGTGGATGTCGAACAACGGGAGGCAGAACAGCATCGCGAGGACGCCGACGATGACGCGTCTCGTCGTGAGGTCGGACAGGCGTTGGCCGACTCTCGTCTCCGGGTCGTTCCATACAAAGCGATGTCGGGGTGGAGTTCATAGGCGTCAGTTGGAGTTGAAAGGCGCCGAGGGCGGGTATTGAAAGCGAGGGGTGGGCGGAGAGAAGCGCCGGGAAAAATCCTTAAGGATCGGCGTTCACCACGCCGACGCGGTCGTATGGGGACCAGTGTATAGAACGCACCTCAGGCGTCGCGAACTCTTCGTCGACGTCTTCGTCGGACGCGCGCGGGGCGTCGCCGATTTTCTTCGCGTCGAGCGACGCCGCGCCGTCTTTGTCCTTCGGCGTCGCCGGCGGCGTCGCCGCCGTCGCCGGCGCCGCCGCCGCCCGCGCCAAACTCCCCGCGACGACGTCCTTGCTGTTCCGTCGACGCGTCTGCCACGTCTTGTACAGCTTCACGATTCTCACGAGTCGCACGAGTCGCACGATGCGTCCCGCGCGCGTCCCCGCTCGCGACGCCCGCCCCGCGCGCGCCACCGCGCTGTCCGCGGTGGCTTCCGTGCCGCCGCCCTCGTCGTGCCCGCGCAACCCGTGCGCCCACGCGTCGGACTCGATCGCGCACGGCGCCATGTCGATCAGCGCCATGAACTCGGGAACGTCCATCAACAGCGACAACGTCGCGATGAGATCGAGCCAAAAGTAAAACGTCCCGACGTATCCTCTCTTCGCGAGGCACATCAAACACATCTCCGCGGAGAACAACGCGAGGCAAACGTACACGAGCCCGACGAACATCGGGTCGTCCCCCGCGTGAAACGCCATCAACCGCACGTCGTCCCCGAACAGCGCCCACAGCGTGACGAGCGTCATGAACAGCGTGCACCGCGTCCCGTCGAGGAACCGTAAGATGCGTTGCTTCCACGCCGGCACGTAGAGCGTCTCCATCGCGAGGACGTTGCGCTTGGCGATGGACTGCCGCTGCGTGCTTCTGCGTCTGGCCGAGTTGGGGCCGACGAGCGGCGCGCCGCCGTGCTCGGAGCCTTGCAGGAACGTCTTCTTCTTGAGGAGATCCCAGTTGGACGGCGCGCCGGGTGGCTTCTCCACACGCACGCGCACGACGGCGGCGGCGGCGGCGGCGGCGGCGGCTGCGGCGGCGGCGTCGGTCGCTCGCCGCGCGGGGAGAATAGACGACCGGCGCGCGGGAGCCGCCGCCCACGACCGCGCGCGCGCGTCGGGAGCGGCTGGGCTTTTCGCGGTGGTCGCGGCTGGGTCCGCGGTGGCGCGCGCGGCGGCGGCGGCTTCGCCGCGGCGACCGAGGAACCCGAGGAGACCGCCACCGATCGCGCGGCCCGCGCCGAGGAGCCCGCGCGGGGAGCTCGAGGCGTGGGCGTCGCGACGAGGCGACGACGCGGCGTCGTCGTCTTCTGGGAACGCGGCGCGCGGCGCGCCCGCCGCGCGCGTCATCGCCGGCGCGGTCGTCGCGCGGACGGACGACGACGACGACGGCGCGACGGATGCGGCGCGCCTCCCCAGATTAGATTAGGACGAGAGAAAACGTCCGGAAATGGACGACGCGCGGCGGCACGGACGCGACGCGACGGGCGGCCGCGCGAGTCGCGCGCGCGCGGTCGAGACGGGGCGACGAAGAGCGGTCGCGAGCGACCCTCGCGTCGCGTGCGACGCGCGACGCGTGCGACGCGGCTCGAGCGCGCGGAGCGAGTGTGCGCTCGTTTTGGCCACCACGATCGGAGAGACGAAACGTCACGTCCAAGAAGATTTCGGAATCGAGGCGAAGTCGCGTACGCGACGCGCGACGGTCGTCCGTCATCTCGGGCGCCCCGCCGGCATTGCGTCCCCGCGCGGAGCCCCGTCGTCGCGCGATGACCGCCGCGCGGGTTCGCGCGCTCCTCGCGCTCCTCGCGCTCCTCCTCGCGCTCGCGTCCGTCGCGTCCGCGACGGACGCGCCCGCGCCCGCGCCGGGGGACGCGTCGTCGTCGTCGTCGTCGTCGTCGTCGCCCGGCGGGGGCGTCACGAGCGAATTCGCGCGCCCGGACGCGCACCCCGCGGTGGACCTGAACGACCCGTCCGTGGCGTCGCCGTACGCGCGAGGCGCGGACCCGAACGCGCCAGAGCAAATCCACCTCGCGCCGCGCGCGCCCGGGGTCGTGACGATCGTGTGGGCGTCCGCGGCCGCGCTGGACCGCGACGCGGTCGTGCGGTTCGTCCGCGTCGACGTCGACGCCGACGACGACGCGCGCGACGCCGCGCTCGCCGCCCCCGCCGCGCACGCCGCCGCGATAACGTCGTCGGCGTACACCGCGCAGATATGCCTGGGCGAGCCGAACGACGTCGACGCGGTGCTGGGCCCGAAGCACCCGGTGAGGGTGGAAGATCTCGTCGCGCTCGCGAACACGTCGTCGTGGACGCCGCGCGACGCGGCGAATTATAAAGTGATTCGCGGGCCGGACGACGTCGTCCCTCCCGATTGGTTCAAGACCCCGCCGTACGGGAAGGCGCTGTGCCTGTCGTACAACAACCCGGACGCGCAGTACGCGTCGCCGGTGATTCACGTCGCGCACGTGGGCGAGACGGCGCGCGGCGGCCTCGTCGGCGGCGAGACGGTGGCGTACAGACTCCCCGGGGATAAAACGCCCGGCGGTCGGACGTTTCAGGTGCCGCCCGCCGCGGTCACCGCCGCGGACGTCTCGCGCGCGAGGGACAGAGAGGACGAGGCCGCGGCGGCGGCCGCGCGCGGGAGCGGCGTCGTCTTCGGCGTCGTCGGCGACACCGGCCAGACGGAGGTCACCCGCGGGGTGCTCAAACATCTGTCGGAGATGAAACCGCACGCGCTGCTGCACACCGGGGACTTGTCCTACGCGGACGGATTCCCGCCGCGGTGGGACACGTTCGGTAGGCTCGCGGAGCCTTTGATGTCCAAAGTCCCGATGCTCGTCGTCGCCGGGAACCACGACGTGACGCTCAACGGCGTGGAGTCGACGGCGTTTCGCGCGCGATATCCGACGCCGTACCTCGCCAGCGGCAGCGCGTCCCAGGACTGGTTCTCGCACGACGTCGGGATCGCTCACGTGATCGGGCTGAACAGCTACGCGCCGGTGACGCCCGGGCGGTTCGACGGGTCGAACGCGCCGATGTTCGAGTGGCTGAAGGGTGACCTCGCGTCGATCGATCGCGCGTTGACGCCGTGGGTGATCGTGATGTTCCACGTCCCGTGGTACAGCTCCAACGCGGGGCACTACAAGGAAGCGCTCCGCGCGCAGGAGAAGCTCGAGCCGCTTCTGTACGACGCCGGCGTGGACGTCGTCCTGAACGGGCACGTGCACGCGTACGAGCGGTCGCGCCCGGTGAGGGACTGGAAGGAGGACGCGTGCGGCGCCGTGCACCTCACCGTCGGCGACGGCGGCAACTACGAGGGTCCGTACGGGCAGTCGTGGTCCGAGCCGCAGCCGGCGTGGAGCGCGTTCAGGGAGGGCTCCTTCGGCGCGGGGCGTCTGGAGATTTTGAACGCCACGCACGCGAGTTGGGAGTGGCGAAGGACCGCGTGCGTGGCGTCGGACGGCGTGAACGAGTTGGGGGAGACGACGTACGCGCCGACGGGGTCCGGGGGTCGAGACTGCGAGACCGAGGGCGACGTCTCCGCGCAGCGACTCGCGGCCGTGGACGCGGCGACGTTCGTCAGAGACGCGCGCGCGTGTCCGAACCGCGCGGTCGGCGCGGGGGGCGGGCCCAGGGCGTGGGAGAGGGCGAACGGCGCGGGTCGGGACGACGACGACGGCTCGAGCGACGGCGTCGCGACCGTGGTCGTCCTCCTCGCGTGCGCGCTGCTCGGCGTCGGCGTCGCGCTCGTCTTGACTCGAAACGCGCTGCATCGCGAGCGCGCGGGGAAGAGGAAGGGAGGGTACGCGCGCGGACGCACGCACGAGCGGCTCCGAGACGAGGACGACGACGCGTTGGACGAGACGGCGGACGACGACGAGGAAATCAACGCGTGAGGCGAGGCGAGGCGGCGACGAGAGCCGGACGCGCCACCCCGACGGAGTTCGAACGACGGCGCGACGCGATGATCTCATTCATCAATAAAGTTAGTATCTTGTAACAACAACAACAAATATCTTGTAACAACGACCGTACGCTCCCTCCGCCGCGGGAGGGCGCGCTCCCCTTCTCCGGCCTCGTCGCGACGGACGCGCGTTTTTTGTCTCGCTCATCGCGCGGCGTCGAGGAGCGCCGCTCTCGCCGCCGCTCGGCCTTTCGCGGTGTCCGCCTCCGCGGACGCCACGAACGCCGCCTTGCTGTCCTCCCCGGACGCGATCGCTTTCTCGAGCGCGGCCTTGCCTTTCGCCGGGAGCGCGGCGAGCCACGCGTCGCACGCGTCGACGAACGCGTCGGGTTTCGGTTTCTTCCCCCCGGCTGCTTTCGGCGCCGGCGCCTCCGCCTTCGTCGCGCGCACCACCGTCTTCGCCGTCGCGGGTTTCGATGCTCCCCCCTTCGCCGCGGCGGCGACCGCGCCGACGGCGGACAGCACCGGCGCGAGCGCGAGCTTCGCGATCGGTTTCGTGATGGGCTTCGCGACGAGAAACGCCACGTAGAGGATCGTCGCGAGCGTCAGGATGGCGATCGCGGCGACGAAGTACAGCACGAGCGGAAGATACGGCCGGTACTGGCTCACGAGCTCTCGCGTCTCCGGGTCGAGCTCCGCGAGGAGCATGTCGATGAGGTCGTTCCACTCTCGCGGGTTGAGCATGCCGAGCACGTCCAGGCCGTACCGCGCCTGGTACGGCACGTTCGAGTACACGAACGACGGCAGGTAGCACGAGAGCTTTTTCGCGACCGCGCACGGGAGCGCGAGCTTCGTCGCGAGCTTGCCGCCGGTGTACGCCATGCGCGCGTTTCTTAAGATACCCATCGCTCGTGGGGTAAACGACGACGACGACGCGCGCGTGGTTCGTGGTCGCGCGCCGTGAGAGTGTCGCCGTCGGGACGATCGCGATCGGATGACTCGAGGAAAATATCTTATCTCGCCGCGAAATAACGCAGAAATAACGACTGATGATGAACACGACGTGCTCTCCACGCGACGGCGTCAGCGGCGGCGTCCGCCGCTCCACCCCGAGGTCGAGTCCCGCCTCCCCTCCGCCTGAGGCTTGTTCCCGTACCCGTCGCGCTTCATCTCCCCGCCGCGCATGCCGTCGTCCCGCCCCCGCCGGTCGTAGAACCCGTCGCCGTCGCCGTCTCGCGCTCTTCCTCCGCCGCCGCCGCGGCCGCCTCTCTCGTCGCCTCTCTCGCCTCCTCTTCTCTCGCCGCCGCGCTTCGCCGCCTTCTCCTCCTCGCGCTTCGTCTTAAACCACGCGACGATCTTCGACCTCGGAAGCTTCGTCGCGCGGTGCACGCTGTCCACCATGCCGTCGTCCGGGTACCTCTCCGCGGCGTACACCTTCTCGAGCGTCGCGACGTTGGTCGCTCCCAGCCGCGTCTTGTTGAACCCCTTCCACGCCGGCGCGCCCTTGGGTACGTGCGCATCCGCGGCGCCGGGGGCGTGCTTCAGATACGACGTCTGCGAGGAAACGGCGGCGTCGCGGCCGTTTCTTCCCGCGCGGGACGCGGACGCGACGTTGCCGTCGCGGTCGAGCCGCACGGTGGCGACGCGCTCGGGCTCGGGCGGGTGCGATCGCGCGAGCTCCGGTTCGCGGTGCGCGTTGGCGCGGACCCACGCGAGGACGTCGTCGCGGCGGAGTTCGAGGTCGCGCGCGATCTTGGAGATGGGGATGCGGCGGCGGCCTCGCGCGAGCGCTTTCTCGAGGATCGCGACCTGCGGCGGGGGGTTGGGTGGGGGGGTTGGGGTGGAGTGGGGACGGTCATCGTCGGTCCGCGGCGGGGACGGAAGGATGGATCGATCGAATCGCGCTCGAGGACGGCGTCTTGGGTTCCGGAGACGCGAGCGCGACGCGGTGAGGACGGGACGAGCCGAGCGCGGCGCGGCGCGGGGGATTCGACGCGCGGGGACGCGCGCGCGCCTTGTATCTCGGGAGCTCCGGCGTCAGCGGCTTGAGTTCCGTGAAGAGTTTCTCCCAGTCCTCCTCCTCCTCCTCGTCGTCGTCCGCGGACGCGCGCGGCGGCGCGGGGCCGCGCGGCGTCGTCCTCGGAATCGCCGCCGCCGCGAATTGATGACGTGCCGACCGAACCGCGCGTCGACCGCTCGCCGCGGGGGCGCGCGCGCCCGCGGACGCGCGCGGGATCCGCGCGCGCGGGTTTCGAAGCGCGGACGCGTCGAGCGCGCGGGCCGCGAGCGACGCGGACGCCATCGCGAACGCGGTGCCGTGAGTAATGAACGGCGGGCGTCTCGGGTGGGCGCTCTGCTTTTTGGCGCTTTTTGGGGCGCAAAATAATAAGACGCTTTTTTTTACGCGGCGGCGCGGTCGACTTCTGCGTCGTGTTCTCGTCCTCGCGCGGCGCTAGGTCGACTACGTGCTCTAGCTAGCATCACGCCGCGCTCGCGCTGGAACCGAACCCGAGCAACCTCTGCATGCACGTCACCGCGCGCTTCCGCACGTCCGCGTCCTCGTGCGTCATCAGCCGCGCGACCTTTTCCTTCCCGCCGAGTTCCTCCGCGAGAAACCTCCCGGCGGGCCAACGCGTCGCGAACATGCCGAGGTCGTGGCACGCCACCGCGAGCGTCTTCGGGTCCGCGGCGCGCTCGAGGATGTGGACCAGCGTCCGCAGCACGAGGCAGTCGTCGCGCGTGAACTTCTCCGCGTTTTCGCGCCAGAACGTCTCGTCGCCGCGCGCGCTATACCACTCCAAACATCCGGACAGGACTTCGCTTCGGTACCGTCGCCAGTCGGACGCGTCTCTCCCGCGCCGTAGCGCGCCTTCCTCGAGCTCCTTCAGCGCCTTCGCGAGCTCCTCGTCCGCGTACTCGCGTCGCTGGAGACTGCGCGCGAGCTTCAGGATGTTCTCGTCCTCGCCGGCGGGTCTCGACGTCGACCTCGACGCGGCGGCGGCGGCGGCGGCGGCGGCGGCGGCGGCTTCTTCGCCCCGACCTCCTTCCCCGCCGAAGCCGCCGCCGCGGCCCGCCGCGTCGCCCGACCCCGCCCCCCCCTCGACGACGTTTCTCAGCGCGAGCGTCGCGACGCGGACGATCTTCTCCTTCGTCGCCGTCCTCGCGAGGTCGACCAACTTCCCCGCGGCGCCTCGTCTCGCGAACGCCTCGCGCGCGGGCTCGTGGAAACTCAGCGCGAAGACGCACAGCGCGACGTCGTACCGCAGCCGCGCGCCGCGCGGTCCCTCCGGACCGCGCGTCGTCGTCGTCGTCGTCAGCATCGACGTCAGCGCCTCTGCCGCGCCCTCCGTCGTCGCGATCGCGCGCGCCTCCCTGTCGCGCAGCGCCGTCGCGAGCGCGGCCACCACGGGCGCGACGGACCGCTCCAGGTCCTCGGGGCGTCCGGGCGTCTCGAGGAGCGCGCGGAGCGACCTCGCGAGTCGCGTCGCCGCCTCCGCCGCGTCCGAGGTCGCCGCCGGCTGGATCTCGCTCGTCGTCGTCGTCGTCGTCGTCGTCGTCGTCGTGGAGGCGGAGGAGGAGGAGAGCACGCCGACGCGCGGACGGCGGTGTCCTCCGCCCGCGCGCGTGAGGTTCGCGGTGACGCGAGCTGGGGCGACTTTTGTAGCGCGCGTGGCGCGCTCCGGTCCCACGAGAGGGGAGATCTCGATCTCGTCGCTCTGTTTACGGCGACAAGTGGAGGCTGTCAGGGATCTTCACACCGGCGTCGCGCTTCTTCGTTAGACGGGGAGGACGCGTAGGAGAGAGCGCTCGCTTCCGTCGTCACCTACGTCGCGATGACGCGAGGAAACGAACGTTAGGTAGAGGAGAGGGAGAGGAGACACAGCGACCACGCCGGCGCGCGCTCCGGTCGCGGGGATCGCCATGCTGCGTTCGGTAGGGCTCTCGCCGACCACGTCGACGGCGGGCGCGTCGCGCGTCGTCGAGGCGCGCGCGCGCTGCGCGTCGTCGACGTCGCCGCGAGCGGCCCGAATCGAATGCGCATCTGACGTGGCGAGAAGGAACGCGCGAGTCGCGTCGTGCGCGAGCGCGTCGAGCTCGAGCGCGTCCGCGTTCGTGGGCACGCGGCTGAACGGCGTTCACCACGCGAACGCGGTCGTATGGGAACCAGTCACGGCACGTTATCAAGATCGATGGATCGCGCGCGCCGCGACGCGACGGTGGCGAGCCCCACCGACGCGCGCGGTCGCGACGGACGGCGAAGGCGTCGACGCGCGGCCGAGCGGTGCCATCCCGACGCCTCCCCCCGTCGCGGCGAACGCGCCGCGCGCGCGATACCGCGCGCGCCGGCCGTCGCGCGAGCGGCGGTGGGAACGGCCGGTCGATACGTGGTCCGCGCCCGCGACGCGAGGGAAAAAGAAATTCCTGAGCTGGGCGGAGCTGCGCAGACTGCGCGCGCAGACGGAGCTGAAGATGCAATCGCAGCGCTTGCGAGGACCGAACGGGGACGCGGCTCCGATGAAGCGCGTCGACGGCGCGCCGCCGTCGTCGTCCTCCTCCGTCGCGGACCAGATCCTCTTCGGCGGCGATCTCTCCGAGCTCGACTTCGACTTCGTCCCGGGCGGGGCGGAGAGATCGACGGACGACGACTTCGTCCCGGGCTCGTCGTCGTCCGACAAGCCCCCTAAGACGTACCGCGGCAAGGCGCTCGTGAAGCGCATCAAGCAGCTCGGGGACGCGCGACGACTGGACGACGTCTTGGCGCTCGTGGAGCGATCGGAGATTCCGACGACGCGAAACGGCAGAAGGATAACCGTCGGCGCGGTCATCGGCGCGTGCTGCAAGTGCGGCGATTTAGACCGCGGGCTGACGTTACTTCGACAGCTGGACGGCCCGGGCGGGATCGGCGCGGGCGCGCCGTCGTACTGCGCGCTGATACAAGCGCACGGCCGCGCGGGGCGGCTCAGAGAGGCGCTGCTGCTTCTGGAGACGTGGGAGAAGGGCCGAGGACCCAAGGACAGCAAGATCGGCGTCGGCAGGAACGGCACCATCTACGTCGCCGCCGCGGGGAAATGGCAGAAGAAAGACGTCCCGCTTCGAAGCGAGAAGTGGAGGGACGAGATGGGGACGGAGTGGCACCCGCCGAGGGTGGCGCAGACGCGAATGCTGCTCACGATTCAAGACGCGTGCGCGTCGTGCGGCGACGTCGTCCGAGCGAGGTTTTTTAAAGACCGCGTCTTGTCCTGGAACGGCCGGATCCAAAACGGCAGGGTCGCGTACGACGGCGTGACCGACGAGGAGGCGGCGTGGAACGGCGTCGCGAAGGCGCACGCCTCGAGCGAGGACCCGCTGTCGTGCATCGCGGTGCTTCGAGAGATGGAAGAGGCGGGCGTGACGCCGTCGCAGTGCGCGTACAACATCGCGCTCGCCGCGTGCCAAAAAGGCGGACGACCGGACTGGGCGCGGACGCTCGTCGCGAGGATGCGCAAGGTGGCCGCGCGCACGGGCGACGCGAACATGTATCCGGACGCGATGTCGTACACGACGACCGCGAGAGCGGAAGCGGGCGCGGCGAGAGGGTTCTTGGGCGCGAACCACGCCGGCGGCGTCGAGGCGGTGGAGGCGATGTACGCTGAGGTTCGAGGGCCGCTCGGGCCGCCGCCGGACCCGCAGTGCTACGGCGCGCTCGTGGACGCGTTCGTGGCGTACGGCGCCGTGGATCGCGCGCTCGCGGCGCTCGCGACCGCGGAGCGCGAGCCCGGGGTGGATCTCACCGCGAGGGCGTACCTCGGGGTGATGAGATCGCAGGCGGCGCGAGGGGACGTCCGCGGCGTTCGCAGGCTCGCGGAGAGGATGGAGCTCGAGCTCGGGCGCAGGAAAGCGGAGAGAGAGGCGAGGCACGCGCGACGGAATAAGAAGAAGAAGAGGGGCTCGGCAGGGCTCGACGTCGACGCGAGCTCGCTCGCGTACGCCGCCGCGATGGGCGCGGGCGCGGGCCCCGTGAACCTGGGAAGCAGCGGCGGCGCCGCCGTGGAAGCCGAGGTTGTGATGTGCGAGGCGGAGGCGAAGGCCGCAGCGGGCGACGCGGCGGGCGCGCGCGCGGCGCTGGAGCGGCTCAAGTCGTTGGACTTCGCGTCGTCGTCCAAGGTGCTGCGCGATCGCTCCACGGAGCTTTTGGTCTCGCTGTTCGTCAAGGACGTCGTCGGGAGAGGAAGCGCGGCGCGGTCGAGGGAGGACGCGGATTTCGCGCAGGCGGGCGCCGCCGCGGCGAAGTCCTTCTTGAACGAACCCAGAGCGCCCGCGGCGCCGGGCACCGCGCGCCCGACGCCGACGCCCGTCTCGGACGCGTGCGTGCTCCAAGGCGAGGTCGACGAGGTCGGCGTGGACGGCTTCTTGAACTGCAACGCGGACGGCGACGCCGACGCCGACGCCGCCGCGGCGACGGCGGCGGCGGAGGAGAAGCAAAAGAGCATGTGGGGCATCACGCAGGCGCTCGATCTCATCGACAGCGCGTGGGGTTTCGCGTCGCTCGACGAAGACGACGCGTTCCTTCCGTCGCTCGACGAGGACGACATCCCGATCCCCGCCGCGGGCGGGTTCGGCGGCTTCCTGAACACTGCGGTGAAGTCCACGTCCGATTGGAGTTCGCCGTCCACGCCGGTGCTGCGATCGAACGAAGCCGCGGACGCGCTCGATCTGTGGGCGGGCGCGGCGAGTCGTCTCTTCGCGGGCGAGGCGGAGCCGCTCATTTTCCGCGGCGGCGTCGACCCGGGCGCGCTCCTGCGCGAGGTTCCGGACGTCGGGATGACGATCGACGAGGGCGGCGACGGCGACGTGGACGCGGCGTTCGGCGGCAAAGTCCTTAAGGATCGGCGTTCACCACGCCGACGCGGTCGTATGGGGACCAGTGTGACGGAGAACGCGGACGCGGACGCGGCGGGCGAGAGCGAGACGCGGCGACGCGAGGACGACGACGAGCCTCCTGGCGCGGGCGGCGGCGGCTGGTTCTTCTCCCCGGTCGGCGGGCGAGAGGCGATCCGGTTCGTCGTTCGATGCGACGAGCCCGCGGAGGCGGCCGCGGACGCCGTCGGAAGAGGGTTCGTCGCCGTCGTCATCGACGAGAACCTCCGCCCCGTGGGGACGCTGCGCGGGTCGGCGAAGAAGGCGGAGGGCGTCGGCGACACAGCCGGCGGCGGCGGCGGCGACGCTTCCTCCGCGACGGTGCGATCCGTCATGGGACCGCCGCCCACGCTCGTGGAGGGCGACACCGCGACGATCGGCGACGTCGCGGTGCTGTGCGCCGCCGCGGCGTGCGACGAGCCCGTCGCCATCGTCGACGCGGAGGGCAGGCTGCGGCGGGTGCTTCGGCAAGAAGACCTCCTCGAGCCGGCGCGGACGACGGACACGTTTCCTCGGTGACGCGGACGCGGACTGGACGCGATTCTTTTAAAACGATTCTTTTAGTACGAGCACGAGATGTTACGAATTACGATGCGCATCGCTCGTCATCGCTCCCTACGCGCGCGCTCGTCCGCCTCCTCCTCTCGCGACGAGAATCTTGTTATTATTCGGTCATCCGGCTGATGAGTTTTCGCGGCTGCGAATTTATTTCTGTTCGGCATCCGTCGCGGCTCCGCCAGATCGACGCGCGCGATGTCGAACGTGTACCAGCTCGAGCCGCCTACCGAGGGGAAGGTGCTGCTCACGACGAGCCATGGCGAGATAGAGATCGAGCTCTGGGCGAAGGAAGCCCCGAAGGCGTGCCGGAACTTCGTCCAGCTGTGCCTGGAGGGCTACTACGAGGACTGCATCTTCCATCGAATCATCAAAGACTTTTGCATCCAGACCGGCGACCCCACGGGCACCGGCCAGGGCGGGGACTCGATCTACGGCGAACCCTTCAAAGATGAGCTGCACTCCAGGATCAAGTTCAACCACCGCGGCCAGGTCGCGATGGCGAACGCGGGATCGAGAGACACGAACGGCTCGCAGTTCTTCATCACTCTCGAGCGCTGCGACTGGATCGACAGGAAGCACACCATCTTCGGCAAGGTGGTCGGGCACACGATCTACAACGCGCTGCAGATCGCGGAGCTGGAAGTCGAGGGCGACCGCCCGGTGGAGCCGCATCCGAAGATCATCAAGGCGGAGGTCCTGTGGAACCCGTTCGAGGACATCGTCCCGAGGGTCGTGAAGGGGCTCGCGGACGACGCGGAAGACGCGGGGGAGAAGAAGAAGCGGAAAAAGAAAGAGACGAAGAAGCTCAATCTTCTCTCGTTCGGCGAAGAGGCTGGCGAGGAAGACGCCGAGCTCGCGACGATGGCGAAGCCGAAGGTGAAGTCCGTGTTCGACGCCGAGGGCGACGACGCGAGCGGGCGGATCGTGAAACCCGGGAGCGAAGAGGAGGCGGCGGCGTTGCGGAAAGACTCCGAGGAGCTCGAGCGCACGAAGGCGTTTCGAGAGCGAATGCGCGCGAAACTCGCCGCGCACGAGGCCGGGGAGTCGCTCCCTCCCGACGACGACGACGACGAGAACGACGACCACGTCGGGTTCGAGGAGAAGATGCGCGCGAAGATCATCGCGAAGCAGGAAGAGTTCGGGACGACGGTCGTCGAGGAGGAGCTCAGAGCGCGAGAGGCGGCGGCGGAGAAGCGAGCGAAAAAGGAACGACGCGAGGAGGAGAAGGCGCGGCGCGAGGCGGAGCGCCGCGCGAAAGAGGCGACGCGTCTGCGGAAGCTCGGGATCGGGAAGAATAAGCTCGCGGAGGAGGACGCGGCGCTGATGACGGATAAGGAGGTGAAACGAGTGGAGATGAAACGGAAGAGGAAAGCCGTCGGCGGGCGAGAGAAGGACATGCTCTCGAAGCTCGCGAAATTCGAGACCGGTCTGAAGACGTCCTTGAAAGAGAGCGCGGCGAAGCGATCGAAAAGCGCGGCGACCGACGACGCGGACGCCGCCGCGAAAGAGAAAGAGGGCGGCGCGGAGGAGCGCGACGGCGCCATCGGGGTGTCGCGATACGTCTCCGAGGGTCTGTACTACGCGGACAGCGAGAGCGACGACGACGGCGCGGATTGGAAATCGCACTCGCTGAAGTTCAGCAAAGAAACGCGGGTCGATCTCGGGTCGTACATGGCGTCCGTGGACGATTACGTCGTCGAGGACCCGCTGTTAGAGAAGGGCAAAGGAAAGTTCCGCGACTCCAAAGCCGCGAAAAAGATGAACCAGTGGGCGGGCGGAAGCCTCACGTAGAATACGGTAAACTTATTACTGTCAGGTTAAAAAAAAATCACTCGCAGCCACGACAGTCGTCGGCGGGCGGACCCGGCCGCCGCCCGCGCTCACTGCTCCCCCCCCTCCGCGGACTTCCGCGCGTACCGCTCGTACTTCTCCTTCCCGATGATGTAGTGTCTCTCCACGCACGGCTTCGCCGGCGCGGCGCGCACTCTCGTCGTCTCTTTAAACTCCATCAGCAGCGGCAACGAACCCTCGTGCGCGCGCGCGCTCGTCTCCGTCGGCGTCAGCCCCGCTTCGTTGACGCCGGCGAACGCCCTCTTCGCAGCCTCCCGCTCCCCCGATAAGATCGCCCGGACCGCGCCCACCTGCCCGCCCTCGCACGCGAGGTGCAGCGCGTTGTTCCCTCGCGCGTCGACGCGGCTCGGGTCCGCGCCCTCGCGCATGAGCGCTTTGACGCAGCGCGCGTGGCCCATCGCCGCGGCGCGGTGCAACGGCGTCAAACCGTCGCCGTCCATCTGGTCGAGCGGCGCGCCGCGCTCGAGGAGCGCGGGCACCGCGTCCTCGCGGCCTTTCGCGGCGGCCCAATGCAGCGGCGTCGCGCCGGCGACGTCCTCGCCGTGGACGTACGCGCCGCGCGACGCGAGCGCGGCGAGGACGTCCACGCGGCCCGCGCCGGCGGCCCAGTGCATCGGCGTCGCGCCGTTTTGGTCCTTCGCGTTCGGGTCGCATCGGCCCTCGCGCAGGAGGATCTCCACCGCGTGGAGGTGGCCGTTGTCCACCGCGTGGTGCAGCGGCGTGAACTTCATCTGCGATCGATGCGACGCGTGGCGATGGTTTGGGGGTTGGGGGTTGGGGGGGAGGACGCGGGGAAGGTCGGCGGGGAAGAAGGACGCGGCGGGCGCGAGACGAACGATCGATCGTTGCCGAAACGGGCGGGCGAGGCGGGGGACGATCTCGTCTCGTCTCGTCTCGTCGCGCGCACCCGTCCGTGCGATTCGTTCACGCCCGCGGCGTCCTTGCCGATCTCGCGGCGGATGCCGTCGCCGTCGCCTTCCGCGGCGAACGCGTGCAGCGACGGCATCCGCGAACGGCGTTCGGTCATGACGCGCGGCGGCGGAAGTGCGCGGCGGGCGGCTCGCCCAAAACGTCCCCGGCTGCTTTCGTTGGAAGACGCGAAACGGCGGCACCGCTGCGCGCTGGCAGCGCGTGGAGGTCAGATCACCTGTCGTGGTGCGGGCGGGCGGGTTGCCAAGTTGCGCGCTTTTGATTTTTGAAATATTGTCTCGCTCGCGCCGCGCTCGACGACCCAGATACCGCCGCGCCCGCGCACGCGCGACCGTCGCAGCTCACGCTCACGCGCGCGAACATGACATCCACGGGCGGATGGGCCGTCCTCGAGGCCACGTCGTCCAAGAGCAAAGCCGCGGAGCACCTCGACCGGTCGACGGACAAATCGCAGGACGTGGCGATCGCGACGCTCGCGGGGCCGGACATCGCGCTCTCGCTCGTGAAGACGACCGTGGGGAGAATGCTCATGAACGCGGAGGGAACCGCGCGGGCGTCGAACCAGGTCGCGGACATCTTGATGGACATCCCGTCCGGTGCGTTCTTCTTCGCGGAATCCGTCGTATCGCGTCGTCGCGTCGTCGCGCGCGCGCGAGATCTCGCTCGTCCGTCCTTCTCGCCCGACGGTAAAAAGCTGGCACCCCTCCTCGCTCGCGTCTCTCAGCGCGCTCACCCTCCCTCCCCTCCCCGTCTGAACGACGACAGTGAGCGCGAAGCACTGCGTCATCACGTGCGAGACGATCCCGAACGCGGACGACCCGGACGCGCCGCCGGAGTACAAGGTCACGATCGAGGATCACTCGCGTCACGGCGTCCTCGTGAACAAGACGAAAATCGAAGAAAAGAAGCCGCACGTCCTGCGCGACGACGACGTCGTCACGCTGCCGTTCGGGATGGACTACACGTTCCGCCTGCGCGAGGACGGCGCGAAGCCGATCACGCCGCCGCCCGTCGAGCCGAAGAGCGCGCGGAAGAAGACCCCGGGTGGACAGAAGAGGGCCGCGTCCGGCGCGGGGAAGCCGTCGGCGGCGAAAAAAACCGCGAGGGGCGCGTCCTCGCCAGAGGACGACGGCGCCGCCGTCGGGAAGAAACTCTTCGCGAACGAGGAGAAGCTCGAGGAAGCGAAGCAGCTCGAGGCGGACAACGAGGATCTCCGCGAGAAGGTTAAGCGCGGCGGGGAGGAGGTCGAGTCCCTCCGCGCCGAGCTCGCGCGCGCGAGAGACGACGCGAAGGCGGCGAAGGACGCGAGCGCGAAAGCCGCCGCGGAGGCGGAGGCCAAACTCGAGGAGGCGGTCAAGGACGAGAAGGACGCCGCCGCGGCCGCGAAGCAAGAAGCCGCGGAGTACAAGTCCGCGGCGGAGAAGGCTGAAACGGCCGCCGCTTCCGCGTTGGCGTCCAAGACGGAGACGCAGTCCGCGCTGGATCGCGCCAACGCGGGCCGCGAAGACGCGGAACGCCGCGCCGTCGACGCGGAGACCAAGGCGAAGAACGCGGAGGACGCGCTCGCGGCGGCGAACGCGGCGGCGGCCGCGACCGCGAGCGAGAAGACGAAAGAGCTCGAGGACGAGCTCGCGACGCTCCGCGCGAAGCTCGAAGAAGAGCGCGCGGCGACCGCGGCGGAGAAGCTGGTGTCGGACGCGAAGACGGAGAAGATCGAAGCCGTCGAGTCTGACCTCGCGACGCGCGAGAAGGACGCCGAAGCGCTCGCGAGGAAGCTCGCGGAGGCTGAGGAGACGCTCGCGGCGGAGACGGAGCGCGCGAACGCCGCGGACACGTGCGCGGAGCCGCTTCGCGAGGAACACGCGGCCATGACCGCGAAGTGCGCGAAGATGGAAGCCGAGCACCGCGCGATGGTGACCAAGCTCCGCGTCGCCAAGTTGGCGCACGAGGCGGCGACGCGAGCGATGACGGAGGTGGGCCTCAGACTCGGCTGCGCGGAGCCGACGAACACGCAGCAGGCGATGGAGACGGAGACGACGGCGACGGACGCCGCGGCGACGCTCGGGACGGGCGACGGCGACGGCGACGGCGACGTCGCGCCGAGCCCTTTGGGCGGTGGACGGCAGAGCTACGGCGTCGGCGCGACGCAAGCGGCGCCGCCCGCGGAGGAGGAGGAGGACGACGCGTCGCGAGACCCCGAGCCCGAGGCCGAGGCCGACCCCGAGGCCGAGGCCGAGGCCGAGCCGCCGTCCGGGACAGAGCGGTACGGCCTCGTCGGCATGGACGTCATGTTCGCGTCCGAGCCGCCGTCGGAGATGCCCGTCGGCGGCATCGCGCGTCAGGAATCCGACGGCCTCAACGCGCACGAGACTCTCGCGGACGGCGGCGGCGGCGAAGACGAGGAGGAGGAGGAGGAGAAGGACGAGGTTGTCATCGCGTCCGAGGAGGAGGAGGAGGAGGAGGAGGCGCCCGCCGAGGCGTCCGACCCCGTCCCCGAGACTGAAGCCCCAGCCCCGGAGCCCGCGCCCGCGCCCGCGCCGCGACGCAGCGCGCGCAGGGCGAGCAGCCAGGGCGCGAGCGTCGGCGCGGCGACGCAGGAGGCTGCGGCCGTCCTCGGCGGGTCGCAGCTCAACGCCGCGGCGGAACCGATCGAGGAGGAGCCCGCCGCCGACGTCGACGTCGACGTCGAGGCGGACGAGACGCTCGAAAATGTCGCGCCGCCCGCGCCGAAGGCGCGTCGGTCGTTGAACACGCTGCTCGACGCCGCGCACGAGACCGAGTCCGCGAAGGATGTCGACGACGAGGAAGAAGAGAAGGACGAGGAGAAGGACGAGGTTGTCATCGCGTCCGACGAGGAGGAGGAGGACGCCGTCGCCGCCAAGACGGATTTCGTGGACCCGGGCGACGCCATCGAAACCGAACGCCTCGAGGCTGGCGACGACGACTAGGAGGAGGCTGAGAAAGAGGAGGAGGAGGAGGAGGAGGAGGAGGAGGAGGAGGAGGAGGAGGAGGAGGATGAGGAACGTGTCGCCGTCGAGGAAGCCGCGCCGGTGCACGACATCCCGGAGTCCGAGATCGGCGCCGCGGTGCCGATGTCCTTCCTCGAGGGCAACTGATATCATACAATACGCTGAAGCGCTCGAATCGAAGAGTGCCGTTTACTCGTACACGTTGTGTATACCGTACCGAAGCTACCTACTTAAATCGAAAACGTCTCGTCCTCGTCCGTCCACCGATACCGCAACCCGCGCCGACCGATGGCGTCCTCCCCCGGGCTCCCTCGCTCGGACCCGGACACGATCGACGCCACCTCGGCGTCGAACTCGTCCTCGTCCGAGGAGAAGACTTCCTCGTCGTCGCCGTTTTCATCCGGGCCCGAGCCGCTGTCGCCTCGCTCGTGATCCTCCGCGCCGGCGGGCGGGTCGGGGGCGTCCGCCGCCTCCTCCTCTTCGTCTTCGTCGTCCGAATCACGCTCCGCGAACACCTCGCGGACGAGCGTCGCGTCCACGTGCGTCTCGTCGAACGCGCCTCCGTGCAACGCGCTCGCCGCCGGCTCTTCGCGTCTGCCGTTCCACCGCGCCAGCCTTCGCGCGCGCCTCTGCGCGGCCGTCTCCGTCTCCGTGGGCTCGTGCCACCGCGAATCCGACGTGATCTCGACGGCGCCCTCTCCGGTGTCGCCGATGCGCACGCCGCCTTTGCCGTTCTTCGAGATGTGGTTGCGCGTCACGCTCGGCGCGGCGCCGGCTTTGATCCACACCCCCGCGTCTTTGTTTCTGCGCACCTTGCAGTGCCGCAGCGTCCCCTTCGCGCCCGCGGCGAAGACGACGCCGTCGCCGAGTCCGTCGTGCACGTGCGACCACTCGATCGTCGGCGAGCCCCAGGATTCGTTCACGATGCCCGGGCCTTCGTTGCGATGGACGTTGCACCCGCGCACGACGCCGGCGCCGCCGGACGCGAACGAGACGCCCGCCGCCGACGCGCCCGCGATTTCCGTCGCGAGAAGCATCGGCTCCGCGAGGTCCTCCACCACCACGGACGCCTTCCCGTGCGTGCCAATCTTGCAGCTGAAAATACTCGGCGCGGTTCCCGCGCCGGAGACGACGAGCGCGTGCCCGGCGCCGCCGTTCAGACGCGTGTGCTCGATCGTCGCCTTGGAGCCGTCCGTCAGAAAAATCCCGTGCTCCTTGTTATCGAAAACGTCGCACTGCGTCACGCGCACGCCCGCGCCCCCCGTCGCGCACACGCCGTGCTTCGCGTTATCGTGGACGTGACACGAGTCCACGTGCGGGCCGTGAAGCAGCTCGCTGTACGTCTCCCTCGGGTGGTTCGCGGGCCGGTTCAGCGTGACGTCGATCCCGTTCTGTGCGTTGCTTCGAATCTCGCACGAGCGCAGCGTCCCTCTCCCGCCGTTGTACACCGCGACGCCTTGCCCGCCGTTGTCCGCGACGAGATTTCCCTCCAGGCGCGGGTCCGCGAGGGACCCGACGCACACGCCCGCGCCCGCGTTGGACGCGATGAGATTATCCTTCAAGACGCCCCCGCCGCCGTCGAGCACCGCGACGCCGTGCGCGGTGCCGTACACGACCCGGTTGTTCACGACGGTCGTCGCGCCCGTCAGCGTCGTCACCGCGGCGAAGAGCGTCTCCGGTCGCGTCGGCGCGTCCGTCTTCGCGGCGGACACCACGCACGCGCTCAGCGTCCCCCGCGTCGACACGAAGCCGGATAACACCGCGGATATATCGCACGCGTGGAGGACGGCGCGCGCGCGAGGCTGCGCGACGACGCCCTCGCCCGCGCTGACGACGTTGACGCTGTCGAGACGCAACGCGCCGGACGCGACGAGCACGGCGGCGACGGGGGCGCTCCCGGCGAGCGTGCCCGCGCTGGACGCGGACTGCCGCCACAGCGTGAGGTTCGTCACGAGGCCCGAGAGGGCGCGCGACGGCGAACGTTCCGTGGTGGTGGTGGTCGTCGTCGTCGCGACGGGCGGCGGCGGCGCTTCGAACGAGTCGTCCACGCCGGGGCTCGTCGTCGTCGTCGGCGGCGAAATCGCAATCGACGTCGAAATCGTCCCGCCGTCGTCCTCCGCCTCCGCCGTCGACGATCCGTCGCCCCAGCTCGCGGCGTCGAACACGACCGCGGTCGTCTCCTCGGTGACGATCATCACCTCCTCTCTCCGCCCGACGCCGCGGAGCTCCACCCCCGGGGGCACGCGCACGCCCTCCCCCGCGTACGTCCCCGCGTGCACCAGCACGACGTCTCCCGGCCGGCTGACGTCGAGCGCGGCTTGAATCTCGCGCGCGTCGGCGTCGCGCGTCGTCGGCACGACGTGCCGCTCCACCACGGAGGAGGCGCGCCGCCGCGTCTCGCCGTGGTTCGGCTGCTGCGCGATGCGCTCCGCGTACGCCGCGCGCCATCCCCCGGGTCCCGGCGGCGGCGTCGCGCGCGTCGACAGCGGCGACGTCCACGGCAGCGCCGCGGAGAGCGCCCACGTCGGCGGGCGCCATCGCCACCGCGCGAGAAACGCGGCGCGCCAGAGCGCGTCGTCGCCCGCGGCGCGTCGCAGCTCGCGGCACGCGCTCGAGCACGCCGCGAGCGAGCGCGGGTCGAGGCGCGAGAGGATCAGCGAGAGCGCGTCGGGTTGGAGCGTCGCGAGCGTCGGCGGCGGCGCGAACGACGGCGCGCGACGATGATTCGCGCGATGATGATGAAGGTGATGATGTTGGCGTCGGTCGCGACGGTCGGCGGCGTCGTCGCGCGCGCGCTCGTCGAGCTCGCGCCCGAGGCACCGGCGGTGCGTCGGACGGCCCGCTCGCGGCGGCGTGGAGACGCTCGACGCGATCTCGGACGCGAGCGCGGCGATGGACGCCGCCTCCGCGGCGAGGCACGGCAGGTCCCCGCGCGGCGAGCCGCGGACGTCGTTGTCGTTGCCGAGATCCGCGAACGGCGCGCGCGGTTGACGCGCGGGCGACGCGCGCGGGGAGCGCTCGAACGAGCTCTTCCCCGGGCTCTCGCGGCCGAGCCGCATCGCGGATATCGCCGTCGCGAGGTCGTCGCGAGGTCGCGCGGACGACGGCGAGCTCTCCGCGCGCTGATGAGGGGAAGGGGCGAGGGGAAGGAGCGGTCAACGAAACCGTCGAGGCGACGACGGAGGCCGCGAAATCGGAGGCGCGGATCTCGTCGACGACGCGAGGGACGAGCGCGGACGCGCACCATCGGCCACGTCCCGACGCGCCGGATCTCCGCGGGGGCGATCTCGGAGTCGCGCGCGGGGGACGCCATCGCGGACGTCGTCGCCGCGTCTCCGCTCCCGCGCGTGTGAGGCGCGTTCTCGGAGGTTGCGAAAGGAAACCGGCGCGCGAAACGCCAAACGGTCGACGGTCGGTTATCAAATGTCGGCGCGGTCGGTGCGCCACGCCCGCGGCCTCGCTTCGCTTCGTTCTCATTCGCTCCGCGTTCAACAAACCCGACGTTCGACCGAGAAGTTCGACCCTTCGCCCCGGGGGCGCGGCATTCCGCCCAGCCGTAGCCTCCGCGCACGGCACGGCGTCGATCGCGCGCGCTACGCGGCGCTCCCCGTGACACCCCTCCCGCCCGAGGCGCGCGGCGAAGGCGCGACGTCATGTGCGGCATCTTCGCGTACGTCAACTACGGCGTCCCGACGCAGCAAAAAGCGATCGTGGACAAGCTCCTGAACGGGCTCCGAAGACTGGAGTATCGCGGGTACGACTCCGCGGGGATCGCGGTGGACAACGGCCCGACCGTGGACCAGCTCTCCCCGGTCGTCCTGAAGGAGACCGGGAAGATCGACGAGCTGCAGAAGCACATCGAAGGACGCGCCGCGGAGCTGCACGGAGATCTGTACTTCGAGAACCACTGCGGGATCGGACACACGCGATGGGCGACGCACGGCCCGCCCGCGCCGAAAAACTCGCACCCGCACACGTCCGACGTCGCGAACGAGTTCCTCGTCGTGCACAACGGGATCATCACGAACCACGGGGCGCTGAAGGCGATGCTCGAGAAGAAAGGGTACGCGTTCGAATCGGACACGGACACGGAGGTGATCCCGAAACTGACCAAGTTCCTCTTCGACAAGTTCGCGCCGAGACGGATCACGTTCCGACAGCTCGTGATGGAGGTCGTGCGGCAGCTTCACGGCGCGTTCGCGCTCATCTTCAAGTCCACGCACTACCCCGGCGAGCTCGTCGCCGCGAAGCGCGGGTCGCCGTTGCTGTTGGGGATCGTCGAGGAGAAGAAAACCTCCGTCTCCGTCGTGACGTCCGAGGGGTACCGAACGTCCAACGCCGGCGACAACGACGCGGACGAAGCCCCGGACGCGAAGCGCAGGAAGAACGCGCCGCGGAAGCAACACCTTGAGTTTTACTTCGCCTCCGACGCGAGCGCGATGGTGGAGCACACGAAGCGGGTGTTACACCTCGAAGACGACGACGTCGCGCACCTCCACGACGGCGGGTACGGCATCTACCGCATGGAGCGCGTCGTGTCCCCGGGCGACATGTCCCCGGTGAACTACGAGCCCACGGTGCAGAGCGCGGAGGTGGAGCGGACCGTGGAGACGTTGAAGATGGAGCTGGAGAACATCATGAAGGGAGAGTTCGAGCACTTCATGAAGAAGGAGATTCACGAGCAGCCGGAGAGCGTCGTGCAGACGATGATGGGGCGCGTCGTGAAGGACATGGAGGGCGCCGCGTCGCGCGTGTTCCTCGGCGGGATGATCAATTTCGTGTCCACGATTCGAAGAAGCCGACGGATCGTCCTGTGCGGCTGCGGGACGTCGTACAACTCTGCGATCGCGGTCAGGCAGCTCATGGAGGAGCTCACCGAGCTCCCCGTCACGCTCGAGCTCGCGTCCGACGTTCTCGACCGGCGGTGCCCGTTCTTCAGGGACGACACGTGCGTGTTCATATCCCAGTCTGGGGAAACCGCCGATACGTTGAAAGCGATGCAGTACGCCAAGGACCGCGGCGCGCTGTGCGTCGGGATCGTGAACACCGTCGGAAGCGCCATCTCGCGGAGCACCGACTGCGGCGTGCACATCAACGCCGGCGCGGAGATTGGCGTCGCGTCCACGAAGGCGTACACGTGCCAAATCGTCGCGATGGTGCTCCTCTCGCTGTCGCTCTCCGAGGACAGCATGTCGTTGCACTCGCGACGGAAGCGCATCATGTCGAGTCTGTTGGAGCTCCCGAACGCGATTCGAAAGGCGCTATTGCTGGACGCACAGATGCGCGAGCTCGCGAAGGAGCTCAAGGACGAGAACTCGCTGCTGCTTCTCGGGCGCGGATACAACTACGCCACCGCGTTGGAGGGCGCGCTCAAGGTGAAGGAGGTGGCGCTGCTGCACAGCGAAGGGATCTTGGCGGGGGAGATGAAGCACGGGCCGCTCGCGCTCGTGGACGAGGTCTTGCCGCTGATCATCGTCGCGACGATGGACGACTCGTACAAGAAACAAGAGAGCGCGGTGCAGCAGCTGCGCGCGCGCGGAGGACGGTTGATTCTCATCGTCAGCGAGGAGGACGACGAGATCGCGAAAACCGCGGGGGACAAGGCGACCATCGTCCGGGTGCCCACGGTGGAAGATTGCCTGCAGAGCGTCGTGAACATCGTGCCGCTGCAGCTGTTGTCGTATCATCTCACCGTGCTGCGGGGGCACAACGTGGACCAGCCGAGGAACCTCGCGAAGTCGGTCACGGTGGAGTAGACGCGAACGGGAGAGAGTAACGTACGACGTAGTCGACGACGACGTAATGTGATCATTTTTTAACGCGAACAGAATTGCGCGAGATCTGTCGCGACATAACGACCGCGCACCGCCGCCGCACGCGTCGTCTCCGTGATCATCGCGTCGCCCACCGCCGCGATGTCGACGCGCGCGTAGACGCAGAGTCACACGAGCTCGGCGATCGATCGCGGAAGGATGGCGTTCTGGAAACCCGGCGGCGCGAAGCCGAAGCAGACGCTCCCGCTCAGCGCGGAGGTGGATCGCGGCGCGATCGGCGACGGCGGGCGCCTCGTCGTGTTCAATCGCAACGAGAACCTCGCGCTCGCGGCGCAGCGCGAGCGCTTGCCCATCTTCAAGTGCCGCGACGCGATCTTGTACCTCGTCGAGACGCGCGCGACGACCGTGCTCGTGGGGCAGACGGGATGCGGGAAGACGACGCAGGTGCCGCAGTATCTCGTGGAATCGGGATGGACCGCGAACGGGCGCCTCGTCGCGTGCACGCAGCCGCGCCGGGTCGCGGCGCAGACCATCGCCGCGCGCGTCGCGGAGGAGATGGGCGTGACCCTGGGCGAGGAGGTTGGCTACGCGGTGCGATTCGAGAACGTCTCCACCCCGGGCGTGACGCGAATTCGATTCTGCACCGACGGCGTCTTGCTCAGAGAGCTCATGAACGACCCGCTCCTCTCGCGGTACTCCGTCGTCATGGTCGACGAAGCGCACGAGCGATCGCTCGCGACGGACTTGTTGTTGGGGCTGCTGAAGAAAGTGCAGCGCGTCCGGCCAGACTTGAGGGTGATCATCGCGAGCGCGACGATCCAGGCGGAGGACTTTAAAAAGTTTTTCGACCAGCGGCGTATAGCGCCGAAGTCCGTCGCGACCGGCGGCGTCGGCGGCGGCGAGAACGTCGCGGACGAACCCTCGCGCGAACCCGGCGTGATATCCGTGGAAGGGAGAGCGCACTCGGTGCTGATACACTACCTCGAGCAGCCGACGCCGGATTACGTCCAAGCGGCGGTGGAGGCGGCGCTGGAGATTCACAGGAGCGAAGGCCCCGGGGACGTCCTCGTGTTCCTCACCGGCGAGGAAGAGATCGAGTCCGCGGTGAAGCTCCTGAACGAGGAAGCGACCGGACACGACGCGCGAAAGATGCTCGGCGACGTCGGCGGCGGGAACGGCGCTGGCGGCCCGATTCGCTTCACGGCGCACCCGCTCTACGCCGGGCTCTCCCCGGGGGTGCAGCTGGAGGCGTTCCGACCGGCGCCGAGGTACACGAGGAAGATCGTCGTCGCGTCGAACGTCGCGGAGACGTCCGTCACGATCGAGGGCGTCGTCTACGTCGTGGACTGCTGCTTCGTGAAACAGAAGGCGTATCACCCGGAACGCGGGATGGAATCGCTTCTCACCGCGGAGGCGTCGCAGGCGAGCGCGAATCAACGCGCGGGGCGCGCCGGGCGCGTGCGTCCGGGGAAGTGCTTCCGGTTGTGCACGGAGAAGGCGTTCTCCACGATGCCGGAGATGAGCCCGCCGGAGATGATCAGGTCCGACCTCGCGTCCACGGTGCTGCAGTTGAAAGCGCTCGGGATCGACAACATCATGAATTTCGAGTGGCTCTCGCCGCCGCCGGCGGCGAACATGATCAAAGCGTTGGAACTCTTGTACGCGCTGCAAGCCTTGGACGACGACGCGAAGCTCACGAAGCCGTTGGGGATGCACCTCGCGGAGCTACCGTTGGAGCCGCAGCTCGGAAAGGCGCTCCTCGTGAGCGGGGAGCTGCGATGCGTCGAGGAGATGCTCACGGTGGCGGCGTACCTTCAGGTGAATTCCGTGTGGGTCTCCAGCCGCGGGAGGCAAAAACTCTTGGACGAAGTCAAAGAGCGCTTCGCCGTCGCGGAAGGCGACGCGGTCACGGCGCTGAACATCCACGCGGCGTACTGCAAGGCAGGCGGCGTCCACGGCGGCGGGAGGGCGCGCGCGTTCGCGGAGAAGAACATGCTGTCGCACAGGGCGCTGGTGCGCGCGGCGGACATCCGTGCGCAGCTCTCCAGGCACGTCCAACGGATCGGTCTCGTGAGCTCGTCCTCGGGCAGGGATTCCGCGCCGCTGCGTAGGGCGATGACCGCGGGGTACTTCGCGAACGCGGCGACGCTCGCGCCGCACGGAGGCGGCGCCGAGGGCGCGGCGTTTCGATCGGTGAGAGGCGGCGCGACGTTGTTTATTCACCCGGGGAGCGTGTTGTTCCGCGCGCGGCCCACGTGCGTCGTCTTCGCGCAAGCCGTGCGGACGAAACGGGAGTACATGCGAGACGTCACCGCGATCGACCCGGAGTGGTTGCCCGAGCTCGCGCCGCACTTTTACGCGAGCAGGCAGAAGAGCGGGTTCGAGAGGCCCGCGGACGCGGGGATGATGTTGTAGTCACTTTAGGATTTTAGCGCGCGGTCGCGTGAATGCGACATACTTCCGTAGGTGGGACGTACTTGTCGTTTCACAACCACATTCGCTTGTCACTCGTTCGTCTGTTTCGTACTCGCATAACCTTATCGTGATCGTTCACGTCGTCGTCGTCGGTTGCTACATGTGTCTCACGCGCGATACTCGGGAGGGAGTTTGTCCACGTATTTCTCGGACCCGGGGCAGCCGTTCTCGATCGCGTACTTGAGGCAGTCCCAGTGCTTAAAACGGTTTGCACAATCACCAGTATCACTTTTCCACGGGCAGCCATGCTCATGTAACCACTTGAGGATTTCGAGGTTTCCCATACATGCAGCCGTCCAACAATCAATGGCATTTTGCCCCCACTTGCACCCGAGCTCATGCAAAATCTTGACGATATCAAGGCGGCCCGCATAAACGGCCGCGTCTATAGCACCCGCATGCGGCTTGCACCCGTTCTCGCACGCCCATTGAAAAATGTCAAATCGATTGCTACGAAAAGCAATTTCAAGGACATCGCCGCACTCGCACCCGTTCGCTACTGCAAACTTGAGGACTTCAAGGTGTCCCCCCTTTGCGGCTTTTTCGCAAGTATTTGCAGTCCACGGGCAGTTCACCGAGTGCAGCCACTCGAGGACGTGGAGGTGACCGCCCTCGGCGGCATTCCTGCACGCGTACCAGCTGAATCGGGCGTAACCGTGCATGTGCACCCACCGCAGCTTGTTCAGATCTCCCCTTCTCGCCAGTCCGTTGGTGAGAGCGTTCAGCCCTCCAGCCCTCCGGCGTTCCTTCAGAGCCTCGCCGTCTCCGTACACGCGGTCGAGCTCCTCCTCGGGCAGGTGCTCGCCGTCGTCGCGCTTTCTCTTCGCGATCTCGTCGCGCTGCATGATCGCGAGCGTCGTGGGCGCGATGCGCGTCCGCGGGCGGAGGCGCCGCGCCGCGAGAAGTGCGGCTTCCCGCGCCCGTCGTTGTTTCTTTCGCAGTTCAAACAGCTTGCGTTCTTGTTCGCTCATTTTCCTGTCGTCACGTCCGTTCCGCTCTCTCGAGTTCACTCTTCCGCCGCGCGGGCGCCATGGCGAGCCTGCCGTGGGACGACGACACCGACGACGGGCGCGTCATCGCGGCCGCGGTGACGACGCGGCGAAAGCCGCGGAAGCCCGCGGCGGCGGCGCGCCTCGCCGCGCCGCAGCCGCGCGCGTGCTACACGGACTCTGGGACGATGCAGAACTGCCGCCTGCGCGAGGTCGCGGAGCTGCCGGCGTGCTTCCGCCCCGTCTTCTCCGAGTTCCGCTACTTCAACGGCGTGCAGAGCGACATGCTCGACTTCGTCCTCTCGAGCTCGCGGTCGTTCGTCCTGAGTGCGCGTCCTTCCCGTTGCCTCCCCCGCTCGCGCGTCGCGAACGACTCGCGCGCGTCACGTGCTTTTACCCCTCGAGCGCTCACGCACAGCTGTCCACCCCTCTCCTCCTCCTCCGCGCAGGCGCGCCCACGGGCAGCGGCAAGAGCGTCCTCCTCGAGTGCGTCCCCGCCCGCGATCGCGCGCGTGGACCCCTCCCCTCGCGCGATACGCGCTCACCGCCCCGTCTCTCCCGTCCCTCCCTCGCAGGCTCGCCATCGTCCAGATGCTCCTCGCGCGCGTCGACCGCGCGAGCGGAACGTTCGAGCACCGACCCGGCGAGCTCAAGGCGATATACATGGCCCCGATCAAAGCGCTCGTTCAGGAGAAAAAAGAGGAATGGATCTCGCGGTTCTCCCCGCTCGGCATCACGTGCAAGGACATGACCGGCGACACGGACTTCACCGAGTCCACGTTCAAGGACCTCAACACCGTGGACGTCCTCCTCACGACGCCGGAAAAATTCGACGCGATGACGCGAAAGAACAAAGACCGCGGCGGGATGTCCTTCTTCGCGGACTGCGCGCTCGTGATGATCGACGAGGTGCACCTCCTCGGCGACGAGCGCGGCGGCGCGCTCGAAGCGGTCGTGTCGCGCTTCAAGGTCCTCAGAGAGCGCCCGGACATGCGACAGAAGCCGTTAGGGAACGTTCGCTTCGTCGCGTGCAGCGCGACGGTGCCGAACCTCGACGACGTCGGCGACTGGCTCGGCGCGCCGAAACCGGAGGGAAGGTTCGCGTTCGGGGAGGAGTACCGCCCGGTGAAACTGCGCACGACGGTGATCGGATACGACCCCGCGAAGAACGAGTTCATGTTCGATAAGAGGCTGAACGAGAAGCTGTTCGACGTCGTCGCGTCGCACAGCGACGGGAAGCCGACGCTCGTGTTTTGCAACTCTCGCGCCGGCTGCGTGCACGCGGCGAGGGAGCTGATGCAGAAAGCGGCGTCGTTCCGCGGCGGGCACCCGTTCGTGCGGGACGCGGTGCATAAGCGGCAGCTCAAAGAGGCGGCGTCGAGGGCGGTGAACAAGCAGCTGCAGCAGGTGATCCCGCACGGGGTCGGGTTTCACAGCGCCGGGCTCGAGTTCGCGGATCGCACTTGTGCGAGCAACTGTTCCGAGGAAGGGTCGTGACCGTGCTGTGCTGCACGTCCACGCTCGCGATGGGGGTGAACCTCCCGGCGTTTCTGTGCGTGATTCGAGGCACGCGGCAGTACGCCGGAGGCGGGGAGTACCGCGAGATGCCGCGGTCGGAGATTCTGCAGATGTGCGGCCGCGCCGGGCGCCCGCAGTTCGACGCGGAGGGCCGCGCGGTGATCATGACGCAGCGACACACGCAGAGCGCATACCAAGGCCTCGTGCACGGGACGGACCCGATCGAGAGCAACCTCGGGCGCCACCTCTCCGAGCACATCAACGCGGAGATCGCGTCCGGGGTCGTCAAGGACACCGCGACCGCCGCGCACTGGCTGCGGCACTCGTACTTTTTCATTCGCGCGAAGAAAAACCCGCGGCACTACGGCGTCGAGACGGGGACGTCCGCGGAGGAAGCGATCGAAGCTCTCGCGCTGCGCGTCATCGACGAGCTCGCGGACGCGGGGATGTGCGACCTTCGCGACGGCGGCGCGCTCGTCCTCCCCGCGCAGGGCGGGATCATCATGTCCGACATGTACGTGCGGTTCAACACGATGCGGCGGCTGATGACCGTGAACCAGGGCGCGAAGGTCCCGGACCTCCTCCTCGCGATGTCTCACGCGCAGGAATTTGAGGGGATTAAACTCCGCAAAGACGAGAAGAAGACGCTGAAGGAGTGGAACGTCTCCGAAGAGCCGATCGTCAGGTACAAGGTCATGGAGGCGAAAGGCAAGAGCGGGAAGCTCGCGGTCTCGAAAGTGATTCGCACCGCCGCGGAGAAGATCTTCGTCATGACGCAAGAGCACATGTGCGACGAGTTCGACGTCGACTTGCCGGCGTCGATGCGCATGGAGCTCGAGCTCGTGTTCTCGAACGGGCGGCGCATAATGCGCGGGGCGGCGAGGTACTACTCGACGATCACCGAGGGCGGGTTCGCCGCGTGCGTCAACGCGCTTCGGCTCGCCAAGTCGTTAGAGCTGCGGATGTGGGACGACACGAGATACCCGATGAAGCAAATCGCCGGCTGCGGGAAGAAATCCGTCCGCGCGCTCGCCGCGAACGGCGTCGTATCCCTGGACGACGTCGTGGCCGCGGACCCGCGCGCGTTAGAGCGGTACGTCAACCGCGCGTTTCCTCACGGGAACCACCTCGTCAGCGAGGTTCTGAAACTCCCGTGCAAGATGCTCGTGACCGTCGCGGTGAAGGAGTCGTGGGACCGCGGGGCCGTCGCGCACGTCGCGATTCAGCGCGCGTGTACCCCGCGCGCCGGCGCCGCGGCGACGAACGTGCCCGGGGACGAGTGCGATAATGAGAACGAGAACGTCGCCGTCACCGCGCTCGAGGACGAGGGCGACGACGCTCTCGACGCGCCGTCGCCGTCGCCGCCGACGCGGTCGTCTGGCGCCGCCGGCGCGGCGGCCGGATCCTCGCGATGGAGCGCGCAGCTCGTCGTCGGGACCACCTGGGGCGATACCCTGTTGCACAACGAGCGCATCTCGCAGGACGGCGGCGCCGCGTCCGTGGAGAACGGCATCCCGATCGAGCGCGTCGTGCCGTGCGGCGTCGTGCCGCGACCGGGGGAGGAGTACCAGATCGCCGCGCGGCTGATCTTCGAGAAGTGCGTCGGCAGAGACGTCGCCGGGTCCGTGAAAGTCGTCGTCCCGCGGTACGGGAGACACGCGCCGCTGAGCGCGACGCAGCCGTCCGAGGCGTCTCCACCGCGCGCGCTGTCCGGCGGGCGCCTCACGCCGCAGCAGTCCACGCCGCCGAGCAGCCTCGGGAAGTTGCGCCAGCGCGGCCTGGACGCTTGGCTCGGCGGAAGCGGGACGCCCGGCGGCGGAAAGGAAAACCGCGAGGACGGCGGCGACGCGGCGGCGACGCTCGCGGCGGCTCGACCGGCGGCGGCGACGGCGACCGCGGTCGCGTGGACCGAGCCGACGATCACGGCGCCGCCGCCTCGATTCTCGATGGGGAGGATCTCGCCGCGCGCGCGCCCCGCGAACGTCGAGAACGACGTCGACGACGCGGGATGGGGCGGCGGCGACGGCGGAGACAGCCCGGTCGGCGGCGAAGGCGGCGGCTGGGGCGACGACGGCGACGACGTCGTCGACGACGCGGACGTCGTCGGGGGCTGGGGGAACCCCACGTCCATCGTTGATCTCACGACCGAGCCGCCGACGTCGTCTGGCGTCGTCATCGACGAGCCGAGCGCGTCGAACAAGAAGCCGCGCGTGGGGTCGGGGACGAGCGCGGTTCCCGTTCCCGTTCCCGTCGTCGCCGCCGCCGCCACCGCCGCCGCTCCGAGCGTCCCTCCGGCGACGCCGCCCGCGCCGACGAAGGCGTTCCGCGACGACGCGTGCGGGATGGAGATGGACCTCGACTTCGACGACTGGTGAATTGGGGAGGGGGGTATTACGACGGGGGTACGCACACGACGCGGGTGACCCGCAGCGCAGACGCGCGCATCATATTACGTACGAAGACGTCGTCTCGTCACACACGTCTCTATTTCTAAATTTTGAATTCTGTTCGAAACTTACTTTTTGATTCCGCGTTCCGTCGTCGTCGTCCGTCCGCGTCGTCGTCGTCCGTCCGCGTTCCCGCCTCTTCACTCCACCGCGGGCTCGATCGAATCCGCCGCGCTGATCGCGGCGATCTCGCGTTTAATCTCCGACAGACACCGCACGAACATCCCTTGCATCTGCTCCATGGAGCTCCGCCCCTCCGCGGCGGTCGCTCTCACGGCGCCGCCGTGCACCTCCACCGCGCGCGAGCACGTCGACGAGAAATGCTCGAGTGCCTCGAGCAATCCCTCGCGCTCCTCGTCCGACATCGCGAGTTTCAGCGTGAACGGCGACGCGGGCGGCGACGACACCTGCCGCGGCGGCGACTCGCGCGTCTCTTCGCCGTCGTCGCCGCTGCCGTCGTCCTGCCACGTCACTTGCTTAGGATCGGGCGGGAAAAACGCCTCGCAAATCGTGGGCACGCCGCCGTTCACGCCCGCGGATAACGACCCTTGCAGCGACCGCTGCAGCGCGCTCAGCGACCCGGCCGCGGCGGCGGCCGCGGCGGCGTCGTCCGCGGCCGCGTTCGCGCCGGACCCGCCCATGACCGCGGCGGTCCCGCCGCCGGACTGCGCGACGCGCGTCGTGCTCTCCCACGCGTCCGCGGCGGCGGCGATGGCGCGCGCTTGCGACCGCAACATCTCCGCCGCGCTCGACGCCGGAGACATCTCGGTCACCGCCTCGGACGTCACCTGAAGGCGCGCTCGGAGCCCGGGGAACCGGCCCTCGACGTTCACGGTCGTGCGTCGGCGCCACTGCGTCCGCAGCGCCGCGACGGGGCCGGACCCGCCGAACGCGTCCAACGTCCCGGACACAAACGGCACGTCGTAGATGAACGCGTTCGTCGTGGGAAACGCGGGAAACCCGCCCCCGCCTGATCCGCCGCCGGTGTCGTCGTCGCCGTCGCCGTCGGCGCCGCTCTGCGCGTGGACCGTGTACACCGGCTCCACAGCCTGGATCTGCACGCACGCGGCGCCCGCCGGCGCGTCCCCGCCCGCGGGCAGAGGCGTCACCGGCGTGCCCTCCGGCAACCCCGCGGTGAGGCTCTTCTGCAGCCGCCGCGTCATGTCCCCGAGCGTGCGATCGCGCGGCTCGCGGTGCACCCACGTCCGACCACGGTCCTCGATGCCCCACGCGTCGCCGACGAGCTTGACGCGGTAGAACGTCGCCGGAGGCGGCGGCGGGCCGAGCGGCGGAGGGAGGATCCCGAAGCTCCCAGACCCGGACGCGCCCGCGGGTGGGAGTTGGTGAAGCGACCGGTACACGGCCGCGATGCCGGTGTGCGCGCGCGCGAGGTCGCCGAACGCGCGGCGTCGCTCCCACGCCGGGAGCGCGACTTTCGCCGCGCGCGTCGCCGCTTCGAGGTGGCCGCCGCGGACGAACAGACGGACGCTCTCCGCGATGTGCGCGAGGACTTTTTCTTCGGAAATTTCCTCGACGCCGCATCGCGACGACGTCGCCGCCGCCGCCGGGGATGCGGGAAACGCGAGGCCGTCTCGCGACAGCGATCCGCACACGCCGCGAAGCTTTTCCGCGTCGACGTCGTTCCACACGCACGGCGCGCCGACCGCGGTCGCTTGCGCCGCCGCGAGAGCTTGCATCGCGACGCTCGCCGCCGTCGCCGCCGCCTCCGCGGCTTCGACCCAGTGCTGCCCGTTCTCGAGCCGCGCGGACAGCGAACGCAGCGCTTTGCAGTGCGCCGCGGGCGCCCACGAGAGCGCCGCGGCGACGGCGGTCTCCATCTCGATCACGCTCTCGACGTCCGGGCTCGCGTCCGGTCCGGTCGCCGCGCGCGCGAGCTCCCTCAGCCTCGCCTCCGCGGACTCCAGCGCCTGGACCGTCGCCCCGCTCGCCGTCTCCCACCCCTCCGCGTGCGACGACCCGGGGTCGGGAAGACGCAACGCGTTGAGCTCCCCCGCGAGCGCGCCGCGCCTCGCCGCGGCGCCGAGCGGGGAGTACAACGCCGCGCACAGCGCGTACGTCAGCATCGGGCGCAACACCGTGACGGACCCGGCGGCGTCGAGCGCAGCCTCGAGGAGCGCGCGGACGCACGAGGACGCCTCCGCGCGTAGCTCCGGGAGCGTCTCCGCGGCGGTTCGAAGCAAGCACGTGGACGCCTTCTCGAGAAACGGGTACGGCTTCTCCCCGGGCGCGTTCGCCGGCGGCGGCGGAAACGGCTCCGGCGGCGTCGCGTCCTCCGCGCCCTTGTCCTTCTTCTTCGGAATCAGCGGCGCGAGGAGCGACGCTCGGTGGTTCCACAGCAGCCTTCGAATCAGAGGCGACATCGCGCGCCACGCGGTGACAGACTGCGGCCGACGCATCGCGGCGAGGAGCACGCCGAGGGTGCCCTCGAGGAACACGCGCGCCGGGGACGCCGCGGCGGCGGCCACCGCCGCCGCCTTCGCCGCCGCGTCGTTCGCCGCTTGCTTCTCCTGGTCCGCCCTGGTCATCCTCGCGAACACGGACACGGACCCGCTCACCGTCTTTGAAAGCTTTCGAGGCTTCGCGTCGTCGTTCAGCGCGGCGAGGCGCCACCCGAGGTGCGCCTGCCCCGCCTGCACGAGCGCGAGCGTCGCGAGCGTCGCCGCCGTGCTCAGGTGATCCACCGCGGCGCCGTCCGCGCCACCGCCTCGCGCGCCGCCGGCGTTGTCGTCCTCCTCCTCCCCGAGCGCGTCCGCGCCGTGCTCGAACGCCTCCAGGGCGTCGCACAGGAGGAACAAAAACGCCGTCAAACGCGGCGGCGGGCGCACGGTACCGTGCTCGCTCGCGCGCGGGTCCGACGCGAGCCACGTCCACAGCTGCGCTTGGTCCGCGTCTCTCGCGAGCGACAGCACCGCGGCGAGCACCTCGCGTTTCGACGCCGGCGCGAGCGCGGGGAGAATCTCGTGCCTGTGCGCGATGACGAGGCGCAGCAGCGGCGCGTGGACCGCCGCCACCGCGGCGCGCCCCGGGGTGGTCTGCAAGCGCGCGTCCCAGGCGTGGCGCGCGAGCGCGGACGCGAGCGCTTTCGCCGCGCCGCTTCGACGGTTGGAATCCGACGAGCGAAGCCCCGAGAGCGTCGCCGCCGCGAGCGCGGAGACGAGGCACTCGCGCTCGTCGTCCAGGCCCGCGCGCTCGGTCTCGCGCTCGTCCGCCATGGCCGCGGCGGCCGCCGCGGCTTCCTCGGACGCGAGATCCTCCCACGCCCACCCGGTGCCGCGCACGGTCGCGGCGGTGACGGACATGAACCGCGGCGCCGCGGCGACGGCGCCGTAAAATTCGTACAGTAGCGCAGCGCGGTGCGACCGCACGGACGCGACGTCGCTCGCCGCGCCCGCTTCCGCGGCGTTCGTCGTGAGCCGACGCACGTGCGCGGCGGCGAGCTCGCACGCGAGCGGCGCGAGCGGCGCGGAACTTTTCCCGTGCTTCCCGTCCCCGACCCTGCTCCACGCGCCCTCCGTCTTCGCGATCGCGACTTCCACCGCGGCCTCGGAGGTGGACGACAGCGAGCTATCGGACGCGGCGTCGTCGACGTCGTCCTCGATCGGCGGCCCTTCCACGTTCATGAGCTCGCTGCACAAGGACGCGAACCCGGTGTTGAGGCCGCGGGAGAGGTACGACCCCACGCTGCCGTATTTTTCATCCGACGACGCCGTCATCTCCGCGCCGATCGCGTCCGCGAGATCCCGCAACGGGAGCATGCGCTCGTCCACCCTCGACGGCTTCGCGGGCCCGCACGGCGCGGCGGCGAAGTCGAGCGACGACCTCGGGGAGTACGCGTCGTCGTCGTCCTTCGCGTTATCATCGGTCGTCGACGCCGCGGCGGCGGGTTCGGGTTCAGGTTCGGAGACGTATCGCCGCCGCGCGTCCAACGAGACGCTCCTTCCGACGAGGCCGAGGACGAACCAGCTCACCGCGCGCGCGTCCTCCGCGTCTTGATCCACGACCGCGTAGCGCTGTCCGTCCGACGTCTCCGCGCGCAGGGTCGACGCGTACAGGCTCGCGAGCGTCGGGAAGATCGGCGTCGGGATCGACTTCGGGTCTTTCGCGATCTCGTCGCCGGCGTCCTCGTCACCGGCGCCGTCGCCGTCGCCGTCCGTCCACGTCTTGTCGAGCAACGCGCACGCGGCGTCTCTCCACGCGTTCGTGCACCGCGCGTCGTCGAACACGCGCGAGACGAACGCCGCGAGCGGCGGCGACCGCGAGTCCTTCCCTCGCCCGCCCGGGACGAGCTTCTGCACGCGCGCGGCGACGCGGAGGAGCGACGCGAACGCGCGTTCGCGCAAGCCGCACGACGCGTCCGGGGACGCCGTCGGCGGCGTCGACGGCGGCTTCAGCGACGACGGCAGCGACGACGTCGGCAGCGTCGGGGTCTCAACATCGGGGGAGTGCGCCACGCCGCGACCGTGGCCGTGGCCGTTTTTCATCGGGTGCGGGGTTTGGAAATCCGGCGTCGACGTGTTGTGCGACGTCGTCGACGCGGGCGTGCCGGGCGTCTCGCTCTTCACGCTGGCGCTGAACGCCGGGGACGCTCTCGCGTCCTTCGCGGCGGCGTTTAAGTTCGTCGTCGGCGACGGCGTCGGCGCGTCCGACGCGCTCGCGCCGCCGTCGCTCCCGGCCGCGATCGCGGAGACGTCCTCCGAGGACCCGGCCGCGGACGACGCCGAGGCGCCGAGGCGCTCGTCCGCGCTGGACGAGTGCCGGCTGTGTGCCGGCGGCGCGGGGGTGGAAAACTCGGGCGTGCTCCCGCTCGCTTCCGCGCGCCATCGCTCCGCGGCTTTCGCGCGCGCGTCCGCCTCCGCTCTCGCGGCGGCGGCGGCGAGTTTCGCGGCCGCCGCCGCGGCGGCTTTCGCCGCCTCTTGGGCCATCGCCTCCGCGACCGCGGGCGGCGGCGCCGCGATGAGCGTCAACAAGACGTGCATCACCGCGGGGAGGTGCCTCAAGAGCTCGACGCCGTCCGCGTGCGATACCTCGCGAAGCGCGGCGCCGAGTTCCTTCGCGGCGGCTTTCACCGCAGCCTTCGCCGCGGGCGTGACCCCCCCGAAGCTGCTCCCGCGGTTAAAACGCTTCCAAGGCGCGCCGCCGCCTCCGCCGACTTGTTCGTCCACCGCGTGCTTCGCGTCCGCCTCCGCGGCGGCCGCGACGGCGGCGTACAGCGCCCCGAGCTTCGCGTCCGACGTGTGCACGTTGCTGCACAGGCGCAAGCGGACGTTCACGCACGGCTTCCGGTCCTCCCAGTACGGCATGTGCTGGCGCACGTTCGCCTGTAAATACTTCGGCAGGAGTTCCTTCACCGCCGGCAGCGCGAGCTCGCCGCCGTTGACGGTCGGCGAGACGTGCGCCTTTTCGCCGCCGTCCCCGCGACTCGCGTCGTCGACGACGTATTGATACTCCCGCGCGGCGGCGACGTCCGCGGCGAGCGTCTCCGGCCCCGCCGCGAGCGGCAACACCGCGTGCCCGAGCGCCGTCTCCGGGGTGATCTTCGAGCTCCCGGGGGCGCCGCCAAACATCCCGCCGCTCTCGGGTTCGCGCCCGTACACGCTCAACACGAGGTGGTGCCCGGGCTTCAGTCTCGCGGGCAGGCGCACTCGGACTTCGTGGCACCACGCGCCGCCTTTGGATTTTCCAATCGACGACGGCGTCCATCCGGAGCGCTCGAGCGAGAGCTCTCCGCTCGTCGCCGCGGGCGCCCCCGGCGACGTCAACGTCGCGCTGCTCGACGCGAACGGCGGCGGCGGCGTCGACGTCGATCCTTGGTGCGCCAACGTCTCCATCGGTTTCCCGACGCGGACGATCGCGGGGACGCCCTCGGACTCGATCTCGAGGTCGTCCTCTCTGAGTTGCACCCTCACGCGCGCGTCCTTTTTTTTCCCGAAACCCACGGCGTCCACGTACACGAACATGTCGCGCGATAAACCGCTGAGATCGTCCCCGGTGACGCCGTCGCCGTCCGCGGTCGTCTCCCACCACCACTGCGGGTCGGAGCCCTTCACCGCGAAATTCCTCAGCGCCGGCGGCGGCGGCCGACGCGTCATCTCTCTTCTCGCCTGCGCCTTGGACCGCTCCTCGCGCGTGTTCAGCGGGGTCACCTCCACGACGACTTTGCACCGTATCGGCTTGTGGCTCTTCAGCGCGTGCGCGGACGAGTACGCCGCCTCGAGCAGCGTCGCCTCGTTGTACGCCTCCTTCACGCGAAACATGCTCTCGACGACGCGTTCGCCCGCGTCGACGCCGCCGCCGCCGCGGCGAACGACGGGCACCACCGTCCACGCGACGATCCCTCGCGGCGCCACGTCGTGCGCGAAGCTCCCCGGCGGAACGTCGAGCTTCTCCAGACGTTTGTGCTCCTTCACGAGGTGCGCGGCGGTCTGCTTAGCCACCTTGTGCGTGTAAATTTTCGGATCGAACCCGCCCGCCGCGGGCGTGCGATGCGTGAGTTGGATCAGCGCCTTCATCCCGTTCGTCGCGAGCTTCGCCGGGACTGTGAACGCGCCCTCCACCTTGTCGCTCTTGTCCCGCGGCGGCCACACGAAGTGGAGATCCTCGGACAGCCGCCTGCGTTGCCCTTGCGACACGTCCACGATCGACATCGTCCCCTCGACGATCTCGAGCTCGCCGGCTTCGAACGCGATGGACGCGACGCGGATGCTAAACTTAATCGGCGCGTCCGAGGACGCGACGGTCATCGCGGCCGCGAACGCGGCGGAGACGCCGACGTTCGGGACGACGACGCCGCCGCCTTTGGGGTGATGACCGACGACGTTCGGCGAGCGCGGCGCGACGCCGTGCGAGCTCCGCGCCTTGGCCTTGTACGTCGGGTCGTACAGCTGCATGAGCGGCAGCCGCGCGACCGCGTCCGGGCGCGCGGACGCGCGACGACGCTTCGCGGACGCGTCGTCGTCGTCGAGCGCGTCGTCGTCGTCGTCGTCGTCGTCGCGGCCGTCCGAGGAGGAGGACGCGAGCGGCGGGGGATCATCCCGGGAGGCGTTCGGCGACGCGCCGTTCGTCGCGTCGTCGCTCGCGGGCGCGTACACTTGCGGCGTCAGCGAGATCCGTCGCGTCTGCGCGCGCGACGAACGCGGAGGGAGGGAGAGAAAAAGAAGAAGATGAGAACGAGACGAGATGAGGCCGCGTTCGGAGACGCGAGGCGGGCGACGGACGGGGAACGCGCGCGCGCGCGCGAGGGAGGGATCCTGTAGCGGATCTGGCGCGGCGCGACGCGCCTGCTTGAACCCGAGAACGTCTCCGCCAAGCGCGGCGCGTCGCCCCGCGCCGCGCTTCCGCCACGGTCCGTGGTACTGCTCCACGAGGCTCGCGAGGTGCGGGGCGTCGATCTCGTCCGTGGCGACGACCGCGCGCTGATCGCACGACGCCGGCTGCGACGGCGACCGCGGCGTCGCGAGCTCGCCCGGGGCGTCGCCGCCCGCGCTCGTCTTCAGCGTCGACGCCGTCTCCGGGGTTCCGTCCGCGGAGGAGAGCGGCGACGCCATCGTCCGCGTCCGCGTCGGTGGCGCGCTCCGCCGAGTGATGTGGCGCGCGCAGACGACCAACCGACGCAAGCAACGACCCGTGCCGTCTACTGTTCGATCCTGTCTGTTATGCGGGTCAACAACGGAACACGCTGATGACCCATAAGTCGTTGTCGGCGCGATCTCGCGCGGTATTTAAATGACCAAGCGCCGTAGAAAACTCGCCGGGCAGGGTCGCGTCTGCCTGTGACCCGAGCGGGGGTAAGGGTGTTTGAACGGCCGGGTTTTCCGGTCAGGCCCCGGTCGCTTACCGATCACGGCTCCGCTTCAAGCCAGCGGTCCGCAGCGGTCGCTCCCGGAGGGGAGCGGTCGTGGCGGTTGCAGAGGCGGGAATCGCGTCAGGCGGGAAACCGAGCAGCGCAAACCGTCCGCCGTTGGCAGTGAAGGGATAGGCTGTGTGAGAGCTGCTGGGGAGTTCCCTGGTTGGGGGCTCCGGTCGAACTTGCATCCGCCTGCGAGATTTTTTTTTGGCGCGCGCGATGCCCCGGGGACTCGCGGCGCGCGCGGTGTCGGCGGCGGCGGCGTCGGCGGCGGCGGGTGGGCACGCGGCGACGCGCGCGCGCGGTTCGCGCTTTTTTTGCTTGTCACTTTTTGAGCAACAACGACGACGACGAAAAATCGCGGGCGAACGAATATGCTGACAAGATCTGGTCGAGGTCGCGCACTCGCGCTTGGCGCGATGCCGCCGCAGACGCGGTCGCGGGACGCGACGCCGAAGAAGGCGGACGCGCCGCTTCCAAACGTGCGAGTGACGTCGCCGGAGCGCGGCTCGAAGCGGCGGCTCTCGCCCGGGCCGGCGCCGCGCGGCGACCGCGGAAGAGATCGCGGCGCGTCGCCGTGCCCGCCCGCGCGGTCGTTCGCGCTGAGCAGCAGCGGATGGCTGTTCGTGTACTACGTCGGCGTCGTAAAAGCGCTCGCGGAGCGCGGATATCACAAGTGCGCGGCGCGATGACGCTTCGTCCCCTCGCCTCTCTCGCGCTCTTTCGCGGCGGGACCGCCCGCGCGTCAGATCCAATCAACCCTACCTCGCTTTTTCCAAAATCTTAAAAATCGCGCGCGCTGACCCTACCCTCGTCCGATCCTCCCTCGTTCCGTCTCGCAGGAGCGCGAAGGTGTACGGCACCTCCGGCGGCGCGCTCACCGGCGCGCTGCTCTTCCTGGACATCGACCTCGACGCGCTCGCGGAGTACATCTACATATGCGCCGCGAAAGCGCGAGGGTCGTGGCGCGGCGCGTTTCTGTTGAGGGACTACTGCCGCGGCGCCATCACGCAGTTCTGCACCAAGGACGCGCACAAGATCCTTGCAGGCCGGTTAGAGATTAGCATCACGCGGATATTCCCGTGGTACAAGAACATACGCGTGAACGAGTTCCCGACGTACGACTTTTTAATTCAGTCGTTGCTGTGCAGCGCGTGCATCACGCCGCTCGCGGGGCTTCCGATGTGGCTCCCGGGCCACGGCTTGTGTTTCGACGGCGGCGTCAGCGATCTGCAGCTCGTCAAAGGGCTCGCGTCCAACGGGACGTTCTGTAAACTGCACTGCAGGAAGACGAACCCGGAGGACATCATCGTCGTGTGCCCGTTCTACAGCAGCCGCGCGGACATACGCCCGTCGAAGTACGTCCCGATGTGGTGGGCGTTTTTCCCCCCCGCGCCCTACAAGCTCAAGGAGCTGTTCGAGCTCGGGCAGAAGGACGCGCACGCGTGGGCGGACAAGCAGGACGAGAGCAGCCCGAGCTCGAGTCCGTCGGGCGCTAAGGCGGCGCACGCGGACGCGGACGAGGGCGTCGCGTCCCCGGACGAGTGGGAGTCGGACGTCTCCGAGAAGACGGCGAAGGCGCGGCGGCGGATGGAGGCGCCGGCGCCGGCGACGGCGACGGGGTGGGGGGGGTACTTTTGGTGGTGGCGTCGGCCGCGCGCCGCGAGCGCCGCGAGCGCGGAGAGCGACAGCGACGATCTGGAGCGCTCCAGCGGCGGTCTGAGCGCGGACGCGTCCGAGACTGGCTCCGACGTCGAACGCGAGGGCGTCGAGCCGAGGACGCCCAAGTCACCCATGGAGTGGGCTGCGGAATGCCAGGAGTGGTGTTCGCTGTCCGCGGAGGCGGCGGCGCGGAGAGCGGTGCGCGCGGCGACGATGGCGGCGCGCACGGCGGAGGATTTCATGCACCACGAGGCCGAGGTCGCGTTCGAGTACGCCTCCGGGGCGTTTTGCGAGGCGCAAGCCGCCGCGGAGGCGATGCGACGCGCGGCGACGCGGACGGGGAAACGCGGGACGGAGGAGGAGCGCCGGGACGCGACGGACGCGCCGGGGTACGGCCTCCCCGGGACGTTCCGGCCGCACCGTCTCGTTCTCCGGTGGATCGCGTGCGTCGTCATCTACTGCGAGCTCATGGGCCAGGCGCTGTTCTACGCGCTCGGCGCGGCGGCGGCGGTGCTGCTCCCGGGCGTGGACGCGGACAAGATGTGGCGCAGGAGTTTGGAGTTTTGCCGACCGGCGCCGCGGGTGTTGTTGCAGCCCGTGCCGATGATGCGTCCGGGCGCGCGGATCAACGCGAAGACCGCGAAGATGTTAGGGAAGCTCTCGGTGACGTACCGCGTGCTGTGCTACCTCGTGCACATGGAGACGGTCGTGTGACGCGTCGAGCGGAGCGGAGCGGCGCGGCGGCGGGCGGGGGAAGGGAGGAGTTGACGATTTCGGACGACGCGCGCGAGAGCGAGCGTCGGACGACGACGGTACGCGTATCACGTGCTCACGATGTATTAGATCGAGTCACACGCATCGCACGCGCGACATCAGACGACGACGGAACGCGTATCTCGTGCTCACGATGATGTATTAGATCGAGTCACGCACATCGCACGCGCTACTCAGCGCGCTTCTTCTCGGCGCTCACCACCACGCCTTCTCACCGCCGGTGCCCGCGACCTTGATCCCGTCGGACCCCGCGACGATGACCTGGTACGACATCCCGACGAACAAGCCGTGGTCGACGACGCCGACGGTGTTCTTCAACTCGCTCGCCGCCGCGTTCACGTCCTTGATCGGCTCCTTGAAGTGCAAGTCCACGATGTAGTTGCCGTTGTCCGTCACCGCGATCTCGTCGCCGTCGGGTTTGTTCGTGGACGACGACCCCATGCGAAGCACGGCCTCGCAGCCCTTCACGGAGGGGAGGTCCGCGATCGTGCGAAGCGTGTGCATGTGGCAGAACGGCGTGATCTCCACCGGGAGCGGGAACCCCGGACCGAGCCCCTTGCAGAGCTTGGACTCGTCCACGATGACGACGAACTTCTTCGCCATGACCTCGACCATCTTCTCGCGGAGGAGCGCGCCGCCGCCGCCCTTCACGAGCGCGAGGTCCGGGTCGACCTCGTCCGCGCCGTCGATCGCGACGTCGAGGATGGACTTTTCGTTGAGCGTGCACAGCGGGATCTTCAGCGACTCCGCCTGCTCCTTCGTCCTCACGGACGTCGGGATCGCGACGATGTCCGTGAGCTCTCCGGACGCGATCTTCTGCCCGAGGCGCTCGACCGCGAAGTACGCGGTGCTGCCCGTGCCGAGGCCGACGACCATGCCGGACTCGACGTGGTCGTCCACCGACTTGTATCCGACGAGCTTCTTGAGCTCGTCCTGCGTGGGCGCCATCGCGCGGACGGAGACGGCGCGGGGCTTGGCGGCGACGCGAGGCTTGGACTTCGCGAGGGGGGTAGCGCGGAGGGCGACGGTGGAGGAGAGCGACGCGGCGAAGGACATGATATCCGCGGCGGCGGTGCGATCGGGAATACCAACCAGATAACGCGATCGGAACTCGACGCGTGATGCGCGTGCCAGCTGGATGTCAGGCCGACGCTTCGACTGAGGGCTCGATTTCGATTTTCGAAAGCAAACAGTGGGTCAAGCGGGGGTGATTTTTTGCGTTGAAAAATTGAGTTTCACCGATGCTCGAACCGAGCTCGGTTCTCGAAATTCTTTTCCGGCATGACGCGCGCGTGCTTCGGGCGGCGCGGCGAACAACGTCGCATGTCCCGTCATCGTCAGAGCACAGCGGAGCGCGCAGCACGGCCGTCATGCGCGTCGACGGCGAGGGCGGGGACGATGCGCCCGCCCCCGCGGAGAAGCCGTCCACGTCCGCGCGGTCGTGGGACCCGCCTCCGACGCTCGCGTTCCTCACGCACCTGACGCGACCGGGAGGGTACGGCCTCGACGCCTCCGACGTCCGGACGTCCGTCTCCGCGTGGAGAGAGGCGGAGATCGTCGCGACGCTCGTGAGGAACGCGAAGAGGAAAGCCCCGGACGCGGTCGTGGGGCGCATCTTCACCGCGGTGAACCAGGACGGCATCGTCGTCCTCATCGGCGAGGCCGGACGCGGAGATGACGCGGGAGGAGGAGGAGGATCGACGGCGCGGCGCGACGACGAGAGCGACGACGAGCGACATCTGAGGGACTGCCACCTGTCCGTGTGCCACCTCGATCCGCCCGTGAACCTCGGCGCGCCGGACGGAAGGAACGCGCGCGCGGTCATGCTCGTCATGGTCCCGGACGACGGCCCGTCGAAAGAGGCGCCGTGGGCGAGAGGGATGGACCAGCACGGCGCGATGCGGACGATCAAAGCCGCGTTTCACGGCTTCGCGAGGCACGGCGCGCTGCTGAAGAGCATCGACCGCGCGGAGAAGACCGCGGAGTCGGACCGCGGGAAGGCGATGATCGCGGATCTGATCGGCGCCGTGAGCGGCGGGTTCACCCCGCGCGCGGGCTCGGGATCGGGGGAGGAGAGCGTCTTCACGTCGCCGGAGAAGAGAGAGCCGTCGTTGGACGGCGGCGGCGGCAAGAGCGGCGGCGCGCGGAAGAGCCTCTCGCTCGAGCACGATCATCGAAAGCCCTCGAGCAAGAAGAGCCACGTCCTGACCCCGGAGGAGTACGTCCGCGCGATCCAGACCGCGATCGGTTCGTACGTCGCCGCGGAGGAGCAGAAGCAGAGGCGAAAACGGGCGGCGGAGGACGACGCCGAGAGCGAATCCGATTACGAGGGAAAGCCGCCGTGGGCGCACCCTGGCGGGTGGTCGCACGGGTGGACGCCGACGAAGATAGGCGGCGGCCTGATGAACGACGTCAAAAACCGGTTCATCCCGCACTACGCGTCCGACTGGACGGACGGTTTATCCATGAAGACGGTGTCTGCGGCGTTGCTCATGTTTTTCGGATGCTTAGCCCCGTGCATCGCGTTCGGGGCGCTCACGAGCATCGAGACGGACGGAAAGATGGGCACCACGGAGTACATCCTCGCGCAGGCGGTCGCGGGTATATTCTTCTCCCTCGTCGCCGGGCAGCCCGAGATCGTGCTGCGAACGACCGGCCCGTCGACCGTGTTTCTCATCGAGCTCAACGCGGTGTGCGACCGCTACGACGCGCCCTTCGCGACGACGTACGCGTGGACGGGGATATGGGCGTCGCTGTTCATGGTGATCATCGCGCTCACGGACGCGTGCGTGCTGATGCTTCGTAACTGCACGCGGTTCACGCAGGAGATCTTCGGGCTGTTCGTGTCCGCGATCTTCATCAGCGCGGGCCTGGGCGCGTTCGTTAGGTACTTTAGGGACGACGAGCACGATTTGGCGCAGGCTTTTTTTTCGCTCATCCTCGGCGTCCTGACGTTGCACTTGGGTCTCTGGGCGCTCGCGGTGCGGACGTCGCCGTTCCTGTTGAAGTTCATGCGCGAGCTCACCGCGGACTTTGGCATCGCGGCGGCGATCACGATAAGTTCCCTCGTCGCCTGGGGCAGCGACGTGAACGGGATGGAGATGCTCGACATAAGCGACGACGTCGAACCCGCGGACGGTCGGAACTGGGTCGTGAACCTTTACAGCGGGCCGAGTTGGATCCCCGCGTTCGCGATCATCCCCGCGTTCCTTCTCGCGCTCTTGATGTACGTGGAGATGAACATATCCTCGCTGCTCGCGAACAAGGCGGAAAACAACCTGATCAAAGGCGCGGCGTATCACCAAAATTTTCTCGTCATGGCGTTGATCACGCTCGCGTTTTCGTTCTTCGGTCTGCCGCCGATGACCGGGTCGCTGCCGCACTCGCCGCAGTTCATTCGCGCGCTGTCAGACGTGGAGGAGATCACCGTGGGTGGGCAAACGAAGACGAAAGTGCTGTGGGTCCGCGAGAACAGGATCGCGCCGCTGCTCGTGAACGTGTTGATATTCCTCTCGCTCGTGATGACGCCGTTACTTCGCGAGATCCCCATGGCGGTTCTGTACGGACTGTTCTTATACTTGGGCATCACCGGGCTCGCGACGTCGCAGTTCTGGACGCGGATCAAGATGATCTTCATGGACCCGCGTTTACTTCCTCCGACGCACTACGTGAGGAGGGTGCCGATAAGCCGCGTGCACGCGTTTACGTTCGTGCAGCTCGCGTGCTTGGGGATGCTCATCGGCGTGAGAGCGTCCCCGGCGGCGTTATTTTTCCCGCTCTTCATCGCGATTTTGATGCCGCTTCGACGGTTCTTGTCGTGGAAGAACATCCCGCTGTTCACGTCCTCGATGTTGAGGATGCTGGACATGATCGCGGAAGGAAGCAACGCGGAGGCGGCGTACACGGACGGCGACCGCGGCGCCGGCGGCCTCGGCCTGAGCGTCAGCGATTGGGAAGCCCCGGCGAAAGGCGCCACCAGGAATAGTTACTTGGATCTCCGGACCGTGGGGCCGGACGTGAACGGCGCGGAGCTCGTCCCGGGGTCGCCGCTCAAGGAGAATGGGGACGTCGTCGTGGGCGCGAAGGACGTCGACGTGAAGGTGAACGGCGACGAGAACGGCGCGACGTAGAGTTCGAGCGAGCGAACAGAACGGGACGCGTCAGAAGCACAGTAGACTCACATGTATCATCAAATCCCGTCGAAGGATATCACCCTCGCCCCCCTCAGCGACTGCACGCGCCGCCTCGCCCTCTCCGGCGACGGCGTCCGCAGCGGCACGCTCCCCCGCGCGACGCTCTTCGGCACGGACATCGCCCCCCCGCGTCGTCTCGACCACGCCCACGCGACCACAACCGCCGCCGCGCCGCACGTCGCGTTCACGAGCAGCGACGCGTTCTCCTCCGTGAGATGCGGCGCGAGCGCGTCGATCCGCAACCCCTCTCTGCGCACCGCCTCCTTCGCGTCCGCGAGCGTCTTCTCCGCGTACACCGCCGCGCGCTCCGCCGCGCGCAGTCCGCGCGTCGCCGCCGGCTGTACCTTTTTCAGCGCCGCCGCGACCGCCTCCGGCGGCTCAAACGCCGCGACGCGCCGCGTCACCGTCCTCGTCGCGTTCGCCGCGCGCGCGATGGCGAGGTCGACGGTCCTCGCGACCGCGGTGACGGTCATCTCGCCCGCGCGGGACAAGTGCGCCGCCGCGGTGTGCGGCGCGGACTGCTCTCTCTCCAGGAGCTGTTCCTCGAGCGACGCGATCTCGTCCTTCAGGCGTCGCTTCTCCGCGCTCGTCGTTTCGACGTGCGACGCGCGCGCGCGCTCGAGCTCCGCGATGCGCGCGTCTTTCGCCGCCGTCGCGGCGGTCAGCTCGTCGTGCGCGCGCGTCAGCGTATCGAACCGCGCCTGCGCCGCCCCCAACGACTCGATCGCGGTCGCTCGCGTCGCGCGCAGATTCTCGATCTCCCCTCTCAGCGTCTCCGCGTGCGACACGCACGTCGTCAGGAGCTCCGCCTCGGGGGACGCCGCGGGGACGCGCTCCTCCGCGGCGGTGGCCGCGTCTTGAGCCGCGACGCACGCGAGGAGCGCGGCGAGGAGCGTCGCGAGCAACGCGCGGCGACGCATCGTGCCAGCGCGACGGGGTGCTCTGATGAGTGTTCTGGGGAAATCCAAAAAAGTTGAAGTCTTGCCCATCTGCACCCCGCGGACGACGTCGCCGCCCGACCGCACTCCCGCGCGCGCGGCGGCGGCGCGCGGCGACGATGGACCGTCCGCGCGCGGCGAACGCGCGGAAACGCCGGCGCCGGCGCGCCGTCGGCGCGATAGCTCTTCTCCTGGTGCGCGTCGCTCGCCGCCCGTCGTCGCTCTCGCCGATCGCGTGGGCACCCAGCCCGTTCGCGACGTCGAATCTCGTCTCGTCGTCTCACGTCCGCGCTCGTTCTCTCCCTCGTCCTCTCGATCAACAGGCGTGCGTCGCGGCGTGGCACCTCGCGCGCGCGTATCAAGCGCCGCGCGCGGCGGTCGGCACCGCGGAGATGGACGCGACGGCGGCGGCGACGACGGCGACGACGACGACGCGAGCGGATCCGGGGGAAGACAGTCGGCACGAGGCGTCGAACGTCGTCCCTTCGTCGTCGCCGCCGCCGCCGCGCGCGCCGGGGCTCCCGCCGCCGGTTCCCGGGACGCCGCCGCGGGTCAAGATGCCGAAGCCGAAGCCGGAGCTGAAGCCGAAGCCGAAGCCGAAGCCGAAGCCGGAGCCGAAACCTGAGCCGACGACGCCGACGCCCGCGGACGAGAACGTCGAGGAGGACGAGTACGACTTCGAGGAGGACGAGTACGACTTCGAACTCGTCCCTCCGCCCGGGGACGCGACCGCCGCCGGCGTCGTGAACGCGCAAGTGGTCGACGTGACGGACGCGAAGCGCCCGAAGTGGATGCGCGAGATGTGGTCGCAGACCACGGCCGCGGTGAACGTCGACGCGCACGAGCTCGCGGGGGTCGTGCGCGAGACCCCGGAGGCGCTGTCGCACGCGAAGCCCGGGGAGTCTCTGTTCGTGACGTTCGCGACGGAGTCCGTGAAAGATTTCGTGCACACGTGGATCGAGTCCGCGCGCGCGCTGAAGCTGTCGCCGCTGTTCGTCGGCGCCCTGGACGAGGGGATGCTGAAGTGGTGCGAAGATAGGGAGATACCGAGCATGCTGCTGAGCGGGAACAGCGTGTTGAAAGGCCGCGGGCGGAAATTCATCACCGCCGGGGACGAGCACTTCAAAAAAATGGGCAGCGTAAAGACGAAGTTCATCCAAGACCTCCTCGAGCTGAACATCGCGCCGATACTCACGGACGCGGACGTGACGTGGCTCCGCGACCCGCGGCCGTACTTTAACAAAGGGACGTACGCCCTGGCGGACGCGCTCGTGAGCACGGACTGCATCGACATCCCCGGGGACGCGAGGGACGAGAACGCGTGCGCGCACGTCAACTTTAACACTGGGGTGTTACACTTCCGTCCGTCGAACGCGAGCAAGGCGTTCGTGGAGACGTGGAAGAACAAAGTCGCGAGCAGCACGATCGCGTGGATGCGCGACCAGCCGGCGTTTAACCTGCTCACGCACGAGGGCGTCCCCGGGCACGCGCTGTCCCCCGCGACGGCGGTGCCAAGAGAGAAAAAAGGGAAACCCGGGCACAGGATGCTCTATCACGCCGCCAACGCGTCGTTGCTCCTCGGCGTCCTCCCGAACTGGCTGTTCGGGAACGGGCACACGTACTTCGTGCAGTGGCACCACGAGACACACGCGGCCGACGGCGCGCCGTACAGCGTGCACATGACGTATCAGTACGGAGACACCGGCGCGTACGCGTACGGCAAGCGAGAGCGGATGCGACAGGCGGGGATCTGGCGCGCGGACCCGCCGGCGTTTTACGGCGACGGCGACGACGACGTCAAGTTTCTCGTGATCGCCGACGAGGGCGCTCAGATGCGATTTCCGGACGACGAGCCGGCGACGATCGGGACGGATCGCGAGGCACACCGGGTGGCGATCGCGCGGCACTTACAAGAGGACAAGTTGCGAAGGACGACGGTGCGGAACGGGCTCGCGCTCGCCAAGGCGCTCGGACGCGTGCTGGTCCTGCCCCGCGCGCGGTGTTACTGCGATAAGATTTGGAACAACCTCAACGCGTGCCGCGCGCCGGGCGCGGAGACGTTCACGCTGCCGTACGCGTGCCCGATGGACCACATCTACGACCTTCCGCGGTGGTTCGACGACGTCGGGCGCGGCGTCTTGCCGGACTTTCGCGAGCCGGGTTTTTTATCCGACGCGAGGGTGCCGTCGGAGGTGCGCGCGTCGAGAGGGCGGATCGTCGTCGACCGCGCGGGGGACGCGCGCGCGGGGTACCCGGCGTGGAGTAGTGGTGGTGGTGGCGACGCGGAAGCGGAGGACGTCGTGCGTCTGCGGCACGGGTTCACCGCCGCGGACGCGGTGGCGGCGACGGCGGCGTTGGCGTCGAAACGCGTCGTCGAGGTCGACTACCTCGGCGGCGCGGAGACGTTCTGCGGGTTCGCCGCCGACGCGAAGAACGCGGAGTTCGACGCCGTCGCGACGCGCGCGCTGACGAACGATCAGTACTACTGCCTCACGGAGCCTTGGCACGCGATGGGGAGCCCGAGAGGGGGACGGTCGGCGAGCGATCCGTACGAGCCGCAAGTCGTGACGCGGCACTGCGGCGCGAGCGAGGAAGACATGATCCGGAGCGGGAGGGTGACGAGAGGGGAGGTGACGCACTTGGGGACGGACGACGGGTGCACGTGCGAGTGGGGGTTCGCGAGGCCGAAGCCGTTGACGGAGGTGTCTAAGGGCGAAGCGTGCAAGGCTGGCGATGCGTGATGTAGTCTAGCAGCCGGCGGCGGTCCAACGCGGAGCAACCCCGCATGTGTACACTTTCCACGTGGACCTGATTCAGTACGTGGCCTTCAACCGCGTATCTTCGCAAAGATCTGACTGGAAAAAGCGCGCCGTCGGTAAAACTCACGGAACATTCGCGCGCGCGCATCGGCGCAACATCTCAGGTCGGCGCGCCCGCTCCCCACCGTGTCTCTAAATCGCAATCCGCGACCATGAGCGCGTGCGGCGACGCCGCCGCGCGCTCGCTCGCGGAGGAAGGCGCGCGTCTCGACGCGCTGCGTTCGTTAAACATCCTCGACGCGGAAGTGAATCCCCCGGGATTGTCCTGGGTCGTCGACGCGTGCTGCGCGCTGTTCAACGTCCCCATCGCGCTCGTGTCGCTCGTGTCCGAGCACACGCAGCGGTTCCTCGCGAATCACGGCGCGCTCGAGGACGTGAAAGAGACCCCGCGCGAGGTCTCGTTCTGCCAGCACGCCATCAGAACGCCCGACTCGACGTTCGTCGTCAACGACGCGACCAAGGTGCGTTCGTCTCAACGGTTTTTCACCCACCCCTCGGTTTCAACATTTGATCGCGTCCCCTTTCAACTGACCGATCAACATTTTTTTGTCAACAATAAATCGCCGCACAGGACGAGAGGTTCATGAACAACGTCCTCGTGACTTCGCGACCGATGATTCGCTTCTACGCCGGCGCGCCGCTGCTCGTGCACGTCAACGGCGCGCGGCACGCGATAGGGACGCTGTGTGTCATCGACGTCAAACCCAGGGCATGGAGCGACGCGGACGAGGACATGCTTCGCTCGCTCGCGAAGATCGTGAGGCACTACGTGACGCTGTACGTGGGAGGCGCGGTTGCCGCCGCCGCGGGGGGCGCCGCCGGCACCGGCGGCAAAATCGGGCTCGCCGTGGGCGGAGGAGGCGGTCGAGGAGGGGGAACTCCAAGTTTTCCCACGCCCGCGGCGATGTTCGCGAACGTCCTGTCGCTGCAGAGAGAAGCCGCGGAGTCGAAAGAGGCGGCGCGCCTGGCGAGCGAAGAGTCCGCGCGCGCGAAGGGGCGATTCCTCGCCAACGTCTCGCACGAGCTCCGAACGCCGATGAACGCGATCACCGCGTGCGCGACGCTGATGCGCGACCACGAGGACGAGCTCAGCCTCGAGAACCGAGAGCTGCTTCAGATCATCGATCAGAGCTCGAAGCACATGCTCGACCTCGTGACTCAGATTTTGAGCTTCTCGAAGGAGGACAACGCGCTGCAAGGGATGTCGCTCGCGAAGGGCGCGCGCGTGAGCGAAGTGTTCGACCTCCGCGAGTGCGTGGAGCAAGTCATCGAGCTCCAGAGCGCGGCGATCGGGATGCGGCGCGCGTTCGTCGAGCTCGCGTACGTCTTCTCCGACGAAGTGTGCGATCATTACGTCGGCGATCCGCTCGGGGTGAAAACCGTGTTGCTCAATCTCGTCTCCAACGCGGTGAAGTTTACGGAACGCGGGCACGTGAAGATCACGGTGACGGAGCACGACCAAGTTTTCGTAGCCGACGACGACCACGACGATAACGCGAACGAGAAGAAGAACGCCGTCGCGGTCGCGTCGAGCGCGCACCCCGACGTCACTTCGTATGGGCAATTACCCTCACGGCGCGACGTTCGGTTCACGGTGTCAGACACCGGTCCGGGGATCCCCGCGGACAAGCTCGAGACGATCTTCAGACCCTTCGAGCAGGCGGACGACGCGACGACGCGGTCGCACTGCGGCACCGGCCTCGGCCTGAGCATCTCGCGGTCGATCGTGAAGAGGCTCGGCGGCGTCATCACCGCGAGGGCGAACGACGAATTAAGCTCGCCTCTCCTCGAACGCGGCGACGACGACGAGAAGAAGAGGACGTCGAGAGGCGCCGCGGTGGATTTCAACTTTCACATGGAACGCGCGGAGGACGCGCACGACGCGTGGAAGCCGACGAGATCGGCGCTCGTCGCCGTCGTCGTGAGCCAATCGGACGTCGTGCGCTCGTCGCTGCTACCGCTGTTGAGGTACCTCGGGATCGACGCGCGAGAGCGACGCGGGGCGGAGGAGCTGCGACGCCTTCTCGAACGATGCCAGGCGCGCGCCCGCGGAGGGAACGGCGGCGGCGGGGCCGGGGACTGCGACCACGATCACGTCGACTTCGTGCTGTTTGACCTCCCGAATCGAGGCGCGTCGAGGGCGGCGAAGGAGGCGAGCCGCGAGTGCGCGCGCGTCGTCGTCGATCACGCCCGCCGCGGCCTCGGCCCGGAGCTTCTCGTGTTGAGGCATCACGGCAGCATGCCCAAGACGCCGACGCGGCGACGCGGCGGCGGAGATCGAGAAGACGAACGCCAGACGACGACGACGCGCGAGGACGACCCCGACGCCGCGGAGTGGTCCACGATCTTTCAGGACGTGGAGTACCAGAACGTCATCAAGCCCGTGCTCGCGACGCATCTGCAACCGATTTTCGAGGCGCTCGCGTCGAGGATCGGCGCGTCGCAGGTCCGACCGTCCGCGGCGGGGCTGAAGCGTCGACGCGACGCGACGGAGCGCAGAACGGCGTTCACCGCGAGAACGCGGTCGTACGCGGACGGGCGCGAGGAGGATGCGCCCGATCGCGACCCGTCCCCGGGCGCCGCGATCGCCGCGGCGGACGCGTCGGTGGCGAACGATCGCGGGCGGCGCGACGAAGTCGACGACCTCAGAGGGGGGGTCGCCGCCGCCGACGCGGCGGCGGACAAGCCTCTCAAGATTCTCGTCGTCGACGATAACAGGCTCAACCGCGAGGTCATGACTCGGCTTCTCCGGAGCTGCGGGTTCGCGAACGTCCACCTCGCCGAGGGGGGCGCGGAGGCGATCGAGCTGTGCCGACACGACGGGAAAGGCGATTTCGACATCGTGTTGATGGACGTGCACATGCCGGAGATGGACGGGTTCAAGGCGTCGATGTTGATCCATCGAGACGCGGACGAGAGAGGTGAGCGTCGGCCGCGGACGGTGATCATCACCGCGGACGCGACGGATGAGGTGAAGGCGTCGTGCGGTGACGCGGGATTGGAGTTTTTAACGAAGCCCGTGCAGAGGGAGGATCTCAGGAGTGTGCTGGCCGGTGGACGGGGAGGAACGCCGACGAGCTAGGTTTATTCTTATGTTATGTACAACGTTGTAAACCTAACAACTTACTGTACCTTCGCACGGAAGCGTCCCCGCTCAGACTGTTCTCACATGTTTACTAAGGTACCCGTACCTTCGTAACTTAGACTTCGTACCTTCCGAGGTTTCGTCTTGGAAGCGTTTCACACAACGACACCTGGTCCACACGTATCACACTCGACTTCGCGCGGGTATACCGTCATGGCGTCGGTCGTCGCAGGTGAACAACCGGACCACGAGCTCGCGCTGCGGCTCCATCTCGAGGAGCTCGAGCGCGCGGCGGCAGAGCGCGACGATCTCGCGCTCGCGCTCGCTCTCTCGTTCCAGCTCCAAGACCAAGAAAAAAACGACGGTGAGTGGGAAATAGTTGCGCGCGCGGCCGATGCGGGGGAAGCGCAACTCGTTCGCGCGGTAGAACAGCAACGTCTGGACACGAGAGAACTCGCGGAAGCTTTGGTCTTCGACGACGACGAGAGCCTCGCGCAAGAGCTGTCGTTACGGCACATGCGAGAGTACGTCTCCTTCGAGAAACTACCTCCCACACCCGAAAACGACCGACTCGGTCGACACGCCTCCAGGCCTAGGGGCGCGTTGAAAACAGTGGGCGGCAAGCTCCCCCTCGCGCTCGCTAGACAGGCGCCCGAAGAAGGCCCACGTCTATTCAGCGCGATCGACGAGGTGACCGCGCCTTTAGGGGTTTTCGTGGGCGACACGGTGTCCTGTGAGATATGCCTCGAGAGGGTATCCGCGGCGGGGTGCTTTTCTGCGAATCTCCGCGAGCGCAACTTCTGGGAGCCGTGCGGGCATTTCGTCTGCGCTGTTTGCACCCCGGGATGGCTCAAGAACGAGATCGAGGGTAGTCAGATACATCCACGCTGTCCGTGTTTCCAACACTGTTCCGCGTACTTCGACAAGTGGAACTGCCGAGACGTGCTCAGCCAGCATAGCGACAGTTTCAAGAAGCTATCCTCGTTTCACACGGCAGACGCCAAGGGCTTGCGCAATGGGACGCTGATGTACTGCCCGTTGGGATGCAACTCAGCGGTCCAGGCACAAGGTTCTCCGAAAGACTGGTGCAAGACCTGCGAGAAGGACTATTGCAAGGCGTGCGCGACTCCTTGGCATCACGGCATGTCGTGCAAGGAGTACCAGAAGCTGCCGGCGCATCTGAAAACGAACGACGACGTCGCGCTTCTGAACCACGCGTACCGCGAGGTCCTCCGCCCGTGTCCGAGATGCCGTCATCTCGTGGAGAAAAACCCGGACGGGTGCAACCACATCGTGTGTCGCTGCGCGTGTCACTTTTGCTACGCGTGCGGAGCCGAGTACCAGCATAACAAGCCGACCGCGGGGAACGCTCACGGGAAGCCGAGTTGCAAGTGCGAACTGTTCGGCGGACGCAAACAATACGGAAGCGTGAGCGATGTCGCGGAAGCGGCGGGGGTGTAAATCGCGCGATCGCTCGCGCACGTTCTGAGAACGAGCACTGAAATCTCCGAGTGAGTCTTCGACGTGAATGAAATACCAACGAACGCATCATTCGTCGCTCCATCTCGCGAACTAACTTTGCTTTAATCGTAAAGCGTTTCCGGCGAGGCAGCTGAATAAACTCGAAGGTCTAATTAACGCTACAGGTAGGTCTAAATGAACGCCGAAGAAGCGTCTCCCACCGCTCACGGCGGAACGTTCTTAAGGTTCGCGTAATCGTACTCGTCGTCCGATCCGCTCTCGTCCTCGTCCGCCTCCTCCATCGGCGCGTCTGGGAGCTCATCTGCCGCGGGTCGCGCGACCGCGCGCGACGGCGGCGGCGGCGGCGGCGGCGGCCGCCGCGACAGCCCCCCGTTCGGCGCCATCGCCCACGGCGCCTTCCCGTCGCCGCCGCGCATGGACTCCGCGACCATCATCCCCACGCCTCGTCCTCGAAGCCCCGGGTGCAGCCCGCTCCCGGCGCCGAGGAACGACCCGGATCCGCCGCGCCCGCCGCGCGCGCCTCGAATCGCCTGGAAAACCTGCCCCGAGCGCGGCGTCGTCCCCGCGCCGCCGCCGCCGCCGCCGCCGCCGCGCGACGACGACGGCGGCGGCGGCTTGAACGCGTACCTGTCGCTCTCCCACTCGAACGTCAGATCCTCCGGCTTCGGCCGCGGCGTCCCCGGCGGCGGCGACGGCGGCTTCCCTCCTCCGCGCAGCCTCACCTGCACGTCGCCGTTTACCTCCCTGACCTCGTGCGTCCTCTGCTTCTTCGGGAGCGCGCAGAGCTTCCGCTCCATGTCGTGGTACAGACGCTCGCCCGTGCGCAGCGAGATCTGGTAATGATGCCAAGGACACGTGATGCAGTCGCCGTGCCCGGGGACGTCCTCGATGTCCCCGTGAAGCAGCGGCGCGCCCATGTGGTAGCACGTCGCGTCCACGGCGTACAGCGACGGCCCGCGGCGGACGAGGACGAGGTGGCGCCCGCGGCATTCGACCTGGATTCGCGCGTCGTTCGCCGCGAGGCGTTCGCTCCGCGCGACGGTGACGAAGTCGTCGTCGTCGGGCGCGGACATCGAGGGAGGGTCGTCGGGCGAAGGCGACGCGTCGGTCGCGCGCCCCGCGCGCGCGTCCACGGCGTCCATGGCCCGCGCGAGGCGTTGTGTGACCTCGCGGTAGTCGCAGATCGCTCCTCTCGTCTAGAATAAAACCGATGGCTAATTTGTTCGTTCGTCCGTCCGACGCGACGCGACGCATCCCCGCCTACCCCTCCCCCCATTCCCTCGCGACGTCGTCCTCACGCGAGCATGTCCACGATGAGCTGATCGAACCCCGCGTTGCTCAGCGTCCGACAGAACCGACCGAAGAACCGCATGAACTCGTCCACGTCCACTCTCGCGTCCCCGTCCGTGTCGAAGTCCGCGAAGATGTCCAAGAGCTCCCGCTCGGTCACCGTCCCGCCGCCGTGCTTCCCCACGAACGCGGTGATCTCCCCGAAGTCCACCGTGCCATCGCTCTTCGCGTCCATGGCTCTGAACACGCGCATGAGCTGATCGCGTCTGTACGCGGACAGCCCGTTGACGTCCTGCCGCGCGGACGCCGCGCCCAGCGAGAGGTGGTCAACCATGTACTGCACCGGATCCAGCGGGCGCTGCGTCACGACCTCGCCAAGGAGCTCGCCCACGAGGCCCTTCACGTCGTGCTTCGCGAGGTACGTCTCGTCGGCCTCTTTGATCTGCTGCTCGATCATCGCGCCGGCGGACGACGAGCGTCACCGCGTGCGTCGCGCGCGTCGACGGGAATGGCGACGACGGATTTGGAACCGACGGGATGAACGGGCAGTTCCAGCTCGTCGCGTCGTCGAGTGCCCACCAACCTCCGCCACTGCGACGCGCGCGATGGCGGACGCGCGCGTGAAGGAGGAAGAGGGGAGGTCCCCTCCCCGCGGCCGCGGCCGGTCGCGCTCGCGCTCGCGCTCGCCCCCGCGAGGCGGCGTCAAGCGCGAGAGGTCGCGCTCGCGCTCGCGCTCGCGGTCGTGGTCGAGCCGCTCGCGATCTCGCTCCGGGCGGCGGCGATCGCGGTCGCGGTCGTGGTCGAGGTCGCCCCGCCGCCGCCGACGACGACGCTCGCGCTCGTACTCGCGCTCGCGCTCGCGCTCGCGCTCGCCGCGACGACGCCGTCGCGACGACAACCGAGGCGCGCGCGGACCCCCGGCGCGCGTCAAGCCCGAGGCGGAGGAGACGATCGAGTGCGCGGGGTGCGAGGGACGCGTCATCGGCCGCGCGGGGGCGACGATCAAGCGTCTTCAGGAGGAGACCGGCGCGAGGGTGGACATCGACCGACAGCGCGGGGGATCGTGCGTCGTGAGCGGGAGCGAAGCGCAAGTCGCGGCGGCGGCGGCGGCGGTGCGGAAGATCATCGCGGAAGCGCGCGAACGAGAGAGCGGCGGCGGAGGAGGAGGCGGAGGCGGCGGCGGCGGACCTCGCGAACCCGCGGAGGCGACGGAACGCGTCCCGTGCGCGGGGTCGGAGGGAAGGATCATAGGCAAAGGCGGCGAGACGATTCGACGGATATCGCGAGAGTCCGGCGCGAGGATCGACATCGAGCGCGACAGCGGCGAGTGCGTCGTGTCCGGGAGCGTCGCCGCGGTGATGGCCGGCGTCGCGGCGGTGCGGCGGGTGTTGGAAGAAGACCGCGGCGGCGGCGGCGGCGGCGGCCGGAGGCGGGAGACCGAGGCGGAGATGCCGTCGTCGCTGCCGGCGCCGCCGGGCCCTTACGCCGCCGCCGGCGACGGGTACGGCGTCCCGGTCGACCCCGGGGACCCGCCGCCTGACCCTGGACCGCCGAAAGCGCCGCCGATCGAGCCTAACTTTGGTCTGTCCGGCGCGCTGGCGGCGGAGACGAACACCGTGAACGGCGTGGAGCTCGTGTACGTGGAGCCCCCGGAGAAGACGAAACCGTCGTTGAAGTGGCGTTTATACGTCTTCAAGAATGGCGAGCTCACCGGCGAACCGCTTCACATTCACAGGCAGTCGTATTACCTGTTCGGACGCGAAAGGAAGGTCGTGGACGTCCCGACGGATCACCCGTCGTGTTCGAAACAACACGCGGTGATTCAATACCGCGAGAGAACCAAGTGGGACGACGACGAGGGCGCGGACGTGAAAGTCGCGGTGCCGTACATCATGGATCTGAACTCCACGAACGGAACGCACCTGAACGGCGACCGCATAGAGCCGCAGAGGTACTACGAGCTCCTGGAGAAGGATACCATCAAGTTTGGGATGAGCACGCGGGAGTACGTGCTCCTGAACGAAGACTCGAAATAGACGTGTAATAAATAAACGTTTCTGCATTCGCGTAAAAAAGAATCTCTGTCTAGTCGAACCCCGGGATCGAAGGCGGCGGGACGTACGCGTCACCCTCCCTCGCCGGCGGCGGCGAGAACCCCGCGGGCGGCACCGGCTGCGACATCCCCGCCAGCGCCTCCACGGTCACCCTCGGCTCCGCGCTGACGACCAAGTGCGCGGGCCCGTCCCCGCGCGCCACGTTGACGACGGCGGTTTGCTCCTCCGCGACGTCGCCGCGTAAGACGGCCTGCGCGAGGCTCGTCTCGAGCAGGTGCTGCACCGCGCGCTTCACCGGCCGCGCGCCGAACGCGGGGTCGTACCCAGCCTCGCACAGCAGCTGCGTCGCGTCGTCGGCGACGCGCAGCCCGATCTTGCGGTCCGCGAGTCGGCCTTCCACGCGTTTGATTTGCTGCGCGACAATCTTTTGCACTTGCGAGAAATCGAGCGGATCGAAGACGATGTACTCGTCGACTCTGTTCACGAACTCGGGGCGGAAGTGCCCGCGGACCGCGTCCATGACCGCGTCGCGGCGTCGTTGCGCGCTTCCCGGGTCGTTGTCGTTCAGACCCTCGAGCACGAACTGCGAGCCGATGTTCGACGTCATGATGAGGATCGCGTTTTTAAACGACACGACCCTCCCTTGCGAATCCGTGACGCGGCCGTCGTCGAGAATTTGCAGCAGCACGTTGAACACGTCCCCGTGCGCTTTCTCCATCTCGTCGAACAGCACGACGCTGTACGGGCGCCTGCGGACCGCCTCGGTGAGCTGGCCGCCTTCCTCGAACCCGACGTACCCGGGCGGCGCGCCGATGAGCCGAGACACCGCGTGTTTCTCCATGTACTCGCTCATGTCGATGCGGACCATCGCCTCCTCGGAGTTGAACAAAAACGTCGCGAGCGTCTTCGCGAGCTCGGTCTTCCCGACGCCGGTGGGGCCTAAGAACATGAAGGACGCGATCGGTCGGTTCGGGTCGGACAGACCCGCTCGCGAGCGCTGGATCGCCTCCGTCACCGCGGTCACCGCCGCTTCTTGACCCACGACGCGCTTGTGAAGCTCGTCCGGGAGGTGCAACAGTTTCTCGCGTTCGCCCTCTTGGAGCTTCGAGACGGGGATTCCGGTCCACTTGCTTATGATGTCCGCGATGTCCTGCTCCGTGACTTCGTCTCTCAAGAGCTCGTCCCCGCCCGCGGCGCTCGCGGCGTCCATCGCCGCCTCTGCCTCGGAGAGCTCGCGTTGGAGGTTCATCAGCGATCCGTACTTCAACTCCGCGGCTTTGTTCAAGTCGTAGTCTCTCTCCGCGGCGCTGACTTCGATTTGCACCTGGTCGATCTCTTCTTTCAGGGTTTGGATCATCGCGATCTTGCCCTTCTCCGCTTCCCACTTTTGCGTCAACGTCGCCTGCTTCGCTTTCAGCGTCGCGAGTTGCGCCTCGAGCCCGGCGAGCCTGCCCGACACGCCCGCCTGGCTCGCCTTTTGCCCGGACGGCCCCGGGCGCTTCAACGACAGCGCCTCCATCTGAAGTTTCAAAATCTCGCGGTCGATTTCGTCCAGAACCGTGGGCTTGCTCGTGATCTCCATCTTCAGCTTCGACGCGGCCTCGTCGACGAGGTCGATCGCCTTGTCCGGAAGGAAACGATCCGCGATGTACCGATCCGAGAGCACCGCCGCTTCCACGAGCGCGTTGTCGCTGATGCTCACGCCGTGGTGGAGCTCGTACCTCTCCTTCAACCCTCGCAGGATGGACACCGTGTCCTCCACCGTCGGCTGCGCGACGTACACCTGCTGGAACCGACGCTCCAGCGCGGGGTCCTTCTCGATGTAATTTCTGTACTCGTCCAACGTCGTCGCGCCGATGCACCGCAGTTCGCCTCTTCCGAGCATCGGCTTGAGGAGGTTCCCGGCGTCCATGCCGCCGCCGCCGCCGCCGCTGCCGCCGGCGCCGACGACGGTGTGGATCTCGTCGATGAACAGGATGATCCCGCCGTCCGAGTCCGTGACTTCTTTCATGACCGCCTTGAGGCGATCCTCGAACTCTCCGCGGAATTTCGCGCCGGCGATGAGCAAGCCCATGTCGAGCGACATCACCTGCACGCCCTGCAACGACGCGGGGACGTCGCCGCTGACGATCCGCTGCGCGAGCCCCTCCGAGATGGCGGTCTTCCCCACGCCGGGCTCGCCGATGAGCACCGGGTTGTTCTTCGACCGACGCGACAAGATCTGAATCGTTCGGCGGATCTCGTCGTCTCTCCCGACCACCGGGTCGAGGCGCCCGGCGCGCGCCTCCGCGGTGAGATCCCGCGCGTACCGTCGCAGGCTCTCGTACTTCCCCTCCGCGCCCTGGTCCGTGACGTTTGAACCCTTACGAAGCGTTGTCACCGCGCCCTCGATCTGGTTCGCGTTCACCCCGATCTCCGCGAGCATCGCGCCGCCGAAGCGGTCGTCTTTCACGATGGCGAGGACGAGGTGCTCCACGGCGACGAAGTCGTCCCCCATGGCGGCTTTTTGCTGCCTCGCCTCCTCCACGAGCGCCTCGAGGTGGCGCCCCAGGACTTGCTGCGCGCCGCCGGTGACTTTCGGCTGGCGCGCGATGAAGCGGTCGATGAACCCGGCCGCGGCCGCGGGGTCGCCCTTCGCCTCGGAGATGATTCGCAGCGCGAACGAGTCTTTCTGCTCGAACAGCGCCTTGCACAGGTGTTCCGTCTCGACGATCTGCTGCGACGCGTTCTGCGCGATCTCCGGCGCGAGGACGATCGCCTCCCACGCGCGTTCGGTGAACTCGTTCTGGGAGATCTTCTTCTGGCCGCCGTCCGCGCGGACGACGACGGAGGCGCGAGATCTCCTCGCGCTCTTCGAAAAAACCTTCGTCTTCGTCGTCATCGGAGCGTCCGTCGACCGCGCGAGCGCGCGCCGCGACGCGAGAGCCGCCGCGCGCGCCATCGGCGCGCCCGACGCGAGAGACGACATCGTGCGACGACGCGTGAAGGTGCGCGGGTGCTCGCGGCGGTGCTACGAAGCGCGCGCGAGTGCGTTTGAAGGATAGACTAACGACGACGACGAGGGCGGAGAGAGGCGAACAACGACGAAGTTCAAAGGTGTGCCAGCTCGGCTCGGACAAAACGACGTCTACAGTACACTGTCAGTCTCGCTTCGCGCGCGACGCGTACGACCGCTTCGTGAGCCACGTCTGCAACGTCGCCCGGAAGTTCCCCACGCCCATGACGATGAACAGCAGCCCGCACGCGGGGGCTTGCCAATCCTTGAAAAAATCAAACTCCGTCGGCCCCGCGACGTCGCCCTTCCCTCTCCTCCCCGCGCCGCTCTTGTCGCCGCCGCCGAACCCGCCGCTGCCGAACGCGTCCATGCCGTGCTCCACCGCCACCGCCTTGAGCACGACCGCGCCAAAGTATATCTGCGTCATCTGCAGCCCGAACAGGAGCGGATACAACAGCTTCAGCTGCCCGGTGTTCCCGCCCATCTCCCCGCCGGCGACGTCCATCGGGTTCGCCTTCCCCATCGCGACGCGCGTGTACAGCCGAAACCGTTGGTACCGGTTCTGCGCGAGCATCACCGCTCCTTGCAACGCGGTGAACGCGAGGAAACGCGTCATGTAATCGAGGCACGCGTTCGACTGCACGTCCATGGTCAAGACGACGAGGCACATGCCGATGGAGTAGTAGTGGTGGTTCACCCACCACGCGCGGATGTGCGACCCGTTCGCGCGCAGGACGTTTTCCCTCAACGCGAGCGCGGCGTAAAAATACAGCATCCACACCCAGTACGCCTGCACGAGCGCCGGGAACGCGGTGGCGAGGCTGAACGCGCCGCCGCCGTTTTGTTGGGGCTCCGACGCGAGCTTCTTCCGCTGCTGGTTCAGGTACAGCAGCGCGCACGGCCAGAAGATGTACGCGTACGTGCTCTTGTCCCTGAACTCGTAGTACTCCTCTTTGATCTTCAGGCGGTTCTCTTGCCGCTGCGACGTGACGTCGACGGCGGCGCCGAGGAAGAGCTTGAGAAACTTCGAGTTCGGTCGCGGTTTGAGGTACCCGTCGAGCGCGCCCGCGGGCCCGGCGCCTTTCATCACGAGCTGCGCTTGATACAGGCTCTGTTCGGACTGCTTCCGCTCTTCAGACCCGGGCGGGAGCCGCGACGCGCGCTTCTTCAGGCGCATCACGCTCTCGCTCATCGTCGTCAGATCGTCGCAGCACGTTCGCAGATTCATGTCGAGCTGCGCGACGCGTCCGCTGATCGTGTGTATGCGCTTCTCGAGGTCTTTCGCCTCGTTCGCGACGGCGACTTCTTCGCTGATGACTTCGTCCGCGTTCTCCGCCGTGTTCGCGAGCGTAGGGTCTGTGGGCGAGGAGAGCGAGGAGAGCGAGCGAGGACGACGGGAGGCGGGAAGTTAGGGTTGCGAGGGAAGAATATTCAGAAGATGCAGACGAAGATTCGGGAAGACGTCCGTCCCTCGCGACGCGCGGGCGGCGGAGCGGACGACGCGCGCGGGCGGGGACGCACCGCTCATCGCGGCGGGCGACGATACGCGCGCGCGCGGTGTCTCGCGTGGACGAGCGCGCGTGAGGGTCGCGCTCTGGGTTGTGGGGCGCGAGACGAATGTTCGCGCGTCTGCTGACTGGCTGACGCGGCGAAGATCTTCGAAGGGCAGTGGCATGGCACCGCACCGCATGCCGCACCCTGCCCGCGAGGTGCAAATGCAGCATCAGATCTCATCAGTCCGACCGGCGCCGCGGGGCACCATGCCCGCGGAGGAAGGCCCCGTGAACCTCCTCGGAGGGGGCAAATCGCTCCACGCGACAGAGGGCGCGATCGCGAACGGCGTGCGCGTGCACCGCACGCACGTCATCACGACCGCGGCGACCGAGGACCAAGTCCGACGAACCGTGATCCTCGTGGGCGTCAAGTTTCTCCTGGGGCCGACGTTCGGGGGCGACGATTACCGCGACGCGATCCTCCCTCACGACGTCGCGCGATGGTGCGCGGAGCAGTGCGGCGCGACCGTCCTCAAGGTGCACCTGCGCCCGCCCGTGCAGGCGTGGGTCGAGTTCGACACCGAGGAGGGCGCGGCGAACGCGTTGGCGATGAGCGGCGCGACGTTCCCGTTCAAGAGCCAGCACGCCCCGGGCGGGCGGCTCAAGATCAATCCCGGGACGCACGGCGAGATGATAAAAGGCGCGAGAGACCACCTGAACACGCCGAGCTGGGCGACGCTCATCCCGGAGCGCCTTCGAGGCCGCGAGACGGACGCGGGCGAGAGGAGCGCGGCGTCCGTCGTCGACGCCGCGCGATTCGCGAATCCGTTTTACGACGAAGACGTCGCCGCGTACGAGCGCTATCACCGGCGCCTCGCGGAGGCGTACGTCGCGAACGCGACCGCGGGGAACCGCGCGGAAGAGGCGCGGAAGAAGTTGTTCCGGTGCGCGGCGATGAACGACGTGGACGCGCTCGAGGACGCGATATTCGACGGCGGCGCGGATTGCGACGACGTCAACGGCGTCGACGGCGGGAAAACCGCGTTGCACTACGCCGTCGCGTCGCGCGCGCGCGACGCCGTGGCGTGCCTGCTCGATCACGGCGCGAACCCGTCGATCGTGGACGCCAACGGCGTCGCGCCCGCGGACGCCGCCACCGGCCGCGACGCGATGATCGAGGCCGCGCTGGACGTGGCGACGACCGAACGCCGCGAGATGCGTCGAATCGCGGACGCCGTCGCCGCCGGGCGATTCCACGTCGACGTCGGGGATTTGAACGCGCCGCCGCCTCCGCGCGCGCCGCTTCACGCGGCGATCGCGGAAGGTAAGAACGCGATGGTTCGATTCTTGATGGCGATGGGCGCGAGCGTCGTGAAGGGCGACGGCGACGCGGGGGGTTCGCCGTTGGGCGCCGCGGCCGAGGCGGGGAACCACCGCGCCGCGCGTCTGCTGCTCATGAAAGGCGCGCCGCCGGAGGGCGGCGGCGGCGATCGGAGACCGCCGCTTCTGGAGGCGCTCGGAGGGGTGAGAGCGCACGGGTCGAGAGGCGGGCACGCGAAGATCGCCAAGGCGTTGATCGACGAGTTGAAACGGTTAGGACGGGGCGCGTACGCAGCGGAGATCATCGCGCGGTCGAAAAAATGAGGGACGTCGTCCCGTCGCGCGAGATAGAATTAGGTTAGTCGTAGCCCTCGCGCGCGTAGGTAGCGTGATCACTCTGCGCGTACATGTAGCTAATCTACTCTAGCTAGTATGCTCCTTCTCGTGCTCCTTTTCGTTCCACAGTTGGCGCGGGCTGGGGTTCCGCATCTTTTTCATCGCGGACTCGATCCAGCTCAGGACGGTGATCGACACCGTCCCCGGGCCGCTCGTCGCCCTTTCGCCGCCGCCGCGATCTGGGTCCACCAAGTCCTCCTCCCGCGACCGCGCGTCGACCACAACCTCCGCCGTCGCCGCGATCGCGGCCACCTTCCTCGCGGCCTCGTCCGCGGACCCGCCGACCATGCGTTAGAGTCACCCGCACAAAAAAACAGTCAGACACGCACACGCCCGAGTAGTTTGTCAAGTCATAACGCGAGCGATATAAGACGTGGGGAGCCCGAAGCGGTAGATAAGAGGTGGGGCGGTGTAATTTGAGTGATGCAGACGGAACAGACTGATGATCGAAGTTCTGGGCCCAGCCGATCCCGAGGGCGACGCAGCCGGTGCGACGATCACTTCAAGATGGGGATTTGCAAGGCTGTCATGCGTATCATCGCGACGACCACCTCCGCAGACGTCATCGTGGCCTTTTATTCCTCCACGGAGAAGGGCGTTGCCGAGCGAACCCATCACCTCGACCGTTCAGCGTATTCAAGTGCTACGCGAAGACGTCACCGCGAAGCTATTGAAGCGGGAACAAGTCCGTAACAGTCAACACATGACTTTCCGTTCGCGACGGAAATGCGCCTCTCCGCTGCGACCACGATCGCGCGCACGCATTCCGTCCCCGCCCCCTCGTGCGGCGACGGCGGCGGCGCCCAGGACAGCGGCCGCTTCTCCGTCGCGTCGGACGGGAGTAAACCGAGCGCGTAGCCCTACATGACGTCGGGCACGCCCTTCGCGGTCTCGTCTCCCGCGCCGAATCGCCACTTTGGACGGACTCGGATTTCGACCTGAATTCGTTTCGACAGCGACAGCTGTGCCCGTCAACCCGCGCAGTGCCCGTGCGCGTGCGTTTCGTGAAAATAATCAGTGAGCTGTGGCCATCGCTCCGCGTGACCGCACTCCCCGCCCGCGCGCCAGCAGCTCTCGCGCACGGAAACGCGAGTCGAAGCCGCGAACTTAATCAGCGCAGACAGGTACGCGAGCTCTCGGACGATGTCATAGCGCAATTATACACGGCTTCGCGCACCCCCCCCCCCTCTTCGGAATCGCGAGCTCGTATTTTTTCCGGAACGCTTTTTCTTTCGCGGGCGATTCCGGTCAGCAGCGACGTCGCGCGGCAGTCTCTCGAACGCCCGTGGTGTCCGCGCACAGTCTGAACGACATCTGCGTGATGTCTGCCACGATCGACTGCGGAGAATCGCATTATTTAAACCCCGCGAGCGTTCGTCGTGGGCGAGATCCGTCTAGACGATCTCGCGGTCGGCTCTGACTTTCTTCCGTCGCTCAAGCGCAGACAGAGGACGACCGCGGCGCGGCACACATCTCAGCGACGCTATGGCGATTACCGCGCCGCGCGAACGTTCCTAAGCTTCCAGAAGGTCAAGCTCGCGGAGCGGGTAGACGTCTTCGGCGTGTGCAGTAGCGCGCGCGGCGACGGACCGCGGCGACGAAAGTAGGCACCTGTCGAGACGCACGCACAGCTGTCACCGACGCTCGACGAGCGATGACGCCCGAGCGCGTAGTGACGTGGGGCGTCGTCGCCATGTCCGTCGCCGTGCTCAGGATCGTGACCGAGGCGTTCATGGCGGTGATGTCCGGCTGCGGCGACGTCGAAGGTTCCAGCGTTCACGCGACGCTCGTCGTCTCGCCGCCGATCACCAGCGTGAGCACCGCCGCGCCGCTCAGACCGCCCGCGGACAGTCCGCCCGCGCGACTCGCAGCGGGTATGAGGACGCGAGCCGTGAGGCGTAAGTGGCGCGTGTGCGTGTTCCAGGAGAGGCGGAAGGCGCTGATGATGGCGATGATGATGACGATGATGACGGCTGCGTCCGTCGCGACGCCGACGCCGGATGACGCAGACGCGAAGGCCACGCCGGTAAAGGCGTCCACTGCGACAGACGAGACTGTATTCGTCGCGACGCCGCCGGACGCAGACACGGCGCCGAGCGAGGCGTCGTCGCCGGAGCCCGAGCCGCAGCCCGAGTCGTCCGTCGCGCCTTCGGCCGCGGCGGCTTCGGCCGCGGCGGCGATGACGGCGCCGAGCGAGGCGTCGTCACCGCCGCCGGAGCCGCAGCCCGAGTCGTCCGCGCCGCCCGGGGCAGCGACGCTCGTGCCCGCCTCTAATCTCAACCGCTGCCTTCGCGGCGGCGCCTCGAGTACGGGGGCGAAGACTATCACCTCGTCGCCGAACGCGGATGAAACGTCCACGGGCCCGGCGTTCTTTCCGCGGTCGTTCATGAAGAAGTTCCGGAACAATATCTTGGGTTTTGAGCTACGCTCCGTGGGCGAGCCAATCCAGGCTGCGATCGGTCGCTTCCTCACGGCGAGCGCGATGAAAATACTGAACACCCGCGGCGATGGGAATTGCATGTTTCGCGCGCTGCTCGAGTGCATGACGGGGAACAGCGACAAGCACGTTGAGTTTCGGCTTCAAGTCGTGAATCTAATGCGCAGTGATCCGAATTCGTACCGAGCCGAAGCCGAAGCCGATCAGGTAGATGATGCTCCGCATGACAGACCTTTCGATTTCGATTCTTACTGCGACAATATGAAACGAGTTGGCATCTTCGGCGGGACTCCCGAGCTCCACGCCGCCTCCGTCTTGCTCAAGGTCGACATCATGGTCATCGACGTGCGCTACGGGAGGCTCGTTTTGGATACTGGTGGTGACCAGCCGCAGGAGCGAGGGACCATCGCCGTCGCCTTCGACTCGGACGGGAAGCACTATAACGCCATCGTCCATCTGGAACTCTCCCGCAGAGGTTTCCCCGACGACACCGAGGCGTCGGCTGCGACGTTTTCGGTAAATACGACGAAAGCGTCGTTCGCGGACGCGACACCGACGTCGGGCGTTTCAACCGCCGCTTCCGTGGTGAAGACGCGAGCTCGTGCGCAGATCTCGACGTCCTTCTCCGAGGAGGATGAGGTCACATCGCCCGGTGCGGACCCAAGAGACACCGAGTTCACGCCGCCGCGGAGCAGCAGCGATGCGCCCAACACGCGTGCGAGGGCACGCGCCACTGGGAGATCGCGCGACGCGCCCACGGCAACCTCGCGCGACGCGCGCGCGGCGGCGCGATCCAAACGGAACGCGAAGCACGCCGATGACGACGTGGATCCCGAGTCCGAGTCCACGGCGGCGGCGTCGAAGCACTTCCCGCGCGCGACGAGGCCAAATCTCTCTGCTCACGGCTCCAAGGCGGCGAAGCGCATCAAGACGTCCCCGTCGACGTCCGCGGCGAGGAAGCAGGCCGCGGCGCCGATGCCGTCGCGTAGCCGAGCTCAGCAGGCGACGGCTGCCAAGCCGTCCCGGTACAACCTCCGCCCGCCGAAGAGAACTCCGACGTCGACGTCGGCGACGCCCGCGGCGACGCCCGCGGCGACGCCCGCGGCGACGCCCGCGGCGACGCCGCTGCAGTCCGTCTCCTCGCGCACGCGATCGAGGGGTCGCGACCGAGGCGGAGGCGATGGATTCGATGCGAACCCGCCGCGACTGCAGTCGTCCGCGCTCGTCGCCACATCCGCGGCGCCGACGCCGTCGGCGCCGCGGACAAAGCCAAAGTCCAAGGCGAAGCCCGCCGCGAGGACGAAGTCGAAGTCAAAGCCATACAAAGGAAAGGCAGTGACGCGCGGTGCCCACTCGGTGGTTCAGGACATGCACAGCGTCGAAACTCGTAACAACGAGGCGGGCAAGGTGGCTCGGCAGCAGCGTAAATCCCCCGATGAACGCAGGCGTGACGATGCTGCCGCCGAGGAAGCTCGCGCGGCGAATGCCGCGCGAGATGCCGAGGAGCGGGAGGCGTTCAAGCTGAGATACGAAACCATCGACGAACTGCGCGCGGCGTTCGAAGCGGACCCGCTGTCCGATGACGAGTGCGTCAGAGACATCAAAGCAGAGCACGACGCGATGGTCGCCGCCGCGAAGAAACGCGCGGCTGACGAGGCCAAGGATGAAGCCTCCCGGTCGGTTCCCAAGCCCGCAGAACTGAAGAGACGCAGACTACTCAAGCCCGCGGAGCGCGCCCGCGTCGACAAGATCGACGCGCCGTGGCGCGGCGTCGCGAAGGCGTACCTCGAGCACGACTGGCCGCTGCCGTTCTGGTTCTCCGCCGGCGCGCTCGCGCAGGGTAACGAGACGCTCGAGCTCATCGTCGAACAGTACAAAATCGACACCTTGGACGAGCTCGGGCACTGGTTCGGCGCGATGTGCAGCGCCGCATACTTCGAGGCTAACACTGGCCGCTTTGCGCTTACGACGACAAATCGCGATTACGCCGATCTTCAACGCGCCAACCTCCACAACGTGCAGTGGAAGACCGTACCCAGAACTGGCGCCGAGATGGAGTCCGACTTCATCGAGAAATTCGAAGCCACGTGTTCGAACGGAGCAAAGTCTTGGAAGTACGCCATCACGACCACGCCCGTCGGCGACAAGAAGCTCCAGGAGAAGTTCTACACGAATCGTCGCGGCAAAAAGGTCATCCTCCCGCAGAACCTCGAGGACGACCCGCTGTTCCCGCTCGCGCTTACCGCCACGCCGTCGTGGATGGACGCGATCGTCGCCGGCGACGGGTCGCTGCGTGAAGGAATTTTCTCCCTCGCGTTCTGCGACTTCACGCCCCGCGAGCTGGACTGGTTCATCAACATCCTCGCCCGCCCGAGATGGAGAGACGGCACCGGTGCAGTCGTCCACGGCGCGTTCCCGGTGGAGAGGAAGAAGAAAGGGCGGAAAGGCCAGTACACGCTCGACATGACCGAAAAGTCTCTCGAAGACGCTGGGTACGCGCCGCGCTTCGGCTGCGGGATCCGCACGCACGGCATCCGCGTGAAGGAGTTCATCCACACCGCGGCTCTTCCGGTAACCCGCGCGTACCCGCACAAAGGCGTCTTCTTTCTCGACAACGACCTCTACAGTGCCGCGCTCGCGTGGCGATCCCGCGGCGAGTCGTTCACCCAGATCATCGTCGACGGGGTCATCCGCGGATTCAGCCTCGAGGAGTTGCAAGCCGAACTTCTGCGTGCGACGGGGTTGAACTTCACGGCTGCCGACCTCTTCGGGATCATCACGAAGCCACTGCTCCCCCCGGGCGAAAGTTCGGGAAGAAAGAAAGTGCTCGGAAAGCAATATGGCTTGGGTTTGCCCTTCCCACCGCGGCGGACGTGCGACAAGACCGGGAACGCGGACCGCGTCAAGCACACGATACACGACGTGAACGCGGCGAACGTGATCATCGGCATCGTTCGCAAGGGACACGAACACGCGGTACTGCACGGCGGCTTGGCTTGCGGCGGTGAAGATTCCGTCAAGCATTTCATCAAGATGCGCGGCGCCATGTACGAGGAGTACGGGTACATCTTCGACGCCAAGCAAGGGCTGTGCATCTTCCCCGGGGGCACGATCGACCGGGACACCACCAAGCTGCTCACTCAGGAGGTGTTAGACGCCCAGGAACGGTACCACACAGGCTGCGTCGAGAACGGCAAGTTCACTCCGCCGGAGCTCCTCCCTCACCGCACCGATGCACAGCTCAAAGTGCAATTCGCGCCACTGCTCGAGGAGAAGCTCAGGTTGAGCGCGCTGATCGTGAAGCTCCAGGGTTGGCGCATGGAGTTGAGACGCACAGCCAGCAGCAACCGGGCAAGATCCTACTTCATCTACACCGATCCCGGCACCGGCACTGTCAAGAAGGAGACCCTGGACCTGAACGGGATGGCCATCAAGTGGATCATCGCTAACCAACCGGAGAACGCGCAACAGCTCAAGGATTTGCTCACCAAGTACCAGCCGGAGATCAAGAAGCAGTTTGAGTGGACAGCGACAGCGACAGCGACGGCGACGGCGACAACGACAGTGCCCGCGGGCGGTGCGGAGGGAGATGGAGATGATGCCGAGGGTGCTCGGGATGAAGACGAGATCGCCTTGACGCAGTCAAAGAAGAAACGCAAGACGAAGCGATGAAATAGGCAGAGTAAATCGCGACGATGTCGCGAGATAGCGTCGACAATCTGACGGAACCGGCGGAAACGAACGTGTAGACCATGATATGTAACGAAAACGAACGAAGATACGGGAAAGTGAGGGGATCCCTACCATGCGTAGGTTCCCGCCGTGCCCGACGTTCTATACAAGCGAATGTCGGGGTGGAGTTCAAAGGCGTCAGGTGGAGTTGAAAGGCGCCGAGGGCGGGGATTCAAAGCGAGGGATGAGCGGAGAGATGCGCCGGGAAAAGTCCTTAAGGATCGGCGTTCACCACGCCGACGGGGTCGTATGGGGACCAGTGTATAGAACGCGCCTCTCCCCCCGCGTTGGTCGCCGCGCTCAAGTCAACCTCGCCCGCGTGTTCTTCATTCCCGTCGTACGTCCCGAACACGACGACCCGCGGCGCGAACCCCTCTGGGACCGTCAACGCGACGTCCCCGCCGTCGGTGCGCGCGTGCACGCGATGCAGCCGCTCGTGAAGCTCGAGCTCGCACTTCCCGCCGCCGGTGTCCAGCGTCAAGGTCTCCTCGCCGTTCCCGCCGACGCCGCCTAATTTGACGTCCCCGCCCTCGGTCCGCACGCTCCCGCGCGCGTGCCACTGCGACGCGTTGCCGACGATGAAGTCGCCCCCAGACGTCTCGACGTCGACGTCCTGCGCGAAGAGAGTTTCGAGATTGACGCGTCCCCCCGTCGTGCGCGCTTTTAAACTTCCGACGAATTTTCCGACGACGACGTCGCCGCCGTCCGTCGCGACGCGCCCCTCGCACGTCAGTTTCTGCGCTCTCAGCTCCCCGCCGCCGGTGTCGACGTTCAGCTTCGCGCCGCGGATCTCCCCCAGCCTCACGTGCCCGCCCCCGGAGTCGATGTCCACGGGTTCCGCGGGCTCGACGACGGAGCGCACGAAGACTTCGCCGCCGCCGCTCGCGACGGACACGCCGCAGTACCGCGGCGGGATCTTCGCGTGGACGACGGTGACGTGGCCCTCGCCGCGGATCGTCTCGCCGTCCTTCTCCTTCGCGCGCACGACGACCTCGATCGCCTTCTCGTCCGGGCGCGACACCTCGATCGACGGCGCGGTCGAGCCTTCCGGGCCCAGCCAGCTCGTCGTGATCTCCACGCGCGTCCAGTCGTCGTCCTGTCCCCACGGGTCGACGGCGACGCGGCAAGGGTACGTCTTCGCTCGCGTCGTCGGCGCGCGCACGGACACGGTCGCGCCGGATTGGACGTCCGCGAACGCGTGCGTCCGCGTGATCGCGCCGTCGTACTCCGCGCGTTCGCCCTTCGCCAGCGGCGCCTCGTTTTTCTTCTCACGCGCCGTCGACGGATCGCGGTCGTCGCGCGCCGGCGTGCTCTCGAACCGCTTCTTCGAGGACGCGAAGCGATTCAGGAGCGACGGCGCGACGGATGGGAGCGGAGCTGTCAGCGCGTCGCATCCAGGCGGGGGGGGGATGCGAGGCGCGAGCGTCGCCGCGGCGGTGCGCCGCGCCAAGCGCGCCAGCGCGCCTCTCATCACTGTACTGCGGCCGACTTCGCGAGAAGAGAAGCGTCGTTTCGCGAGATCGTGAGTCAGCATCTCGTCATTCTTTCGTGCGCCGCCCCCGCGCCGCCGACCCCATGGCGCATGCGATGACGTCCTTCGAAACCCCGCCACCCTCCGGCGCGAAATCAACCGCCGCGATCACCTCGCACGACGCGTTCGGAAGCAAAGTTCCCCTCGCGGAGCCGTCGTGGTACCAGCACCTGAACACGCCGTTCTACAACGCGTCGCACGTCGCGTGGCGAAACAAGCTCCGCGACTTCTTCGAGGCGGAGGTCGAGCCGAGTGCGTGCATCACATTTCGCGTTCTTCGCCGTTTCTCTCTCGCGCTTCCACCCCGCGTGATGTCCTGGACGTCTCGAAGTGGGGTCGTCGCGAGCGCGCGCGTCCGAGCGCGCGCGCGCCAGATCGCCCCTCCCGAAACCGCCCCTCGGAATTCGCTAACAACAGCCACGCGAGCACGAGCACGAGATCCCTAATTCCTCTCGTCCCCTCCCTCGACGCCTCTCCCCGTCGCCGACCCCGCCGCTGACCCTCGCGTCGTCCACTTCTCCTCCTCCCCCCAATCCCCGCAGTCGTGGACGACTGGGACAAGCAAGCGGTCACGAACAACCATGTCAAGTGCGGCGAGTACATCAAGACGATGTACTCAAAGTCCGCGAAATACGGCATCCTCCCCGCGTGCGTCGGCAAACCCTGGCCGAAAAAGTACACCTCCGCGCCGGAGCCGGAGGGGTACGATTACTTCCACGAGCTCATCAACGTGGACGAGGGCACGAGGGCGGGGGGCGGGATCGCGTGGGCGATGATGGGCGGCCTCGGGATCGGGATGCCGCCGATTTTGAACTTTGGAATCCCGGGCGACCGCGCGCTTCAGGACCGATGCATCCGAGAGTGCCTCGCCGGCGAGAAGATCATCTGCCTGTGCATCACCGAACCCGGCGCGGGGTCGGACGTGTCTAACTTACAGTGCACCGCGAAAGACGCGGGTGATCATTACGTCGTGGAAGGGAACAAGAAGTGGATCACGAACGGGATCTACGCGGACTACTTTACCGTCGCGGTGAGGACCGGCCCTCCCGGGAGCATGCACAAGGGACTCTCGATGCTTCTCATGGAAAAGTCCATGCCCGGCATCACCGTGTCCAAGATGGACTGCATGGGCGTGTGGCCGTCCGGGACGACGTACATCGAGTTCGACAACGTGAAAGTCCCGAAGACGAACATCGTGGGCAAAGTCAACGAGGGGTTCAAGCAGGTGATGTACAACTTCAATCACGAGCGGTGGCTCCTCGCGGCGCAGGCGGCGCGGATGGCGAGGACGTGCGTCGAGGAGGCGCTGTCGTTCGCGAGGACGCGGCGGACGTTCGGGAAGTTTCTCATCGAGCACCAGGCGATCCAGCACAAGATCGGCGAGATGGCGCGCCAGTGCGAGGGGCTCCAGGCCTGGCTCGAGAACGTCACGTTCCAGATGAACACGATGTCCAAGGAGGAGCAAAACAAAAAGCTCGGCGGACACATCGCGCTGCTCAAGCTGTCGTCGTCGCGCGTCGCGGAGTTTTGCGCGTCCAACGCGATGCAGGTCCTCGGCGGCGCCGGGTACACGCGGACGGGGAAGGGCGTCAAGGTGGAGCGGATCTATCGCGAGGTGAAGGCGTACGCGATCCCGGGAGGGAGCGAGGAGATCATGTTGAACCTCGCCGCCGGGCAGTTTGGGTTCGTGTCGAGGGCGATGCCGGACCCGCGGGATAAAAAGATCAAGGCGTTGATGGAGGAGCTGAAGCGCATCAAGTCCAAGATGTGATCGACGCGAGCGAGGGGGTTTTGCAGCGAGCACGGCACCAAACGGGGTGTACATATTGTTTTGTAATGAACAACGTCGCGACGCGCGCGTGAACGAATGCCCACGTCGCCGCCCAACGCGAATCGTCCCGTCCCGCGGGGTTGCTTAGTTGTACAACTTCGAACAGAATCGTCCGCGTCCTCGCGTGAGAAATACCACTCGACGAAAGCGGGCGAGAGAGTAGGGTTGACGGCATTGACGCGCCGCGCGCCGGCCGTCGGTCGAAGATGAGCGCGGACGCGTGGCGAGCGGGCGCTCCTCGCACGAATGTCATGCAGCAGCTGTGCGTGCGATCTCGCGTCTCGCGTCTTCCCCCGATCCGTCGCGTCGCGTCGACGCGTCTCCGCTCGGGATCTCGCGTCGCCGGCGGGAAAAACACGTCCGCGCGCGTCGCCGTCGATCGCTCCTCCCTGACGCCGCCCGAACCCCACCCGCGCGATTTATTCTCGACAGAACCGCGGTGATGCTGTCGATCAAACCGCCGCCGTACGCGGCGGAGGTGATCGCGGAGGCGAACGGCAGCGCGACGAAGATCGAGTCCGGGATCTTCGCCAAGTCGAAGAGCAACGACGATTACCTGAAACGCGTCACCGCCAAGCTGAACAGCATGAAGGCGCTCGTGCAGAAGCAGAGGCAGGCGGAGAGCAACGACACCGCGCAGCAGAACGAGCAGGCGCAGGGGGCGAACTACGACGCCGCGATGGCGCAGCAGCAGCAGTCGACGGAGACGCGCGACGCGCCGGCGACCGCGGCGCCGGCGACGGCGCCCGCGCCCGCGGCGGCGGCGCCGGCGGCGGTCGCCGCGAGCGCCGCGCAGACGACCGCGGAGAAGGAGCTCTCGCAGCAGATCTTCCAGACGGTCGTGAAGAACCAGCTCGACCGCCCGGAGTTCAAATCCGCCGTCACGAAGATGACCCCGGACGAACGGAAGCACGCGCTCGGGAGGGTCACGCACGCGACGAAGGCGGCGATGGGCGGGTACTACAAACTTCTGAGGGAGAAGAACGCGAAGTTGGGCCCTGGGAAACAGACCGCGGGTCTGAACCCGAAGGCGCTGATCGACCATCTGACCGTGAACGTCGCGTCGATGCTGTCGCGCCCGCCCGCGGCCGCGGGCGTCGGCGCGATCGGACCCGGTCGCGCGTCGGGCGCGAGCGGGATGGAAAAGGCGAAATCCGCGGCGGCGCAACAGGCCGCGTTGGCGCAACAGCGACGCGAGCAGTCCGCGGCGGCGGCGACCGCGGGCGCGGGCCTCGGGACGCCGGCGTACTGGCAGCGCGTGGGCGAGATGCGCGGGGCGTACCTTCCGCGGATAAAGCAGACCGTGGAGTACATGTTGAGGACGGGCGTTTCGCGGGCGCGCGACGCGTCCGCGTCGACGTCTGAACGGCTGCTGCATTTCATGACGTCGTCGCTCATTCCGATGTTAGAGCAGACCGCGGACCGCCCGTGCGCGGCGGCGACGTTCAAAGCGGGCGAGCTGGAGACCTTAGACGCGAAGATACGCCAGCTCATCGCGATCACCGCGGGGTCGCGGCAGAAGGCGGCGCTGGCGCCCGTGGCGCCGCCGCCGCCGCCGACGACGACGACGACGGAAGCCGCGGGCGCGGGCGGGACGAAGCGCGCGCGCGACGGCGACGACGACGACGACGACGACGACGGTCCGAACAAAAAGGCAAAGTCAGGGGACGACGTGTGGGGGAACATCGTCGCGGCTTCGGCGGCGAAGCCATCGCCACCGAAGCGCGAGCCGACGCCGCCGCCGCCCAAGCCGACGGCGTTCGTCCACCTGTTCGCCCCGCTCGACGCGGACGCCCCCGCCTCTCCTCCCCCGACGCCGGCGTGTCTCGCGGCGCTGACGCGCGCGGACCCGCCGAAAGGCGCCGGACCGGGACCGGCGCTGATGTGCGCGTCCGCGGGGAAGACGGCGACGGCGGTCGCGGCGGTGTTCGACTCCGCGGACGACGCGTACGACGGCGACGCGGCTGAGCTGACGCGACGCGCGTTCGAGTCGGAGCTCCTCGCGTTTGGCGGGGGGAAGAAGGGCGGCGCAGACGCGAAGGAGGCGTGGAAGGCGTGGGAAGAAGCCCTCGCGTCGTTCGCGTGAGATGCGAACCGCGCGCTAGATGTTCGTCGTTCGTTCTCTAATAACGCGAATGTAGTCACTAGCTATGATAGACTAACGGACCTCCGCCGCCGCCGCGCGCGTCGCGTCACGGCCGCGCGACGTCGTCAGGCGCGTCGTCCGCGTGCATCCACGCGTGGTCTCGCAACCCCCGCGGCGTCGTCTTCGTGATCTCGTCGATCTTTTTCCCTTTCCTGTAGAAGGTAAACGTCGGCGTGAACCTCACGTCCTTGGCGCTGTCCGGGAGCGTGTCCACGTCCGCGAGGACGAAGTGCGACTCCGGGTACGCCCTCGACGCGGCGCCAAACTCCGGGAGCATCTCCGCGCAGTGCGTGCACCAGCTCGCGCCGAACTTGACGACGACGAGAGAGTCCCGCTTCTCCCACAGGACGCGCTGGAACGCCTCCTCGCCTCGCACCGCGCTGAGGTTGCCGCCGCGCTCGGGGAGGGACTCGAGGCCGGGGACGGATCGGATGGATTCCCCCCCGGGCGGGTCCGACGTCATCGACGCGAGGACCGCCCTCGCGGCGTCCTCGTGCCGCTCTTTCTCGCTCCTCTCGGACGCGGACGTCGACGCGACCTCCGCGGTCGGCGCGGGGGGTCGTCCGAAGAAGAGGCCGCGCATCGTGCCTCCACGGCGCGACGAGATGTGCCGCGCCGAGTCTGACTGGAGGCGATGAGGCCGCAAACCTAAAAAATTTCGTCGTCGTCGTCGTCGTCGTCGTCAGATCGGCACCGCCCGTCCACTCGTTCACTCGCGGGGACGCCGACGCGCGACGATGACGGAAGAAGTCGACTACGCGAAGTGCCTCGAGGTCGCGCTCGACGCCGCGGAGGCCGCGGGCGCGGAAATTCGCGACGCGTGGCACGCGGAGAGGGACGTGGAGTACAAGGGCGCGGTCGACCTCGTGACGGCGACGGATAAAAAGTGCGAGGACATCATCTTCGCGAAGCTCGCCGCGGCGTTCCCTTCGCACGTCCTCGTCGGCGAGGAGTCCGTCGCCGCATCGGACGGGGTCATCCCGCCGATGACGGATAAGCCGACGTGGTACGTCGACCCGCTGGACGGGACGACGAACTTCGTGCACGGGTGGCCGTTCTCGTGCGTGTCCATCGGCCTCACGGTCGGTAAGACGCCCGCGCTCGGGGTCGTCCTCAATCCCATCCTCCGCGAGACGTTCACCGCGATCAAAGGCGAGGGCGCGCGCCTCAACGGGGACCCGATATCGTGCAGCAAAGTGTCGGACATCGGCAGAGCGCTCATCGGCACGGAGATCGGCGTCGGGAGGGACGAGGCGACGGTCTCGGCGATCATGGGCAGAGTGCGACGTTGCGTCGAAGTCAGTCGGAGCGTCCGATGCAGCGGCTCGTGCGCGATGAACATGGTCTCCGTCGCGATGGGTCGCCTGGACGCCTTCTACGAGATCGGGTTCGGCGGTCCGTGGGACTGCGTCGGCGCCGCGGTGATCGTGACCGAGGCGGGCGGCGTCGTGCTCGATCCGAGCGGCGGGGAATTCGTCTGCGACGCGCGGCGGGTGTTGTGCGGAAACGCGTCGATCGGCCCCGCGTTGGTGGACGCGCTGAGGGGGATCGAGGACGGGCCGCTGGAGCCGCGCGCGCCTCGTTAGAGGGGGGGGGCGATAGCGAAGCGTTGAAGCGTTGAACGATCGATTGATGTCGTCGTCGTGCCGTCGCGCGCGAGTCGGCGCGCTCGGGGGTTCGTTCCGTTCGTCGGACTTTGTCGCGCACGCTCCCCGCCGTGACTCTCGCTCTCCCTTCCCCGCTCACGCCATCTTCCCGACGCGTCGCTTCACGACGCTGACGCCGTTGGATATGAACGCCTCGAGCAACCCGCTGCACGTGTACACCCCGCCCATGAGCGCGCACATCCCTAACGTCCAATCGAGCACCGGCTTCGTCTCCTCCCTGAGCACGACCCGCATCGGCGAGACGTCGTATGAAAACTTAATCATCGGCCCGTCCACGTGCGCGTCGTCCTCGTCCCCGTACGCCGCCGGCGCGAGCTTAAACCGGTTCGAGTTGAACGTGTACTCGTACAGCTGCACGGCGTCGCCGTCGATGGGCTCGAACGCGTGCGACACGACCTTGAGGTAGTGCTCGTGCACCGTGTACGGCTCCGCGGACGCGAACGTCTCCTCCGCGCCCGCGACGGCGAACCGACCGCCCATGTCCTTCGGGATTTTGCTCCACACCCGACGCATGTGCCGCGGAACGTACGACGGCCGTCCCGGGACGGTCTTCCCGAACGACAGGTGCCTCAGCACGTGCGTCATGTTCACCACGTCGACGTTGATGTTGTGCCCCTTGCTGTGCGCGGTGACGTAGAAGGCGCCGGGGACGCGGTTCACGCGGACGCTGCCCTCGATGATGCAGCCGCTCGTGCGAATCTGATGACAGGGCGAGTCCATGCGAAGATAGTTCGTTCATCGGTCAGTCGATGAAAGGGGACGCGATCGAACGTTGAAACCGAGCGACGGGTGAAAAACAAAAACGGGCGCACGGCGCGCGCCTGCCCGCCCAGCGCGCGTTGCGCGGCGGCGACGGTGCGCGTCTCGCTCGCGCGCCGCCGCGCCGCCGCCGCGTCGAGCGCTCCCTCTCCCTCGTCGTCGTCCTTCGTCGCGAGCACTTCGACCAGCACCTTCCGCACGAAACTCGCGATGTCATCCGCGTCCCTGCGGCCGTGGTACACCTCGAACTGCAGCGGCTTCGGGACGTCCAGAACGGTCGAGAGGTCGCTCTCGGCGGCGTCCGCGGCGGCGGCGGCGGCGCCGCCGCTCGGCGCGAGCGTCCCGCCCTGCACCGTCCCCGACGTCGGGTGCAGCGACCCGGCTCGGTACACGCGCATCGTCGGGAACGCTTGGATATGTTGGTCTCTGCAGAGATCTTTGTTCCCATCCAGCGTGCAGTCCACGGTCGCGAGCGCCGCGGCGAGCCTCGGGCGGCCGGCGGCGCGTAAGTCGTCTCGAACGAGCTCCGCCGCGTGTTCGAATATCGGCGCGGTTTTTTGGCAGTGCGCGCACCAGGGCGCGTGGAAGTTGACGAGGAGGACCTGGTGCGCGCGGACCATGCGTTCGAACGTCGCGCCGGTGACCTCGTACGCGATGCGCGCGTTCCCGTAGTGGTCGATGTCCGTCGACTCTCCGTACTCGGGTTCCGCCTGAAGAAGAGTTTTTTGGTTTTCGATGTCGATGACAGGATGAGCTGCGCGGCTCGGAGAAAAAAAACGAAGAAGGAGAGCGTGGCGAAGACGCGCCTGCGACGCGCTTCCGCCGCTCGCGCCGTGCTCCACGCCGAGGTACTTCGTCGCCCCCGCGCTGTGCTTGTAGATCCCCTCGCCGGAGATGTTGAAGTGCCTCGTCCCGAGCGCGTCGATGACGTGTATCGTCGCCCACTCGCACGACAGCGCCGGGAGCTCGAGCTTGAGGTTCACCTGGAACGTGTCGTCGTCGCTGTGGTCCACGAGAACGTCCGTGACCGTGGTGACGCCCCAGAGCTCTCGGAGCTGCGCGGCGAAGAGGAGGACGAAGACGCACAGGAAGACGACGCTCAGGACGCCGCCGAGGACGGACCCTTCCGCGAGCTCCCGCGGGAGTTTCGCGTACATGTCCGCGCGCTTGAAGACGCCGCCGACGCCGTCGGGGCGCGCGCCGACGACGAACCCGGCGCCGCTGCTCGTGCGTCGCGCGACCATCGCGCGCGGCGGGGGGCGCGGGGGGATCGCGCGGCGCGGCTGGGGGGGAAGGGGAAGGACGACGCGGAGGCGACGATGCGGGGCGGGGCGGGGGCGGGCGCGCGACGACGGCGCGGGCGCGCGCGGGGAGTGGCGGCGGCGGCGGAAACGTCTGGTCGTCGTTCGCACGCGCCGTCGACGACCCGAGCGAGTGCTTTCGTCGCGCCGAGGCGGCGACGGAGGAAGGACGCGGGCGGCGAGGGCGCTCGACGCGTCGCGCGCTCGCATGATGACCATAGGATACTGCACATCGCGCGCTCTATCGCTTCTTCCCCGGCGCCGCGCTCTCCGCCAAGAGCACCTCGAGCGGCGTCCGCGGCGCGCGGCGCCAGCGCGTCGACGCGCGCGCGCGCACGAGCTGTTTTCTCCGCGCCCTCGACTCCGCCTCCGCGCGCGCCTTCGCGCGGTCCAGCGCCGCGCGCTCGCGCCTGATCGCGCGCAGCTCCACCGCGGCAGCCTCGCGCGCGTGCTCCGCGGCGTGGAGCGCGCGCGTCGCGTCGTCCGCGTCGGCGAGGACGGCGAGCGTCGTCGCGCGCGCGCTCTCCACCGCCTCCTCGCACGTCCTCCGCAGCCGCGGGTCTCGTATGCGCGCGGCGTCCGTCATGAGCTTCTCGTAGAGGCGCGTCGCTTCGTCCCTCGAGCGCGTCTCGGCGAAGCTCGGCATCGCGTCCGGGGGCGGGGCGGCGCGGTCGCGATCGGAGCGCGGCGTCGCGCGTCGCGTCGCGTCGTGTGCGTCGCGGGGGGCGGGGCGGAACCGAGGCGCGGTGCCTCCGTTCTCGGAGTTGACGAGATCGGGGAGAGGGAGAGGCCCGGGAGAGCCACGACGTTTTCGTCGTGGCGGCGCACTTCGCGACGCGCCTCCGCACGATGGGTGGATCGTTCGCGAAACCCGTATTCGGGCCGTTTCCTACCCAGGAGTCGATTTGGCGCGCCGCGGAGAATGGGGACCCGAACGCTTTTCTGGCCGTCGCTACTTTAAGCGCGACGAGCTGCACGAGTCTCCCGCAAGACTCAGGTCTCCCGCAAGACCTCGACCTCTCGCTGAAGTACCGAAAAATATTCGCTGATACTGCACCACTCGACACCTTGGCGAGGGCCGCCTACAATCTGTTCCGACAACTGCACCATGAAAATGTGTTTAAGTCATTCCCGCAAGATGATCGCGCGCACTTAAACGGGCTCGCGATGTACCTGCTCGAACGCGCAGCGGAGCGCGGTGACGGCCAGTCGTACCAAATACTCGGCCACGCCCACTGCAACGGAATCGGAGTTCCGAGTATCCCGAAGAATATGAAGAAGGCGTTCGCGCTTTATCGCGCATCGGCCGAGAGAGATAATCCACTTGGACAGTACGAGCTCAGCATGGCTTATTATCAAGGCCAGGGTGTCGAAAGGGATTGGGTGAAGGGTGCGTATTGGCTCGAAAAAGCCGTCTCGCACGGTAGCGACGATCCAATGCACGCCTTCATCATCCAGTACAAGCAACATTACACGAAGGAAAGACGGATCCTGATCGAGAAAGTCAACGGACTCTCCGGCGTGCGCATCAGCGACGATGCCGCGGAAGCCTTCGTCGACGGACCGTGGCGCGATGACTTCGTCGCTAAAACAACGTACGATCTCCTCGCCTTATGCTTCATCCACGGGACGTGCGGGATGGAAAAGAACATGCGGTTGGCGAAGGATTTGCTTGTCATCTCGGCCGCGTACTTCCCCGAGCCCTCCTCGAAGGCGCTCCTGAAGCAGCTCCGCCGCTGTCACGGGTGCGGTAAGTACGCGTACTGGACGTGCAAGCTGTGCCGCGGCGTGCGTTATTGCTCGCTGAGGTGTCAAAAGTGGCACTGGAAGCACGGCGACGGCGAGCCGCACAAAGTTACCTGCCCGCGCGTGGTCACTACGTTACAGGAAGACGACCGGTGGTGGCGTTTACACGTCGCGTACAATACGAACTCGCAGGTGGAAATCACCGGACTCGTTTCTCGTCCGGATCTGAACGGACAAGCCGCTCGCGTGGAGAAGTACGTGATCGAGAGAGACCGGTACCACGTGAAAACGGAAGCGAGCGGCGAGGAGGTGAACGTGAAACCGTGCAACTTGATCTTGATCAAAAGAGTTGAGTTCGACAAACCGACTTACCCGGATGACGAGGCGTCAATTCATGGAGGTGTCCGAAAACGTTGGTATCAGCCTGAATGACTTGAATGACATGAACGACATGAACGACATGAACGACGTCAGCGGTCACCATCACTTTACGATTGCAATAACACATCTCTACGACTACGACGACCCCCCACTCTCCTCGTCCGCCTCCGCCTGCAGCTTCGGGCGCTCGCACCGCTCCCACACGTGCTCCGCGTCCTCCCTCGACATCGGCGCGACGCGTCGCGTGACGGTCGCCCCCCCCTCCCCCCCCGCGCCGACGTAAAACTTGAACAAAAACGTGTTCGAAACCTCGCTCGCGGCGCGCTCCGGCTTGGTCACGAACGCCTCCACCTCCACGTCCACGCAGCTGCGCTTGTGTTCGTCCTCGTCGCTGACGCTCGCGTGTAACACCCGCGACTTCAACCGCAGAAGATCCCCGACGTCCACGGGACGCAGAAAGTCCATGTCGCTGACTTGCTTAAACACCGGTCGGTCCCCGCCGAACACGTACGTCGTCGCGAACGCGAGCTCGAACGCCCGCCGCAACAAAAACCCGCCGAATATCCGCCCCGAGAGGTTCCTCTGCTGCGGCTGCGCGACGAATATGTTCTCCGTCCGCGTCGCGGACGACGGCACGACGTCCCTGGGCGCGAGCGCGGGGAGCTCCGCGAGCGTCCGCGCGTCCGCCGCGAGCGCGTCCGCGAACGCCTTCTTCGCCGCGCGCGTTTCGTCGGATAAACCGGCGTCCGCGTGTTTACCCGCCGCGATCGCGTCGCGCGTCGCGCGCATCCGCCGCTTCTTCGCGTCCACGCGCGCCGCGGTCGCGTCGAACAGCGCTCGAGTGCGCGCGCAGTCCGGCACGAGCGGGTTCACCGCCGCGGATTTATTCGTCACCGGGTCCCTCGCGACGAACGTGAAATCCGCGCTCAGCGACGGACCCGGCGCGAAAGCCGTCGTCCTCGTCTTCTCTCCGCCGGTTCGATCCCCGCCGCCGTCGCCATCGTCGTCGATGTACTCCCTCGGCGCGTCCGGGTGGTCCGCGGGCCACGCTTCCATGCGAATCACCATCGACGAGCGTCCGACCCAGCTCACCGCGCCCGTGAGCGTGAGGTCTTCGTCCAGGCGCAACGCGCGGTGTAAGCGCACGCGGTCCACGGACGCGGTCACGAGCAGCTGCGGCCTGGTCTCGACGACGCCGTCGTCGCAGTGCTGGAACGCGATGTTCCCGGCGAGGGAGTCCAGGTCTTCCAGGACGCGTCCGATTCGCACGGCGTTCCACGGCGATCGATACGCCTCGAGGAGCGCGTCGTCGGACGTGAAGCGATACCGCACGGACGTCGCGACCGGGGGCTTGGACACGAGCGCGGCCTGGTTCGACGTCTCCGTCGCCGCGTTCGAGTCCACGCCCGCGGCTTTCGCGGCCGCGAGTCGCGCGTTCCAGAGCTTCGTCGTCATCGCGGTGCGCTCGCGGGAGACGCCCGCGGACATCCACCGCGGTGACGACGACGACGACGACCATCGCCACGGCGTCGTCTCCCGAGGCGGTGCCGAGGCGTCGACCGACGCCGCGGTCGGCGCGGACGCGCCGGACGCCGCGACGAACGCGCCGCGGACGTCGACGCGCCGCGCGCGAGCGCGCGCGAGCGCGCGCATCGCGCGCATCGACGCGTGCGACGCGCGACGCGGGTGTGGACGGCCGCCTCATCGGCAGCCGTCGAGATCTGCCGCTGCCGGGTTACTGCTTTTTTATTGGCCAGAGTGACGTCGCAGATTCCGTCACAACGAGCGCGCCGGGGAGCGGCGCTCGGCGCGATCGAAGTCCGCGGTCGCCCGCGCTCGCGCGCGACCTCGCGGTAATGACCCCCCCGGGAACGCCGCCCGCGGCGGGCGGCGCCGGGGACCCTCCCCCGGTCACGATTCGCGTCACGGTGAAGAGCCCGTTCAACACGTCGGTCGTGGACTTCGCGACCGAATTCCCCGCCGCGACCGCGACGGTGGGGGACCTGAAGCGACAGATAGAGGAGCAACACGAGGGGAACCCGCCCGCGGCGACGCAGAGGATAATCCACGCCGGCGCGCTGCTGCGCGACGACGCCGCGCTCCTGAAAGACGTCCTGAAGTCCGCGGATCTGAGCGTCCCGCAGGTTTTCCACATGGTGGGCGCGTCCCCGACGACGACGCCGGCGCGGTCGCGATCCGAGGGGGTTCGAAGATCGCCGGAGGAGCGCATGCGGCCGCCGCCGGGTGACGCGGCGACGCCGCCTTCGCCGCCGCCGCCGCCTCTCGCGGGCGCGCAGCCGAGGGGACGATTCCATCAGGGCGCCGCGACGCCGACGCCGACGCCGCCGCCGCCGCCGTCGAGCGGCCAGGTGCGTTCTATACACTGGTCCCCATACGACCCCGTTGGCGTGGTGAACGCCATTCCTTAAGGACTTTGCCCGGCGATTCTCTCCGCCCACCCCACGCTTTCAATCCCCGCCATCGACGCCTTTCAACGCCAACTGACGCCTTTCAACTCCACCCCGACATTCGCTTGTATAGAACGGCCCTCAGCGGACGCCGGATCCCAATCCCATGGCGTACGCGCCGACGACGCCGCCGAGCGCCGGGTACGCCCCGCCGACGCCGCCGAGCCCCTGGTACGGGTACGGGTACCTCGGCATCGGCGCGCAGTCGCCGCAGATACAGGCGGTGTACGAAGCCGCGTACGGAGCGGCATTCGCCGCGTTGTCGCCGACGACGTCGCCCGCGGGCGGGTTCGCGCCCCCGACCGCCGTCGCGGTGCCGTACCCGGTGCCCGTGCCGACGCAGTGGTAGGGATCCCCTCACTTTCCCGTATCTTCGTTCGTTTTCGTTACATATCATGGTCTACACGTTCGTTTCCGCCGGTTCCGTCAGATTGTCGACGCTATCTCGCGACATCGTCGCGATTTACTCTGCCTATTTCATCGCTTCGTCTTGCGTTTCTTCTTTGACTGCGTCAAGGCGATCTCGTCTTCATCCCGAGCACCCTCGGCATCATCTCCATCTCCCTCCGCACCGCCCGCGGGCACTGGCACTGTCGCTGTCGCCGTCACCGTCGCTGTCGCTGACGCCGTCACCGTCGCTGTCGCTGTCCTCTTAAACTGCTCCGCGATCTCCGGCTGTTACGGACTTGTTCCTGCTTCAATAGCTTCGCGGTGACGTCTTCGCGTAGCACTTAAAGACGGTGAACGGTCGAGGTGATGGGTTTGCTCGGCAACGCCCTTCTCCGTGGAGGAATAAAAGGCCACGATGACGTCTGCGGAGGTGATCGTCGCGATGATACGCATGACAGCCTTGCAAATTCTCCCACCTTGACATGAATCGTCGCACCGGCTGCGTCGCCCTCGGGATCGGCTGGACCCAGAACTTCGATCATCAGTCTGTTCCGTCTGCATCACTCAAATTACACCGTCCCGCCCCTTATCTACCGCGTCGGGCTCCCCACGTCTTATATCGCTCGCGTTATGACTTGACAAACTACTCGGGCGTGTGCGTGTCTGATTGTTTTTTTGTGCGGGTGACTCTAACAAGTGGGGGGCCCCGGGCGGCGCGTGGGGGCATCACGCGATGGTGGGGGGATGGGGAGGCGCGCAGCATCAGCATCAGCATCAGCATCAGCATCAGTTTTTGCCGCCGCCGGGGACGCCGGGCGGCGCCGCGGAGCCGCCGGCGCCGCGGCGGGAAGAGCGACGAGACGGCGGCGGCGGCGGCGGCGGAGCGGAGAACCCGTGGGTCGTCCCCGGCGTCGGCCCGGAGGCGATGCGCGCGATCGAGCGCGCCGCGGCCGCTGTCGCGAGGGGCGACCCGGTCGCGGCGGCGAGGGAGGCTGCCGCGGCCGCGGTCGGGGGACGCCCCGTGCACGTGATGCAGTTTCACGTCGACCTGAGGCTGCTCTTCAAGCTCTTCTCGATGGTGTTCATCCTCTCGCAGGGCGCCAGCCGAGGGCGGACGGCGTTGTACGCGGGCGTCGCGGTCGCGTGGTACATCGCGCAGATGGGCGCGTTGCGGGCGATCGCGCGGTGGCTCGGCGCGGAGGACGGCGACGACGACGGCGGCGGGCGCGGCGGGCGCGGACGGAACGGCGGCGGCGGCGGCGCGAGGGGGGCGGCGGCGGATCGTCGCGGCGGCGCGCGCCCGCGACCGCCGCGACCGGGCCCGAGGACGACTGCCGTCTTACCCGGGATGCGCGACGGGATGCCGCGCGGGTGGATGGGCGAGGTGAAGGTGTTCATCGGCGGGTTCCTCGCGTCGTTGTTGCCGTCGTGGAACCCTCCGGAGCTGCACAGGCACCCGCGCGCGGACGCGGCGACGGCGGCGGCGGCGCCGCGGGGGCCCGTCGCCGTCGCGGACCACCGCGCGCACGCCGACTGACGCGGTCAAAGATCGTCACAGCTTGCGCGCGCGAACGAACGAACGAACGCGAGCGTAGGATACTGTACTGTAGGGTCTAAGACTTGAATTTACAAGCGACGTTTACCCTCTGAAGAATGAATGCGATCCAATCCAAGCCGTCCGCCTTCACCGATACGGCGATCCGCCCGCGCTCTTCCCGCCGTCGACGACCACCGCGAAGTGCCCGCCGTTTTGCCCCCCAACCCCGGCGCCGCCGCCGTCTTGGTTCCTCCGCTCCAGGCTCCCCGCGCTCGGACCGACGGCGTCGTTATCGTGCCTCACCACCTTCGGCGATAGCGTCAGTTGCGACTCGTTCCGCGTGATGAACGAATCAGAGACGTGGTTCATCTGTCCCAGCTTCGTGACCCCCCTCCTGACGTTGTTCCGCCGTCTCTCGTCCACGTACCTCTCGTACGCGTACCAACAAATCCCTAAACTGTTCAGCAACAACCCGGAGATGTTCACAACCCCGGTCTTCACCTTGAACGCGAACAACCCGCCGACGCCCTGCACGACGCTCTTCGTGCGTCCCACCACGGACGTCGTCAGCGCGTCGTTTATCTGCGTGCACACGTACGTCGCGTAGTTCAAGATGAACGCGCTGCCGCACGACGTGGCGAAGGCGAGCAAAAACGCCTTTTCGCCCATGTGCGGGTACGCCGTCACCCCGGTGAACTCCCCGGTGACCACCATCAGCGCCAGCGAGAGTGGCGTCGACCACAGCGAGTTGTACAGCAGAAGCGTGAACGAGTCCAGCTGTAATTCGTCCCCGATCTTGCCGACGAGGACGACGTAGCACGCGGTGCACATCGCCGAGGCGAGCGCGAGCGCGTAGCCGAGCGGATCGAAGGTGAAGTCCCCGCACCCGGCGACGAAGCCGCCCATCGTCGTGAGCCACACCGCCATCTGGACGCGCGACGCGGGGACGCGCGAGCGCAGCGCGTAGTCCAGGAGCATCACGAACGGCGTCGTGGACGACTTCAACACGCCGTACATGGGTATGTTCACGAGCACGAGCGCGGACATGTCCAGGACGAGTTTCAGCTGAAACACCGCGGCGACCGGGAAGACCCTTCGGAAGTGCGCGTAGTTGAACTTGCCGATGCGGATGACGTTGATCTTCGTCAGCGTCGCGATCGCGCACACCGTGAAGATCGTCTGCCCCGCGACGAGCGACGCCGGGTACCTGTACTTCCAGACCTCGAAGATCGCTTTGTTTAAGAAGACGCTCGCGACGCTCATGAAGCCGTAGAAGAGCGCGGCTGTTATCCCCGCGCTCTTCGCCTCGAGGGCGCCCCACGTCTTAGGGTTCGTCTTCGTGTTCCCGTGCAGATCGCCGCTGCTGCCGCCGCGTTTGTTCAGCACCGGGGCGACGCGCGGAAGAGGCGGCATCGTCGCGAGAGGCGGCCGCCGGTCGGATCGCTCTCGGGTTTATTACGATCGAGTGCCTTTCCTCGCGCCGACAACTCTCTTTATCCGCGCGGCGAGCGGCGCGACGTCGCCCTCGAGCTGCCGCGCGACGGTCGCGAGTGAAGGAGCGCGTCGGGGAAGGGACGATCGCCGAGCGCCGAGCGCCTCGCGTCCCTGCTCTCGCGTCGCGAGCGCCCGCGACTGCGAGCCGGGTCGAACGCGAGTTCGACTTTGACTGCCAGGCCGCGCTTCATCGCGCTGCTGTGCAGATTCCGACCGACCGCGCCTTCTCAGCCAACAGCCAGCGACAGCCGCGCTTTCGTCGCACTGATGAGATCTTGAGACCCAAAAAGGCGTTTCGTGGTGACGTCCGCTCCACTTCGCGCGCGCTTCCGAGGCGTCGCGAAGTCGAACGTCACCGCGGCGATGGCGCATAAAGGTAGGGACGTTCGACTGCATTCATCGCGCGTCGCGGTAGCGCGCTCGCGCGCGTCCCGCTCGACGCGCGGCTCGACTCGTCCCTGCCGAGATTTATTTCCCTCTCCGACTCGATCTGGCTCGTCTCTCATCGTCTCGACACGCTCGTCGTCGTCCCTTCACTCGGTGTCCGAGCGCGATATCGCCGCGCTCGAACGACGCCGCGCCGCGCGCGCGGCGAAACTCGACGCCGTCGGCGTCTTCGACGCGGAGACGAACGCGACGCGCGCGTTCGCGACGTATCGCGTCGAGCTCGCGAGACGTGCTCGGGACGTCAAACGTCGCGGCCGCTTTCGTCGAGCGACGCGAGCGACGATCTCGCCCGCGCGCGACGGCGCGATCGCGAGCGACGGCGGCGGAGGCGTCGACGACAACGCGGAGGTCACCGTGGAGGAGAGACTCGCGCGCGCGCTCTCGAGCGACGCCGCGGCGGGAAGGACCGCGATGGACGAAAACGACGACGCCGGCGGCGGCGACGGCGACGGCGACGGCGACGACGACGACGCGGCGGCGGCGGCGGCGGCGGCGGCGGCGGAGAGGGAAGCGACGAGGATCCTCGCGCTGAACGCGCCCTCGGAAGTCGTGGCGGCGCGGCGCGAGCGTAACATCGCCGCGGTCGCGGACGCGGTGGAGCGGTACCGATCGAGACGACCGCCGCCGCCGCCGTCGTCGTCGGCGGCGGCGGCGTCGTCGGCGGCGGCGGCGGCGGCGGTTTCCGACGCGGACGACGACTCCGCGCGCGCGCCTCGCGACGACGCCGAGAGCGACTCGCTCCTCGCTCCAGAACCCTCGTCCTCCTCGACAGCTCGCGCGTCGGACCCGCGTCGCGTCGCGGCGAGACCGTCGACCGCGTCGACGCGCGGCGAGGGGCGAACGCTCGAGCCTGCCGTCGCGGCGGCGGTCGTCGACGCCGGCGAGCCCGCCGCCGACGAGGACGTCTCCGACTCCGAGGAGGAGGAGGACGAGGAGGAGGACGAGGAGGAGGACGAGGAGGACGACAGCGAGGACGAAAGCGAGGACGACAGCGAGGATGAGGACGCGACGTGTCGCCTGCCGCCGCTGCGCGCCTCGGAAGACGCGGCCGACTCGATGCGACTGCGGCTCGAGCGCGCGTGGCGCGCGTTGAAAACGCCGCCGTCGGACGCGCTCGATTTCGCGCTCAAGTACGCCTCCGCGGCGCGCGCGAAGCGATTCGCGGACGCGCTGACGGCGTGGGAGCGCGGCGCCGGGGCGATCGTCGCGCTCGAGGCGTCGATGGCGGCCGTCGCGGAGGCGCTGGAGGAGGAGGGAGGGGAGGAGCGAGGAGAGAAAGTGGAGCGGGCGATCGCGGCGGCGGATCGCGCGCGGCGCCGCGTCGCCGCCGCCGCTCGGAGGATGAAGGTCGACTTCGACGACGTCCTCGCGGTCGAGGGCGAGCCGTGCGAGGCGCGCTATTCGCTCTCTGTTCATCTAGCTAGTTAGTTGACTGACTACTCGCGCATCCGCCGCGGCGTCTTCGCGTCGGTCGTCGATCGGTCCCCCCATCGCGCGGAGCAGCGTCGTCGCGACGTCCGACAGCTCTTTCGAATCCGAAGTCCCCGCCGCGACCGCGAGCGCGCCTCTCAGCGTCGCCAGCGACTCCCCCAACGCCCTGAGCGCGTCCTCGTCGCTCGCGAGAAGCGCCGTCGCGAGTTTCGCGGCCGCCAGTCGCGAACGCGGGCCGTGCTCGCCGCCGTCGCCGCTCGATAAAGCGCGCGACGCCGCGACGGCGACCGTCTTCGCGTGCTCCGCCACCGCGTCTCGCGCCGCCGCCGTCGCCGCCGCCGTCGTCGTCGTCGCCGTCGCCGCGCTCGCGACGATCACCATCGCCGCCTGGAACGCGGCCGCGCGGCACGCGTCGACCTCCTCGGCGTCGTCGACGTTATCGCCGCCGCCCACCGCGGCGGACGCTAACGACGGCAACGTCAAACGCACGAACGCCGCCGCCGCGTCGGGATCCGACGGCGGCGCGCGCGCGACGACGACGAGAACGTTCGCGAGCGCGAGTCGCGCGCGCGCCGCTCTCGCGCTCGCGCTCGACGCCACCCACGCCGGGGCGTCCGCGTCGCGTCGCATCACGGCCAACACGCCGCGCAACGTCTCGCTCCCTCGCTCGCGCCCGCGCGTCTTCGCGGCGAGCTCCGCGCGCGTCAACGCCGCGAGGGTCTCCGCCGCGCCCGTCCGCGTCTTCGCGCTCTCGTCGTCGTCGCCGAGTCGCCGCGTCGCCGCCGCCGCCGCGGCGCGGAGATCGTCCACGCCGCCGTCCTGGATCGCGCCGAGCCCTCGCGCGGACAACGCGGCGCACGACGCGAACATGCACGCGCGCGCGCGCGCTAACGCGGCGTCGCGGTCGGCGGCGGACGCGGACGCGGACGCGGACTGGGAATCGGCGTCGGCGTCGGCGTCGGCGTCGGCGTCGCGCAGCGCCTCGCGCAACGCGTCGGATCGCGCGACGGACGCGACCCTCGGCGCGGCGCGGCCGTGGAGCTCCGCGGCGACGCGACGCACGTCGTCGTGCTCGACGCCGGTCGCGAGCGCGATCTTCAGGAGCGCGTCCGCGAGCGCGCGCGCGTCGCCGTCGCCGTCGTCGTCGCCGTCGCCGCGCGCGCGGTCGTCGTCGTCCCACGCGCGCGGCGACGGCGCTCGCAGCAACAGGAGCGGCGCGAGGCGTTCGAACACCGACGCCGGCGCCGACGCGCCGCTCGCGTCGACGCGACGCGATTCGTCGTGCGCTCGCATCGCCCCTCTCGCGGCGACGAAGAACGCGCGGCACGCGGGAGGCTCGCCCGTCCACGGCGACAGCGCGGACGTCGCGCGCACGAAAGCCGCCGCGCCGGGCCGCGCGAGCGACGTCGCCGCGAGGACGTCGGCGACGGCGCGCCACGCGTCGGTCGGCACCGTGACCGCCCACCGCGGAAGCAGGGCGATCGCGCGCGCCTCGATCGCGGCCGCCGGCCCGTCGTCGTCGTCGTCTTCTGTCTCCTCCTCGTCGCGCGGAGGGGCGATCGCGCGGAGGAGGGATTCCAGCGCGCGCGCGGGTCCCGCGGATCCGCCGCTCGCGCGCGCGCTCGACGACATCGCGACCGCCGCGGCGTCCTCCGCGTCCGCGCGAAGAAGCGGCGGCAACGACGCGCTCAGCGGGATCGCCGCGAGCGCGTCCGCCGCGAGCGCGCGAGCGCACGCGTCCGCGTCCCCGACCGCCGCGGCCAGCGCGCTGACGATCGCCTCGGTCTCCGCCGGTCGCGCGGCGGGCGGGGTCGCGAGCCGGAGCGTCTCCGCGAGGACGCGAAGCGCGTTGCGACGCGTCCCGAGCGCCGCCGTCGCGCCGCACGCGGCGAGCACCGTCCCCATCCCGCGCCGCACGCCGACGCCGCCGCCGGGTTCGCTCGCGACGAGCCACGCCGTCGTCGACGCGAGCCCCGCGCCCACGCTCGGCTCCATCGTCGCGGCGACGTCGGAGTCGTCGTCCATCAGAGGCAACAGCCCGTCGAGCAGCGCGGCTTTTTCCGCGGCGCCGTCGGCGGACAACGCCGCGCGAAGCGACGCCGCGGCGAGCTCCTGCGCGGGCTCGGAGCGCATCTTCAGCGCGGGGAGCAGCGCCGCGGACGCGCGGTCGCGCAGGACCGCCGCCGCGTCCTTCGCGGCGTCGCTCGACGGTCGTCCGTCTTCATCAGTCTCCGCGGCTAGGCCCAACCGCCCGAGGAGCAACGCGAGCGACGCGAACGCGCGCACGACGGCGTCCGTCGTCGCGGCGTCGGCGGCGCCCCCCGCGGTCGCGGCGGTCGCGGCGGCGGTCGCGGCGGCGGCTGCGTCGAGCCACCGCGCGACGCTCGCCGCGGGGTCGGCGTCGGCGGCGTCGTCGCCGGCGATGACGCCGAGGCCGCCGCCGATCGCGAGCGCGGGCGCGAAGTCCTTCCACGCGGCGGCCAAGTACGTCGCCCTGTCCTCTCGCGTCCCGTCGTCGTCGCTCGTCGCCGACAGCGACTCCAGACGTTTGATGATCTCCCTCGTCGCGAGGCGCGGCGCGCGGTGCGACGCCGGCCACCACTCCCTGACCGTTCGCGTCACGAGCAGCAGACGCGGCAGCGCGGCCGTCAGGCGCTCCGCCGAGGACGGCCCGTCGCCGCCGCCGCCGCCGCCGCCGCAAACGCGAGCGCGTTCTCCCTTCTCTCCTCCCTTTTCCTCCTCGCGCGCCGCCGCGACCGCGAGTCGCGCGGTGATGGCGAAGAACGCGTCCGCGGCCTCGGCCTCGAGCCGGGTGGGCGGCCCTTCGCTCGGCGCGCCGCGCGCGCACGCCGTCGCCGCGAGCGCGACGTCGCAGCGCGCGTCGAACGCGGCGCCGACGTCGTCGAGGTCGATCGCCGCGCGGCGCAGCGCGAGGCACGCCGCGAGCCGCGCGCGCTTGTCCGAACGATCGCCCGGCGCGCATCGCGCGGCGAGCACGCCGGCGACGCGTCGCGCGCGAACGCGCGCGTCGCCGACGCGCTCGGGCGACGGCGAGAGCGCCCACGCGATCACGCGCAGCGCCGCGCGCTTCTTCGCGCTCGCGTCGGACGGATCGCCGCCGTCGCCGTCGCCGCAGGCGGACGCCGGGCGCACGACGCGCTCCAGCAGCGGGTCGATCACCGGGTCGTGCGCGTCGGCGTCCGACGACGACGACGCGGACGAGGAGAGATGCGACGCGATGGCGTCGAGGGACGTCGCGAGCGATCGCGCGCGCGTCGCGCGCTTCGAGGACGGATCGTGGTCGTCCGCGCGCGCGGGGTCGCCGCGCGACGCGAGCGCGCGCCTGAGCGCCTTCGGTTCGGCATCCAGGACGTCGCGCAGCGCGGGGCCGAGGAGCGGCTCGATCGCGCGAGCCGGCGCCGCGACCTCGATGTCCATCGAGGCCGTGGCGAGCCCGCGCGCGACGCGCGCGCGAGTGGGCACTTGAGATCTCGTCGTCGCTGACTCGACATTCCGTTTGCCCTAACCCTCGAGAAGCCACCCGCTCCCGCACAACCGCCCGGGCACAACCGAGGTCATGGCGCGCGTCGTCGGCCTCGCGCCCTCGCGGCCGCCGCCGCGCGCGGCGCCCTCGCGCGGCGTCAGCGGACGACGCGGTCCTCCTCGCGTCGTCCGCGCGCGCGTCGCCGCGACGTTGGACGCCTCGACGAATCGGACGACGATCGCTTCATCGTTCCGTCCGCGCCTCGGCGCGCTCGCGCCGCCCGCGCGCCGCCGTCGCCGTCCGCGCGCGGTCGCCGCCGCCGCCGCCGCCGCCGCGTCCGCGTCCTCCCCGGACGACGCGTCGAGCTCGAGTCCGACCTCCTTTCCGGACGACGCTAGCGGCGACGAGGTCGCCGTGGACCGGAAGCTCGAGCTCGCCGCCATCGTCGCGTTCGCGGTCCCGCTCCTCGCGACGAACATCGTGACGCCCCTCCTCACGATGACGGACACCGCGTTCGTCGGTCGATGCGCGGCCGACGCGACGATTCAACTCGCCGCGCTCGGCGTCAGCACGCCGCTGACGGACTACACCGTGACGCTCGCGGCGTTCATCCCGGCCGGCTTGACGAACATCATCTCCAACGGCGAGGCGAGAGGCGAATCGAGCGCGAGCCTCGGCGCGAAGACCTACGGCGCGCTGCTCGTGTCGCTCGCGTTATCCCTCGCCGTCGCGCTCGTCTTGAACCTGTGCCCGGAGACGCTCCTCGCGATGCTGAACACTCCGACGGCGGTGATGGCGACGGCGACGGCGTACACCAAAGTTCGAAGCATCGGCATGCCCGCCGCGTACCTCACCGCCGCCGCGTACGCGGTGCTCGTCGCGAGGAAGGACACGACGTCCCCGCTCGCGTGCGTGTGCCTCGCCGCGGTCGTGAACGTGCTCGGGGACTACGTCGCCGTCGCGGTGTACGGCGGCGGGAGCGTCGGCGCGGCGTGGGCGACGACGGCGGCGCTCTACGCCGGCTGCGGTGCGTTCAAAAGCGGATCGTTTCGTTTTTCACCCACCTCTCGGTTTCAATAACCTCATTTGATCGCGTCGCCTTTCGACTGACCGACGAACGCATCGTACGTCGCCCCGCCTACGACGCGCAGTCGCGATCCTCTGGACGCTGAAGAAGAAGGGATACGCGGACCACTTCCCGTGGGGCACGCTGCGATGGAAAGAGCAGCTCGCGCCGGTGATGGCGTTCGCCGGCCCGATCACGTTCCTCGTGTTCGCGCTCCTGTCGATATACACCGCGCTCATCTTGTTCGCGAACGCGTTGGGGGTGACGGTGAGCGCGGCGCACCGCGTCGCGGGAAACGTCTTCGCCGTCGCCGTGCTGTGCGGCGACCCGCTCATACAAGCCGGACAGGCGTTCATGCCCAAACACTTGCTCCCGGAGGCGCCGTCGAGGAGGAACGCGCGGCGCATGGCGGGCCTGCTGCAGTCCGTCGGCGTCGCCGTCGGGGCGTTCGCGTCCGTGGCGTGCGGCGCGTTTTGTCTCTTCGGCGGGGGCGCGTTCACGCGCGACGCGGCGGTGATCGGGCAGCTGCGAGACGTGACGGTGCCCGTGTGCGCCGCGGTGTTCACGAACATCGTGTCGAAGTCGATGTACGGCGTGACCGTCGCGGCGAAACAGCTCGGGTTCCTCGCCGCGATAACCGGTGTCGGGTTGGCGTTTTTCGCGTGGGCGCTGAAATGGATGAACGCGAACCTCGTCGGGAGCGCATTATATTTTTGGATGTGGTGGGTCGTCGCGGGGTACTACGCGCTCGCGATCGTCGCGATTCAGCTGAAGAGTTTCGGTTTTCCGGGGGTGAGCGAGGGGATGTTCTCGCGGAAAGTGGGCGGCGGCGGGGGCGGGGGAGGAGAGGCCGTCGCGGCGCCGTCGTGATGGAAACGCGAAGCGTCGCCGGCGCTGGCGGGGAGGAACGATCTGACCCGATTTATTATTTTAATATTATATTGAAAAACTGGAAGACTCTCTCGCCCCCCGCTCTTCTCATGCGAGCGTCACCGCGACGCCGGCGAGGATCCATCTCGCGGATTCTTCCTTTCGGAGTCGTACACCGGAAACTGCGGCAACGAATTGTTACAAACCGCCCCGCTTCCTCGCGCACTTCGCCCGGCGCGTCGCCCATGTCCGAGCCGACCGGGGGCGACATGAAGGCCGTCTACGCGTCGAAGTGGCTCACGCTGACGCTGTGCCAGTTCGTCATGCTGTCGTCCGGGACGCTGTACCTGTTCCCCGTGTACTCCCCGCTGCTGAAGAAGAATCTCGATCTCACGCAGGAGGCCACCAACGCGGTCGGCTCCGCCGCGCACTTCGGCGCCTTCTTCTCCGTGTTCGGCGGGATGTTCTTCGACGCGTACGGCTCGCGAGCGACGCTCGCGCTCGGTGGCGCGCTGAAGACGACCGGGTACCTCATGATGGCCGCGACGATCGAGGGGTGGGCGCCGCGGTCGCGCGCGTTCGCGTCTTTCGCCGCGTGGACGTTCGGCACCGGATGCTCCACCTCCCTGACCGCCGCGCTCGGGGCGAACTACGCGACGTTCGAGGACTCGAAAACGCACGGGCGCCTCGTCGGCCTCCTCGTCGCGTTCTTCGGTCTGAGCAGCGGCTGTTTGTCGCTCGTGTACGACGTCTTCTTCGCGTGCCCGGCGCGGTTCCTCGTGTTCGTCGCGTTTTTCAGCGGCGGCGTGGACGTCGCGGCGTCGCGGCTCGTAGGGCACCCCAAGTACCTCGCGCTGCCGTCCGCGACGTCAGGCATAGGCGACGACGGCGCGCTCGGGGATCGGGATTGGGATCGCGATCGCGCGGGCGCGACGGCGGCGTACCCGCTCGGGCGCGGCTCCGGCGGCGGATCGGGGTGGACGGCGCGGTTGGGAAAATTTTTAGACGCGTTCGGCGGCGGCGGCGACGCCGACGCCAAGCTCGCCAACGGCCTGGCGCTCTGCGCCGTCACCGCAATCTTCGTCGCGATGTCCGCGTTCGCGCTTCAGGCCTCCGGCGAGAGCGCCGCCCTCGCGACCGCGTGCCTGTGCGTCCTCGCGGCGCTCGCGACGTGCCAGTGCGGCGTCCTGCTCGGCGGCTCCGGGAGGTTGATCTACGCGCGACACGAGATGGACAACGTGGACGCCACCGCGCGGGCGGCGAACGGCGCGGCGCGAGACGGCGTCGGCCCGGTCGCGCTGCTGTCGTCCATCGACTTCTGGCTCCTGTTCTTCGCGCTCATGCTCGGTCTCGGCTCGGGGGTGACGGTGATTAATAACCTGTCGCAGGTGGTCGCGTCGTTTCCGTCGCTGGCGGCGAACGCAGCGGCGACGACGCACTCGCTGCTTAAGGCGCGTTCTCCTTACACTGGTCCCCATACGACCGCGTTCGCGTGGTGAACGCCGATCCTTAAGGACTTTTCCCGGCGTGTCTCTGCGCCCAGCCCTCGCTTTCAATCCCCGCCCTCGACGCCTTTCAACTCCAACTGACGCCTTTCAACTCCACCCCGACATTCGCTCGTATGGAACGACCCTGAAGCTCCTCGCGTGCGCCAACACGCTCGGACGGCTCGCGTCCGGGCAGCTCAGCGATCGGCTCGCGAGCCGCGAGCACGGTCAAGGTCGCGTCGGTAGGGTCGCGTTCACCGCGGCGTGCATCGCCGGGATGGCGTTCGGGCAGTTCCTTCTGAGCGTCGTGACGGACGGCGCCGACGCGGCGGTCGGGTTGTTCGTCGGCGTGTTCGTCGTCGGGTGGTGCTTCGGCGCTCTGTTCTGGGCGATGCCGACGCTGGTGATGGAGCTCTTCGGCGCGAAGCACTTCGGCGCGAATCGAGGGTTCATGGGATTGTCCCCCGCGATCGGCGGGTACCTGCTGAGCACCGTGCTCGCGGGGCGCGCGTACGAGGCCAACGCGGGCGGCGGCGGCGGCGGCGGCGAGGGGTCGGACCACGCGTGCGTCTCGGGGGCGGCGTGTTACCACACCGCGTGGGTGACGAACGCGACGCTGAGCGTCGTCGCCGTCGGGTTGTGCGCGTGGTTGAACCGCAGGAGAGAGAGACGGCGCGGCGGGGGGGGCGGCGGCGGCGGCGGCGGCGGCGCGAGGGTGTCCAAGGTGTAGCGAGCGAGAGCGAAAACCGACCGAGAGTCCGAAACCAAAATTCAAACGCGCGTTCTCGCCAGCGGCTCTCTCCGAAATTCGCAGTCGCTCGCGCCGCGACGCGTCGTGATTCGCTGCTTCGGAAGTTTCAGGCCTCTCCGCGAATCGCGGCGCGGAAAAGTAGGTAAAAGTTCAACGCGACTCTTCGAGCCGTGTCCACTTGGAAAAGCGAGAAGCCGCGACTCTTCGTTACGTGTTGTCCCGGTGTCGGCCACGGGGCACGACACAAAAGCGCGAAAGCGACGACGGTTCAGGAAAGCTCCGCGCATCGCCGCTCACATTCCCCGCGCGCTAGACGTGAACACGACCGTGATGGCTGCTCTCCGCATGTCCGCCCCTATGATGGCGAAGACCCCGGTGGTCGCCCCCAAGCGCGCGCGCGTGACCGCGCGCGCGGCGATCGCCGCGCCCGCGTCTTCCGGCGCCGTCTCCTTCGGCGCGAGAAAGATGGCGATGGCGGGCGCGAAGCTCGAGTCGCGCGTCGCGCCCACCGCCGCCGGCCGCCGCTCCCTCGTTGTGTGAGTTTCATCGCGCGAATCGCGCGAATCGCCTTCTCGCGCGTGCGAAGCGCTCGAATATCGCGTCGCATCGCGCTTTCGCGGCTCGCGTCGCTCGCGTCGCGCCGATCCCCGCGGCGTCGTCGATGCGATCGACGTCGCCTTTTCGGCGCAGGGTTTTGGTACCGCGGGGGCGCGCCGAAAAGATCGTCGGGGCGATCGCTGACCTTCGCCTCCCCCACCCCTTCCTCCTCGCAGCAACGCGGGCGGCGTCCAGAAGGCCGCGCCCGGCGAAGCGAAGAAGGTCTTCGGTCTCACGCTCCCGAAGAACGAGTCCCTGTGCTTCCTCATCCTCGCCGGCGGCTCCCTCGGCTCCGCGCTCGGGTTCGCGGCGCTCCAGGAGGGCGTCTTCCGCATCCCCGGGTTTAAGTTCAGCGCGTGGATGACGGTGCTCACGACGTTCACGTACTTCCTCTGCGGCGCGCTCGAGATGAAGCTCACGGGCGAAACGCGCAAGGCGTCCTGGAAGAATTACGGCATCCTGTCCGTGTACACGTACGGCGGCATGGCGATGACGAACTACGCGTTGTCGTACCTCAACTACGCGACGCGCATCGTGTTCAAATCGGCGAAGATCGTCCCGGTGATGGCGTTCTCCGTGCTCATCGTCGGGAAGAAGTACAACTGGAAGGAGTGGCTCTCCGCGGCGATCCTCGTCGCGGGTATCGTCCTTTTCACCCTCGGTGACGTCGCGTCCTCCCCCGCGTTCGCACCCATCGGCGTCGCGCTCATCGCGGGCGCGCTCTGCGTCGACGCCATCTGCGCCAACTTTGAGGAGAAGAACTTTTTCCGATGCGAGAACCCGTCGACGACGCAGGAGGTGCTCTGCTTCGCGTCCCTCATCGGCACGGTGTACGGCCTCATCCCGTTCATCGCGTCCGGGGGCTGGCAGCCCGCGATCGCGCACTCGCTGCAGTACACCCAGGTTGTCCCGATGATCATGGGCTTCTCCGTCATGGGCTACTCCTCCGTGTCGTTCATCCTGTCGCTCATCAAGTACTACGGCGCGACGGAGGCGGAGATCATCAAGTCCCTGCGCAAGGTGCTCTCGATCGTGATCTCTTTCGTGCTCTTCCCTAAGGCGCTGAACTGGAAGTACATCGTCGGTTTCATCGCGGTCCTCGTGTCCACCGCGTACACGTTCTACCTCAAGGGCGAGAAGAAGAAGGCGAAGGAAGCCGCCGCCGCCGCGTCCGCGTGAGCGAGGAAAGAAATCCGCGACGAAGAACGAAAGAACGACGCGTAGTCGAAAGAAAAACGAGAAATTGTTCACGCCCGATGTAGGAAGACGAGACGGGCGTTAGACGCGAGAGTGTGGGATGGGTTTCCCAGGGGTGATCAATGTGCGAAGGAAGAGACGCACGTATTAACTTAAAACATCGAAGAATAGCGCCATTGCCTGGCCTTCGATTTTTAACCTGATTTGAGCACGCGAAAAAAGGAATATTATTAGCCCTTATGTCTCTCCTCCCTCTCGTCGCCGCCGCTGCCGCGACCGCTGTTACTGATAGTACGACGCGAGACGCGCGGAGTTAACTGACGCGCGCGCGCGTGAAGATGTTCGTTTAAGTGCATGCGGGATGACCCGATAATATTTCAAAGGGTGCGTGCTCTTCGATGACTCAGTCGAAGCACGCGTTCACCGCGGGCGGCTTCGCCCGCTCACGTCGCCTGATAAAAAACACCCCCACCTCACCTCTCCCCACTCTCACTCGTTTTCTGCGCGAATGCATGTCTTATAAACTTGAATGAATTTGGATCAATCGTCACGCCCCGCGAACGCGCGCGCGTCGCGAGGCGTCAACCAGTAGACGAAACCGAAACCGTCGCCTCACGATCACGCCGCCTTGAGCTTGCCCTCAGCCTGGATCGCGTCGAAGTCCACGGGCGTGGAGTCCCACATCATGAAGATGAGCGTGCTCACGACCTGGAAGAACGCGATCGGGAGGAAGAGAGACAGCGCCCAGTTCCCGCCCGTGATGGAGAAGAAGTACCCGGTGAAGAACGTCGAGAGCGTCGACGCGACCGCGGCGAGCGTGTTGGTCGTCCCGAGCATGATCGACGCGTACTTCGGCGAGATGTCTTGGTGCCCGCAGAACAACCCGGTTCTTACCCACGCGCCGAGGCCGAAACCGATCGAGAGCAGGGTCATGATCGTGATCACGGTCGTCTGCGTGACCGCCTCCGGGGGGGTGCTGTTCACGACGAACGCGACCGCGGAGAGGCAGACCGCGCCGCCGGTGAAGCAGAGCGTCTGCGACAGCTTGCGGACGTTGGTGCGCGTCATCCCGCCCGCTTCGAGCTTCGCCGCGGTCGGGGCGACGATGAGCGTCATGCCGACCGTCGCGAGGTACGGCAGGATGGACAGGAACGACGACTTGCTCAGAGACACGTTGAGCGCGCTGGAGAGGAACGACGGCAGCCACGCGAGGAGGCCGTAGGAGAAGTAGTTCCACGTGAAGTGCGCCGCCATGAGCGCCCAGAACGACTTGTTCTTGAAAAACGCGCCCCACGGGATCGGGTCCTCCGCCTTCTCCGGCGCCGCAGCCTTAGCCGCGACTTCCTCCGGGGTATCCCTCGCGTCGGTGCTCTTGTCTCTCATGTAGCACAAGGCCCACCACGCCCCCCAAATGAACCCGAGCGCGCCGAAGAGATAGAACACCGCGGCCCAGCCGCCGAGGAAAAGAATGATGGGCGGCGCGACGATGAGCCCGGAGAGGGAGCCCACGTCCAAACCGCCGAACGTCGCGGTGACCGCCGCGGAACGCTGGGAACCGGGGACACCCTTCGCGAGAACGCCCGTCGCCGCGGACGGCGCGACGCCTTCGCCGAGACCGACGAGGAAGCGCGAGACGAGAAGCGCGGTGAAGGAGAAGTGCGCGCACGCGGGCGCGATCAGGGTCCCGAACGACCACAGCATCACGCCCGCGAAGAGGACGAACTTGCCGCCGTACTTCGACGCGAGGTACCCGCCCGGGATCTGCGTGAACGCGTAGCCCCAGAAGAACGCGGACTGCACGAGACCCTTCTCGATGGACGTCCAGCCGAAAGACTGGGCCATCGGGACGATCGCGACGGACATGTTCACCTTGTCGAGGTTGCAGAGCACGAACGCGCAGAAGAGGGCGAAGATCATCGACCAGCGCTTCTTCTCGCCCTCGGGGGTCATGTCGAATCTCACGTCCTCGGGGACGGTGTCCGCGACGACGGGACCGCCACCGCCGGCGGCGGGGACGACCGATCGGCGCGGCGCGGGCGCCGCGGAGGAGACGACCGCGGCCGCCGCGATGGTGGGAACCCTGCTCTGAGCGATGCCCCCGAGCGTGGCGGATTTCCCCGCACGCGTCGCGATGACCGGAGTCGCCGCGGTGCGTCGCGCGCGAACGGGACCGCGCGCCGAGGCGCGGACACCGCTAAGGGTGACATTCGTCGTCGCCGCGCAGGCCATCATAGGCGCCATTTGCGGACTTACGCGTGTAGATCGTCGCGTCGGAGTGCCGCGCCGACGCTTCGTCGCTTGAACAAGCGCTCGAAAAGAAAAACCAAAAACCTTTTAGCAGGGACACGTACACTTTTCATCGGCCACCTGAACGCGTCCGAGCCTCTCTTTTTTTCGACTCCCTTTTGACTCCCCGAGTGGGGGTCGCGACAAAAAGAAACAAAACCCAGCCTGCTGGGAAAAAACGAAAAGCCGCGAGCGAAGCGACGAACGCCCCCGCGAAAAAGTTCATCACTTCGCTCGGCGCGGGGAGGCTGGGGGCGCGTAAACAAAACAGGCGGACGCGATGGCGGGCGGGGTCTTAGACGTGGACCCGTCGATGATCAAGGCGAACCCGAAGATGATCGCGGGCGTCGTCGCCGCGGTGATCTTCGTGAAGTACGTCGCCCTGAACGTCCTCCACGACTGGTTCGTGGAGCTCTCGCACACGCATCACGCGATGGGATTCATCCTCTTGATGCCGTTCGTCGCCGCGGCGTTCATCCTGCTGCTCATGGTCATCGTGACGTACGCGTCGTTCCCGCACGACTTCGTCGGGCTGAAGCTGCATAACCCCAAACACTTCGCGATCATCGCGCGGCGGACGTGGAGCAGCATGACGAAGAACAACTATAAAGTGCAGGCGAAGGACCTGTGACGACTTTTCGCCGGAGGGGGACGAGACGAGGACGGAACGCGCGGAGGCGCGCGCAGCGCGCGCGGTACGGGATAGCGACGACGTCGTAATACATATCCACGGGGATGCTAGGCTATTAACACGAAGCGCGACCGTCGTTTCGCCGCGATCGATCGACTCGACTCGACTCGACTCAACCTCGCCACCGCGGCGGCGGCGGCTCTCGCGCGCCCCGGTCGCCGTCACCGGCGCCGGCGAACGCGCGGCGCTTCCCGAGCCACCGAAGAAAATCGACGACGCCGCCGCCGCCGCTTCGGACGCGCAGCCTCCCGCCGCTGACGCACAAGTTCACTCTTCGACCGTCTATCTCGTAGAGCGTTCCGCCGATTTTCACGCGCGGCAGCGAGATCCCCGCGGAGATGAGCTTTCGGGACGCGGTCTCCAGCGACGCGTCGACGACGCGTTCGAGCTCGAGCCTTTTTTTTTCCTCCCTCGTCGGCGTCTTTGTCATCGGCGCGACGACTCTTCCGCCGCTCGCGGTAGACCGTCCGCTCACCGCGGGGTACGACCTTCTCGAGAGCGCCGTCGTGCTCTGCGACGGCGTGCGCGAGTACGTCGATCCCGGGTACGACGCGCGCGATGGCGTCGGCGTGCGCTCGCTTCGCGACGCGGGAAACGGCGGCGGCGGCGGCGGCGGGAG